ACAGCCTGTGAACCCACAAGCATCTGAGAAGAGCCAATGCGAGTGTTCATTGACAAGGAGCAAGGGTATATCGCTTCGACAACAAGAGGCTTTAGCACGAAGGCCGACTCCCCGCTATGGATGAATCCAGGCGTTTTGGTATAACAACCCAGAGAGATTGGAGGGACCCTTCATCTGACGATAATTGCTCTAAACTCAGAGCTGAAGGGGCTCAATATCTCGAGTCTTCCGTAACTAGCCCAGATGAAGCAAAGCGGTGATTCGCCTGTTGCACTGCGCCATACCATTGCACAGGGCTGATATGAGGGGAGTGGGACGCGTGATGAAAAATTGTGTGAAAGAGGGACTGGTTGCATGGTCTTCCACAGGTATCACTTTGATCTGGTTCATCAGTGACGCAGTGTGTAACTAAACAAGCGAGTCGGCGTGATAATGCATGGCCGTACCACTTTTGTCAAGGCAAACAATCGTGGTTTGGCAAATATATTAATCACCGAGCCGGCACTTACCGTGGTATGTTAATCAAGGCTTCTCGCCATGGCGCCAAAAGTCAAGCGCGGTATCTTAGTCGATGTTGAATATGTGCAGGCCATGTTGAATATGTATAGGGGATTTGAAGCCCAATGACTGAACAACTAGCAAAAGCTGAAGTTTGCCAAGCACGGATAAGCCATCAGGCCCTCGTTGATGTTTTTGAGCAACCCGTGCTGCCGCAGTATCGACAGATGTCAGTTGCTGGATAATAAAATTTCAGATCCCCATGAAACGTTGTATAGATACCCTGACATGGGAGCCAGACTCACCAATCATGGCTTACTATCCATCCAATCAGGGGAATTGACTCGTAACAGGGGTTGCTGTGGGACGCATAGTAGAAATAATTTTCAGCTACAGTTTCGCAACCATGAGTCGGCTGGAAACCCCAAAGTAGAGATCGACAGCTTTTGGCTTACTCGTCGAAAGGACGATAATAAGGATCCCCAGGATAATGTCCCCGAACGTAGCTGCTGGGTGCTTGGGCCCTTAGAGTCGGATCTGGCGTTAAAACGACACCAAGAGATTTTGGGCACTCGCTTGATGACCATGGCTCGCGCTGGCCTCGGACTGCGGGGGTAAATTTGTCTTAAATAGACAAGGGGCGCCATAGTTCAACATTCTCAGTGGTAGGACTTGCGTTGCCGCGTTGCAGAATATACCAGGTTCACCATTGACTTCGGGGGTTATATCTGATAGTCCGAGCATAGTATCCGTAATCAACAGTCTGTAAGCGAAGCAAGAGACCGATTCCGACTTGTTGTATGGAACGTCGCATGATATGAGTTGTGTAAAAAGCAATTTCTCTGTGTTTCGCAGCGACTCAGACCAAAAGCGTGTCCCACGGAAGGTCATGATAAAGCGGCAAGGTGCATGAGCTGAAGCGATAGCGTAAGGAAGGCCAAAGCAATATTTGAGTGAGAAAAGTAATCAATATTATCTCATTGTTCAAGTTGAGGATGGAGTTGATAGACGGAACGACAACAAAAGGGGACAGGATTGGATGGTCAAGAAAACTCCAAATATGGCATACAATGCAAGTGTCATACTTTGTTCATAGGTAACTTATGTTCCTACATCGCTGTCGCACCTTCTGAGTCAAAAGGAATACCGATCTCGCACGTACCTAAGGTAATAGGTATTCTGTGCACGGAGGTTGGGTTCAAAAGTCCTTGCCAAAAGGAACTTACGCCACAACCCTAAATCCCTGCCAGCTACCAGAAGTACAAATGGGTAAGTAAGTTACAGAGGGGCCTCCCTGTAATACCCCTATAGCTATAGTGATATATATCGCTATAAGTAATAAATTTACTGGCTAGGTCCCCTATAATTAAATAAAGATCAGCGGAAACTGATAAGATCAAAGTACCCCGGTATCTTATCAAGAGTGGGCCTAATAACCACAGTCTCTTCTGGCAAGGACTTTTGAACCCAACCTCTGTACGAAACAGTTGTAGGCATCCTTGCAACTTCTGTAACAACATTAGTAGGTACCTAGTTATTAGAAACAAAAGTTCTCTCATACGCTTTCTTGTTCGCATCAACTACCTCGGCGCGACTCTACATCAATATTTGCACCAGACACGAGGATATTCACGAGCGCTCTTTGTAGGACCAGCCCATCATGCAGTGTCGCTTTAGAAACACCCTTGTCGATTGGCCCGCCTAGCTCGTCGAGATCAGCGCCCCGAAATCGTACCGGCTAGTCACCAGGGCGGCTAGATCTCTTGGACGCGCCCCGACACGTGCGTGGAGTGTGTTAGGGAACAGCAGCGGTCTCTCTGCAAACGTTGCTAGACACAAGCAGCAATGATTGACGAAGGCTTACTTACAGTGCACAATTATACCCGATTGTTTCATGGTGGTAACGCTTATGAAATTTTGGGCATGACAAGTTCTGTGCGTATGCTCTTTACTTACCATTCTAGGAAAGATCAGCCAGGAAGATATCGGGGTGAACCAACTATCTCGGCCGGGTCCATGGTCCAATATGACATTCCCAAGGTCCTCTGATCTGCCACATGGCATCTCGCAAACTTGGGGCGGTACGTAGCCCTATTTGCTGCGCGGCACGACTGCGCTTACGAGGGGATAAAGCAAAAATACATCATGCCCATGTACTATTTCTCGCAATATTGGGCCAAGACCGACTGGTGGACCAGTCGATCTGCTTTCTGAGAGATGACCCTCACGTGGCTGCGGAAGATCGCGCATGTGGTACTGGGGTGCTTAGTTGCTCCACTCCATGCTCATCAAACATAGGGGGGATTTAAACTTTGGGGGCGAGGCGAGCGATGGAGGGGCCTACAGATGGCGATGAGCCAGTCCTGTGCAAGTTCAAGGACGTGGGCCGTGAGCATATCCTTGCACCGCGGCATGGACCTCGAGAACCATGCCGTCTGATGGGGTCATGGATACGCTAGTGAACGGCGCACGAGGTGCCCCGGCCTTGGTGCAAGCCACATTTACAAGGCTTGCAGTCCTGCCTATCCCTTGGTGAGCATCTCATATTCGCAGTATCACACAGGACACCCCGGAAAATCATCCGCAACGAGATCCAATTGCTGCACACAATAATACTGTCCGTGTACAGTATTCACTTGGACAGGGCGCTAGCTCCTTTGTCGTCCACAAGGTCAACTGGGTGCGATATCAGCCCTTCTATCTGTCTAGGACGCGATTGAGGAGTTGCTGGTCGCAACGAGCAACAAGGGCTTCGATGAGCCTGGTTAATTCTGCCTGCATGCTTATCACTCTTACCTATCATGGATTTACTTCATGGAGTTGATCCTTGTTATACGTGGTTGACCACTAGCAGGAATGGGTTCCCGTCGGAAGTACAGTATGGCCGGATATGTACAGTGCAGTCCCGAGTCTCTGGCGGCAGTTGGGCAAGAGTTGGCATGTGGATGACTGCATCCCGCATCGTAATCGGCACATAGGGTGCCGATACGTATTGCCTGGAACAAGTTCATCCAGATTCATATCAAATTTGAGATCATGACAATGCTGCAGCCACTGCGTTTCCCTGGCTGGATTATTCAATGGCTGGATTATTCAATGGCTGGAAATGCTTGCCTGGACCAGTGCGAGCCATGTGTGTTGGTTGGTTTGAAGCCGAGAAGGCAAATATGGCTTGCCAGATCCAGATCTAGATCCACGTTGAGTTAAAACAATTTGACCCTAGTCTAAGTCGGTACTTTCTGTCAAAATGTTTGACCCTCGATCTGAGGTATTCGCAGTCACCAACCGTCCAGCCGTGCTGTCGTCGCAACCCTCCGTGGCCTGAATCTCCGGATGGCGCCTTACGTTCATCAAGACTGGATGCTGTGCCTTAAAGGGGTTGTGAGTAGAATCAGACCGGTTAGACTGAGCAACCACATGGCGTCCCTTTCCAGTTCCGCCGCCCCGATCCCCCAAGCTAAAAGCTCCCCGCACCACCCTCCACGACTTGACTTTCGGACAATGGCAGAAACAAGGTTTTGAGGGATCCAGAGGGGAATGAAGAAAAGGGATTCCAGGGGTGAAGAGTGGCTTTTGACACCGTCACCTCTAAGCCGCTCAAGGTGCGCCTCTAACAAACTCTTCCAACACTCCCCCGATAGCGCCGCCTTCCGTTGGATGTATCGTACTCGAACACATGGGAGGACGCGGTGGGAGAGTAACGAGCCTTTCGGGTAGATTTTGTTTCTATCACCAACATGTGCCTCAACCACGAGAGTGCCATTATTGCTTGTACAACTGTTTCGAAGGAGGTTGAAAACTACTTGAGATGCGCCAATATAGTGATAAATCTCGTTTTGGGTCGAAAGAAGACTCCGAATGCTTCTTCGCCTGCTTCAAAATTGTCTGTTGAACCCAATGGTTCACAAGCTTTGTCGGTGGGAAGCCAGATCCCTGGCAACGGCAAAGGTTTCGCAGTACGGCAAGAGCGAGTACTGTACACGCTGCAAGTCTACACAGGGATGAGATGGGTACATGAATGCCGTGTTTTGCAATGGGGAGCGTGGAGTTCAGAGTGAGGTACTGAAGCCAGCGGGACGGCTACTGTGAGGCCCTTGTAAATTCTAGCCAGCTTGCCATGGGCTCGTTGCTTAGACCCGCCCAAGAGCTGGAGGGAGGTCTCGCTGCCCGGTCCCCTGCTTCAAAGCTCCAAGCGGCTGCCGTCCACATGCATCCCATTCTCTGTCACTTGAGCTTGAGTTGGTACCTTACTGTATGGACAGTGAAGGTGGATACAGTGCTGCTGCTGAACATGCATGTGCTGGGGACCCAACCATTTCAGCGTACGACGCCAGATGATTTTTTCCCTTAGAGGTTTCGAGACATGGAGGCTACCATTTGTGCTAGGGGAAATGAGGCTCGCTCTCAGGTCATTTTGATGTTCCTGGTGTCCAGTTGATTGATTGATGGATCTGATCTTTCAGGTCTAGTAATCCACCTGCATTTTTCATCCGAGAAACCATCTGGTATCGTTTCTCTCGTTTCTTTTCTTTTTTTTTTTTTTTTTTTTTCATAGGGCTCCTTACCAACGCAACCTAGGTAGCCTCCTGCCCCCCCCCCATCCGTCTCACTCAATTCCTCTTCTCTCCTGTCGGGTACTATCTGTGCAGTGCTATAGGTATGCACATGCCCTAGGTTCCTTCTATAGCCCAGGTACCTACCGGGGAACTAGCTAGGCGTTCCTCACCTTCCCTTCCCTCACCTGCAGTGCCCTCCACTGTCCATCCATCCCCCCCGGACCGTCACTCACTCGCCTTCACCAGGGTCATCTCGTTCTCGTGTGCACTTTTCCCTCTTCAATTCCATTTCCACCTCTTCTCTCTTCACCTTTTACAGATCAGGGTTACGTTACGTTCTTGTTCTCAATCACATCACATCTTTATCTTGTCCAAGGCGACGGTCCCTTTCTAAACCCTCCTTCAGGGCTCATGCTCTGACACGCCCGCCCACTATAGAATTTGGCTTTGGATCGCATTGTCGCGTCTCTGCTGTCCTGTCTGTCTGTCTGTCCTGGCCCGCCGACTTCGAGTTGCAATCTCCACCTTGGCTCGTCGTACTGACGCCTCTCGCCTGCTGCTCGCTACCCTGGCCTCGCCTTGAACGCAAACAATCGAACACAATCATATTGCCGTCACCGTTGCCCTCTGCTAACCGGGCTCCCATTAACGGAGACTCGTCGGGCTCACTGTAACCGATTCGCTTTGGCTGCGACTCGACCGATACCCTCGATATCAACTCGACCTCTAGACAGATATGGACGTCCACAACCAGCCGCGTCTACCCCCTCCCAAACCGGTTGGACTTAATAACATTCTCAATAACGACAACGCACCTGTTTCAATCGTTAACGGCCCGCCTCACATGCGAGACTCGGGCTTCTACTCCAACGCAGACGCCTCCAGTAAGCGTACGCTGCTCATTACTGTTTGTGCCAATGCCTCGGCTCCATTGCTAACCTGATTTACCTAGACACATCCGCCGCATCCTTCAACGTGAATGGCCTTAGCCCAAGCGGCTCCGGCTATCAATCCTCGTCGCACGAGAAGACACCATCTCCGATTGCCTCCAACATGATTCCCAACGGACTTGTCTCGCCATCGACTACCAACATGAGCGTTGCCGCAATGGTATCCCCCAGTACTCCCAGCAGTCTCGATGCACGCCGCGACCGACCCACGTCGATCGAGTCCAACGGTCTCGGTCCCAACCCTGGCCCTACGATGGGCGACACCTTGGCGCCTGGTATGGCAGCAATGAGAAGGGAGAGTGTTGACAGCCGCATCAACCAGAACTTTGGCGATTTGCGCCTGGGAGGCTCTCCTTATGCATCTCACAATCACTCAACTACCTCGATACAAAACACCCTCCATAATCAGCGGAACCCTCATCATTTATCAGTCCATCGCATCTCAAACGGCTACCAACCCAGTGCGGAGCGAAACCCTGAGGGCAAGACGGTCAAAACTGCACCGGCCATCACTGGTCCTGCCACCGGACACATCGCGCGCGCTGCAGAGCCCACCAAAGGTCAAGCATGGGCGTTTCCCGAAGAAGAGATTCAGCGAGTCGGTGGTGCCCCCACGTACACCGACTCGCGGCGTAGCAGTATCACCGAGTCTATCGCGAGTAGCCAATTCACAACAGAGTCTCGCCTACCTCCTGGTCAGATGAGACTGAACGAGTCCGAGTACTCTCGCATGTCCAACGCATCCGACTTTCCGCCTGTTCACCATCACTCTATGCAGCATAAGCAATTGAGTGACCTCCAGGCCGAAGAAGGGAATGGTTCAACGGGCTCGCAACCATATAGTCGAACACCCGAATTGAGAGTCAGCCACAAGCTTGCTGAACGGAAAAGACGAACGGAGATGAAGGAGCTCTTTGATCAGCTTAGAGATCTCATGCCTCAGGAACGAGGTTCCAAAGCCTCCAAGTGGGAAATTCTAACTAAAGGTCAGTAAGTTACGAGAAAGGGGCTAGATCTCGACTGACGTGAAATTCGACAGCCATTGCAGAGCATCAGAAGCAGCAAGATATCATTCGAGCATTACAAGATCACTACAAGTCCAACACGGCCGAGAACGAGATGCTTCGCCGAGATGTCCATGCGCTACGAATGGAAAACCAACAGCTTCGTTCAGAGCTCAACTCTTCCTCTTCACGCCCTTCATTATCTTCAGCAGCAACACCAGCACCACAGGCCGGGACTTATCAGGCAGACCCTTACCCTAACCCGAACCGACCAGAACTGCCACCCCTCAGGTCGCTCCGTAACAGTATTCCAAATGGACCGGACTCTATGACGGGTGTTCAGTACGACAGTCCTCGTACAAATGGCTATCATTAGACGGGACCAATCGAATGTTCCGGGAAATGAGGCTCAGCGGGGAATACTTGCCCCCAAAAAACGTCCACCATCTTAAACCTGTTGGAACTCGATTAATGAATGAATGACGGCGAAAAGTTATGACACCGGGAGAGCACAAGGCTGGACTCGACTACTATTGCTGGGTCACCAGCGATGCTCTGAGCCACAACACAAGGGCGCCGTGGCATTAGATTTGCTTAGCTGCTTCTGTTTTGTTTTGTCTTTTTCGGCAACGCTGCCGCCCAGTGTACCAGTACGGCGAACGGACCGTGAACTGTCACTCTTCTTTGTCAATTTCTTGTTCAGTACTAGGTCTTTATCTCATTATGTCTTTTCTTTTTCTTTTTCTTTTTTTCCTTCTTCTTCTTCTTCTTCTTCTTCTTCTTTTATTTAAACATGCACCACGCTCGACTAATGAGGTGGCTGTTAGGAGTTTGTTTAGGTTTGGGACATATAGGCCACTTAATGGTACGGTACGGTTAGGTGTGGATGATCAGGCAAGGCAAGGCAAGGCAGGGACAAGGATAAGGAATAGGTGCAATGGGGTTGGTTGCAAAGGATTTCCTCGGTTTTTGGGCTCGGAAGGACAAAGACGTCATGGAAAATACGGAGATGGCGCGATAGTGTTTCAGGGCGTATATACCCATTTGAAAGGAGGCGAAGCGGACAGGAAGGGTCTGTGCTGTGGAACAAACACGTCGTGGAGGTGATACAGTTGGAAGACGTTTTGTTCTCTTCTGTGCAATGGCGTGGTTGTGAGCGTATCGTATGGTCTCGGTGTATCGGGGGATTGATGGTAAAATGCGAGAACAAGATATTCATCTTCACCAAATCGTGCTTGTGATTGATTATATTATGCGAATTGTGAGATGAATGAACATGCTCTGCCGGTTATTTGCCATGTCATGTTGGAAAGCAGTGGGCATACCTAGATCTGAGTATCCGTATTATATAGAGTACTACGGATACCATTGGCATGACGTGATCTGATGAAACAATGCGATATGATAAGATAAAGACAAGATGATCCATGAGCACTGGGCAGCTCACAGTTGGACTGTTTACCCCCAGACCGGAGCCAGGGATACGGGATATACGGGGCAGCCCGAGCCCGGGCGGAGTTGGGGGTTGCGGACTTGCGGAGTTTGCGGAAGCCCCGCCCAAGAGAGAAAGTCCCCGATTCGGTCTGAGAGACGAGCAGTAACCATTGACGATTGACTAAAGAAAACAGTGCTAATGCTTACGGCTTACACCAGACAAAGTCCGCACAGAGGATGCATCAAGGGTTCCTCTTACTCCATTCTCTTGATTATATTTCACTCTGGTAGGCCTATTCCTTCTCCGACGTCAAGTCCGTCGACATTCTTGGGATCCTTTTTCCGCCTCTCCTCTTCTACCATTCTCACTCTCACTCGCCTCTACTCTCATCCATCCACTCACTCATTCTATCTCACTTATACATATATCATGGACTCACTCGGGTCGCTGGCTGCGCGCAAGATGGACCGTTCAGCTGCTTCGAGACAGAAGAGCTGCAACGCCTGCGTGAGAGGGAAGCGCAAGTGCGACAAGAAGACTCCCCGCTGTACTCGCTGTGCGGCAAAGGGCCTCGACTGTGTATATCAGAGATTGCCGCCAGGGGCCAACTTTCACGACGACGATCTGTGTGCCGGTCTTGGCGCTGCTGATAATCTGAACGAAGTCCCTGATTTTGATATGGGTTTTGATATCAACAACTTGGGAGCAGACTCGAGTGCCAGCGCCAGCGCCAGCACCAGCAACACCACGCCCGATAGCCTCGACAGAGTCACCACATCGTCGATAGAGCTCGATTCTCCCCTTGACTTCTCCATCATCGACCATCTCATGGCCAACGATACATCTCTCGGTTCCGAGCTATGGAACATGGGAGACTATGGCAACAACAAGCTCAGTATACCACCCGTGCCAGCAGGGCCTGTCGTCATCCGCGATGTGGCTGTTCTAGATAGAGCAGATGCCTGCCTGGCCGACTTCAACCCGCTGGACGTGTACGACCCTCGTACCCGCGTGGGATACACTGTAGAGATTATCACCAACCTCTACCGGGACTTCGCTCGGACTCGCCGGCTGCCCTTCATCCACCCCCGTCTCTACGGCTCCAACCTCCCAAAGACCATGCTAGCAGCCTTCTCAGCGGCGTCAGCCTATTCAGCGCGAACTCCCGAGAACAAAGGTTGGGTGTACAAGCTCATCACTGACATGGCCAAGGAGATCCATCGCGAGGGTGAGCGGGCCTCGACGCCGGCGGAGAAGCTGGCGCGGGTGCAAGCGCTGGTTGTTCTGGACTCTATCCGTATGTTCGATGGTGACGTTACTCTGAGGGCGACGAGCGAGCGCGAGCTGTCGCAGTTTATGGCGTGGATGTTTGCTCTCAAGGAGGTGGAAGAGGAGTTGTCAGTGGGGGATGAACCTGGTGCTACAACGATGAAAGGTCCACCTCCACCAAGCTGGGAGGTAAGATGATCAAGGAACTGTGCCATGGAGGAGGATTCTTGCTGACGTTGAGATAGAGTTGGCTGCTCGCCGAGAGTATACGCCGAACCACCGTCATGTCATTTGCTTTTGTGTGCATGACAAGCATACTCAAGTCCCTTGAGCGTACGTCTTGTTCTCTTTACCTGTGCACATATCTAACACTTTCGCAGCACCCTGCGGTATCATGGAGGGTCCAACCTTTCAGTTCACTGCATCGAGATACCTCTGGGAAGCCGATTCATCAATGGCCTTCTACCGTGCGTGGCAGACCAAACCACAATACCCGGTGCGGAACCTCGACTTCAAGGGTGTCTGGTTGCATGCTCAGCCTGAGGATGTTGATGAGTTCACGAAGCTAATGCTTACTGCGTAAGTAACTCCATCTGTCGAGTTTGTTATTATATCTAACATGAAACAGACAAATGGGCCCAGAAGCTATCGATCAGTTCATGATGGGTGCTGCGTGTTGATTCTGCGCAAGTAACGGATGTCTCATTTGTTTTGTAATGGTAGTTAGGCGTCAGGGTGCTGGTATTCACCAAGTTGTCCACGATATCACGGATCATGTTGGTTTACAAACAAATTGTTGAGCTGGTAACTATTCAGAAACACACAAGTGACAACCAAATGCTACCGCAATAATGCTATATCGACAGGTGTTTGACGCTTATTCAGACCTCATCTTCGGTGATCCTCCAGACCAGCCTCTCGCCACTGACTCCCTTATTTCTCAGAATATCCAACGCCTTTTGGGCCCTCTCAACAGCCGATGAACCTTCCACAACACGATACTTATTGGGGGTAATGACGCCGTCTCTGAGTAGCTTTGGTACCATCTCTGGTTGGGCCTTTTCTTTGAGAAACTCATTCTAGTTTATGTTAGTATTTGGTCGCTTCATGTGACTAAGAGTGACTTACGGAGAGGTAGAAATGCGTTCGCACACCGCGAACTTCAACACCATCGGCCCATTGCCCGACCAACACCCTGGAGACGTCCATCTCATACTCAGGCTCTTCTTCAAGTGTGGCATCTTTGAGAATAACAGGGAGCATAACGGCCACAGTGCTGCCGCGTTGAGCAATCTTGGACAGAGGCTTTAGAGTGCCCTCTAGAGAACCAATGCAGTCGATGATATAAGGCAGTTTGGGCTCTGTTCTGTTACTGGTGTAGTGGAGAATCTTATCGACAACATCTTGCTTTCGATAGTCAAAAGTCTCGGTTGCGCCAATGCTGCGAAGGTACTCATGTTGTTTTTCACTTGCGACAGCGATGATGTTCTTGAAGCCCCAGTGCCTGAAGACCTGAACGGCATAGATGCCGACGCTGCTCGAGGCACCCCAGATAAGGATAGGGTCATCAGCTTGCTTGGGCGTGTAACCTTCTGGGACAGGCCATGGAAGCTCCAGCTTGAGATCCGCAGTGGCAGTGTGAAAGACAGTCACGAGATTCACGGAGACTGTCACCGCTTCTTGGTAAGAAATGTTGTCTGGGATTTTAGAAGCAAGATATGCAGGAATTGTGATGTACTCCTGGTGATTTGCCTCCTTTCCACCATGGAAAGCAAAGGAAACGACACGGTCTCCGACATTCAGCCCCTTAAGGTCACCGCCATCGCCAACAGCCACGACTTTTCCAGCGGCACCTCCACTGCCCATTTGCTGCGGGTACTCGGAGATGAGTAGACCGCCATCGGCACGATGAAGGTCGAGAGGAGTTGAAGAGGTCCAGGCAACACGAACTAGGACTTCACCAGGGGCGGGAGGATACACAGGGACCGTCTGAAAGGCGAACGGGGTGCGTTTTGCAGGGAGGACTATGGCTTGCTGAGTTGAGGGGATAGAAGACATGACGGGCTTGGTTCGGTGTAGGTGATGAATGGCTTGATGAAGAGATCGATGTCACTCTGCAGACATAGCAATTCTATAGAGTTATATATACTTCACTGTTCTTTACTTTACCCGAGATCTCATCTCCTGATAATGCGTAATGCGTAATGCATATATAGTCGTATTATTAAAACGTAGATATTTGTCAGCTTGAACTCCGTGGAACGCCTAAATGAGCCCCACCGAAGTTTCTACATATGTAAGGAAACACGCACAATGTTTCGTATGCAAAACAAGGCGACCTTGTGAATAGATGCAAGCAAGCGGCAAGGCAGGGTAGAGTTCATGGACCCCACGAGTGCAAGATGGGACTCTCAACAATAATGGGTTTGAGTTTCAAGGCTGAGGTGGATATGCTGATGTAAGATGAAGTCTTAAAGAGGAAAGTATTTAATCAATGATGCAGTAATAAATGATCAAAACCGAGCTGAATGGAAGATAGTAGTGATAAGGCGTGATTCAATATCAGGATTCCACGCTGCTTTAGTTGTCAATCATGCCATCGCCAATAAATGGCCCCCGTTAAATGGTGGTCAACACTTGAAATCCAATTTAACTCATTTCCAACGCCATAACTCGTACAGTAAAAGGTATCTGATCCAGCCATCCAAAACGTTCATCCATTCCATACATCCCATTAAATTCCCAGCCTCAAATATTCGATGGTTTTGCATTAGACGGTGGCAGAGCCCATGAGGACCGTCCCGGCCGCAGGCCCAACATCCACATGCTTTTGCGTGACATTTCCGCTCTTGGCATCATCTCTCGCAGTCGGAGGACGTCCGAGGTCGGCTACGACATTGCGAACTCGCTGTCGCATACTCTTGCGGTGCTTTGCGGCTTCGTTTGTAGACATCTCCGTGTCGGCTTTTGTCGGTGAGACATGGTCCTGGGCTTCTTTGGAGAAGACGGTTGAGCCTGAGAGGACAGAGGCAGCGTCGCTTGTGGTGTCCATTTTGCGACAGACGAATTGACTTTGAAAAGAAGGAGACGCTTTTATTTGTATGAGTGATATTAAATTGATAGAGAGCTAAAATGGCGGGGGTGAGGCTGAAGCTTTATATATGGGAGGCAAGGGATAGGAAGGTAGGTACTGTCCCGTCCTGTCCTATCCTATCTCCTCCTCTCCTCTTCCCCGACTTTACCTGTCTGCCTCTTGCCTTGTCTGCCTTTCAGGGTCTAGATCTTTGGTGGTAGTGTTACTGACCCCGCGCTACTGTAGGGTGAACCCACTTTCATTAACCTTAATCAGTTCCACTTATCTCAAGGAATTACTATGGTATTGTCGCTCTGATACAATAAAAGACATAGTAATACATCATTAATCGTTATCAAATCTCTCTTCATATCATAACGGTCTCATATATTCTAATTCGAATACAATGCGACGTTCCAGAGACATCTCCCTTTCCTCATGGTTAGTTGCTGTTCAGACAGTCTAGACAACCCAGTGTCACCCCTCCCTATCACTCACACGTCAAACTCTCTGAGCCATTCGCTGAGGCCACTGGCTATACCCCATAACCCTTCACATCGACATCTACAGCTGAATCATCCTCCTCATTATGCCACCAAATCGATGTTAGCACATCCAAACCCAAGGTCTCAAACTCCTCCAAATTAGCCTCCTCCTCCCCTTTCTCAACTCTACCACCACAACTATCGGCACACGTAAACACTTCTCTCACACAGTCTATGTTCCACGGTCCGCAGTCCCAATCCCCTCCATCCATACTGTAGAACTCAGCCACGAGATTAGTCGCGCCGAAGAGCAGCTCGCACTGTTCCCGGCAAAGTTGCGTCTGATGCGTCTCTCGCGCATCACCCCAGCTGATCCGGTACCACATAGAGTAGTTCTCCGGTTGGCATGTTGTGCTGTGAACCATGTCGTATAGCTGGCCCATGCAGAGGCCCTGTGAGGATTTTGGCTTGATAAGAGCAGTGCGAACATTGCGGAACCACATGTTGAAGCCCTCTGATTTCAGATATCCCATAGTCGGAGGCGGTGGTTGAGATACAAGCATCCGTCGCCAACTGGAAGTGCCCATTGTGAAGTTCTCAAGCCGCTCCGTCTTCTCCAGCATAGATAAGCTTCTTGCTTCCCCTTGTGCTTTAATCGCACCTTCGGGAGCCCAAGGTAAGCGAAGGAACGAGTCTGCTCTTCGAAGGTACGTGTACTTGCGGTCGATATCGAAGAAGCATCGTCCAAACTTTTCAACCAGCAGCGGGTTGAGTGTGAAACTCTGCGGTCTTCGGGCCCCTGCCGAAGACACGGGTTGGAAGAACAGCGCTTGCTGTATTCTGGGAGATTCTCCTATCATCGCAGCCCAGTGACGACATACCCGCGATGCAGACACAAGAAGTGTCTTCATGTCAAGGTGTAAGAGGATGAGTTCCAGCAATTCCGGGACCGCGAGTATTCTGGTCATAGGGTCTGCGAACTCCATTGCGAATTTAGATGTTGTTTATGTCGAGGGATCATTCCATATGCAAAACAACAAGACTCAAGAAAGGTGGAAATGATGCGGGTTTTCATACGAACTTTATGCAACATGTAGAAGCTTTCAAAACCGATGATGTCGTGGTATCAAAAATGGAATCAACCTCACATGATGAACTGGGCTGCGAGTCATGATGCCATGGCTTCACTTTAGTGCATGCGACCAAAATGTAACTTCATATGTTATGTTGGTTAAAGTTATGCCAAAAATCATGCCTCGGTAGCAAATGGCCAAGCTTGGTTGGGTTGGCTTACAAGACCTGCCTACTTGGGATGTCAGTGTCAATCCTGTTTGACTCCGTATTCACGGCGCTAATGAGATTACACCAACGAAGCAAATCACCACCTCAATCCGATAAGGTTTTGCACTTTGAGGATCAGGCTGGAATGCCGTTACTCGATACATGAAGTAGAGAAATGGCACGCAAATAAGGGAAAGGCTGGATATAGAGGTATATATATCTCATTCATTAGCTGTGCAGTTGTGTACATCACCGTCGGTCGAAGAGTATCTTCCCTAGTGCTCCTTTCATGACACCATTACACACAGTGACAAAAGGAATTCCCAGACGCCCAGACTCCAATCATGCTGCCAAAGGCCCAAAATGACAGTCCCTTCTTACCCAAAACCCAGCAGTAAATCCTTGTACAAGTGCCCCGTGAAGATTAAAGAGGTCATAAAGGAGAGAAAAAAGTGTGCGCGCGCAGGCTACTTGGTTCGTTCCAGAACCTCGACTCGCTTGTTTCCGAGGTCGACAATCTTGCCGACGAGCTTGCCTGCCTGGTCCATCTCGGTGATGTCGTCGGCACCTCCCAGGCTCACACCGTTGACCATAATATTGGGTACGGTCCTTCGGCCGGTTGTCTCGAGTAGTTGGTCTTGCAGGGCTTGGCCTTGGGGATGGATATCGAGTTCAACGACATAGGGCTCGGGTGTGATGGAGTATTTTTCGATCAGAAGGCTCTTGGCTCGCTTCGAGAAGGGGCAGTACGTCTTCGAGAAGATGATGACTGGATGACAATTAGTGATTATGGTTCTTCTAGTGTTTGCTCTTGGAGACCTACCGGGCGATTTCTTGAGGATAGAGTCAAGCTCTTCGCGAGCCGCAATTGCTTCCTTGCTCCTCGTCTCTGTCTCGGGTTTCTTCTCGGCCGCGGCAGCAGGAGCTGGAATATCGCCAGACACTCCGCCAACAGGCTTGACGATTTTATCCTTATCCTGACCTTCCGCAGAACTTCCAACTCCCACAACCTTCTTGGGAGGATCAGGTCGCAGACCTCCCTTCTCGTTCGCCTTGCCCTTCGCCTCGGCCTCGGCAGCCTTGAGACGCTCCTGCATCTGAGCAGCTAGCTTCTGGTCGTCTGCGTCGATATCACCGTCTCCATCCTTATCAGCGTGAGGCTGTCCAGCCTTCTCTCCAGTTGCAAAGTCGACGATAGGCGCCGGGGGTTCGTTTGCGCTCATGGCATTTTGGGTCTTCTTGATGAACTCCTGGCCTGTGTAGGTCTCTGCATCGTGATGCGAGTCGAATCCTGAGGTGTAGAAGAGGATAAAGATGAATGTGCCAATCGTCGCCAGGATTAGTAGGCGTACTCGGCGTGGAGAAGGCATCTCGGCGGGATGATGATCTCGGGACCAGGGGTGGGTGCGCTAGGGAGCGAGCTCTGGTCAAGAGCTCTTGAGCGTCGCGCGACGAGCGATTGGAGTTGATGGAGGAGCAGCAGGATTGTCTCGGATAGCGATGATTAAGGAGCGTCGAAAAAGATGGGAAGGACAGTGAGAGAAATATCGGTCGGCTGGGGTGTTGAGCCGAAGATGACGGTGGGAAAATGGGAATGGAAACGGAAATGAAGAGGAACGGGATACGAGAGTCGACTCCCAGGGACAGATTCTCCAGATTAGAACCTGAGGTAAGGGAGAGCTCTCCAACTCCAGCGGAGGGTTTTGGTGTCTGTGGCCAATCAGGGCGTCTCATGGGGATAAGACAGTGTGTGTCATCATGGACTGTGCTACAGATGGACAGCATTTCATTTTCTACGCTTGGTAAACCTAGAATTTGAGCAGTAATATCTTATAAATTTTATAAACTGTGGGAAATCAAGGAGTTACAGTATTTGAAAGTAACATATAAGATAATAAACCATGTTTGGTTCAAGTATCTCACCAATGCCCATCTGGCCATCCAATATTAAACAAACTCCGTCCAACATGCCAATATCAGAAGAGCCAGCTTCTGATTTCCCCTCATCACTTCCACCCGATTATTGCAAAACTTTGTTCTTCTACAAGTCAGTACATGCATCATATTAATCGTGGGCTTGTCACCTACCATTGAATATTTATACCGTCAGCCGCTCCACGGAATGGTGCATCTCTTGGTCAGGTACAGCCTGTGCTCGCACACTCTGACTAGGCTTCTGAGGCTCTTCGAACAAAACTTGGGGGGCTCCATGGTGATAGTGTGATCTTGCGCGGTGCAGAAGAGCTGCTCTTGTTGCGTGGAGGTTTCGAAGATGTTGATTACCATGGCGGTGATGGTGCATTGCTGGTGCAGCCTCGAGAGTGAAGGCCCAAAGGAAGAAGGCTAGGAAGAAGGAGAGTTTGAAGGACAACATTTTGTGCTGTGAGCTGAAGTGATGCAACGAATTGGTTTGACTATGTGCTTGCTGCTATCACGAAAACTCTACTGGGCTATTCGCTCTTATATGTCCTTTGAGATCCCTTACTCCCTTCTCCCATTGAGACCATATGACGAGTAGTGTACTTACAATGAGTCTATTCCATGCTTCAGTACCGCATTCGGTCAGAATCGTCCTGTCTTGGAGCCCCTCGGAAGGAATTTGCAGGGTCGTGGGCCGCACTGAGACAATCTTCTAGTAGAGCTGTTTGCGACAAGAAACTATTTCTGGTCCCGCCAGCCCCTTCAACTTATGCTCCCTCCATCACATGAACCCTTTTATCAGGATAAAGCTCATATGAACAAGTCTTAAACCCCTCATATAAGCTATTTCCTTGGCCGTTGAGATCGTCGTCAATGTTGATTTGACCCTCGTGAAAGGGAAGGCTGGTACTTGTGAGACATTCTCAATAATCGCGCTACATGTGACTTTGTGGGGTTACAATATCACGATTTGAATGTTATCAGGCAGCGATCTGAATCAAACCTACATCAGAACTATGAAGTTGACGTGTTAATCTTTTTCATGATATTGACTTACATGAAGGCCATATATGAAGCATGACTAATCGAGAATGTTGCTCCGAACCAATAGAAACCTGCCAAAACTCTTTTTTTACAGTGAGCATCCATGGTGGCACGGGCGTTGATGGATCCTGACAAGTTGCATTTCTAGTGACTTCGATTTATGATAAAAAGAAGTGTCCTTTTACTCGACTGAGTCATATCTTGGAGTTTCATAGCATATAACGGGAAAACATATTCATTTATTTGTTTATCCTACCTATTATCTCACTCTTGATTCCAAAGTCTGTCACCATTTTACATTGCAACCCCTTGAACTCACTGCAGATATCTACCCTTGAGTTCTCCGACCTACTACAGTTTTAAATCTGCCCTTTCAATACTCTGCTCGAGGGTTTACAAGAATCACCAATAATACTCCTTAGTTTCAGATCGAACATTAGACCCTGGCCGCCTTCGCCGTTCAGCCTTGAAGAGCTCTCGCCTGTTTAAAGCATCAGATATTCGGTATGGCTCCCTCAAGGGCAAAATCCTTGTCACTCATGATCGCCCTCGTCCTGGGTATTGTCCTCTGCATCTTCGCAGCACCAACACTCGCCTCAGCTCCAGCCTCACAACCATCTCCCGAGGCAGATGTCGAACTTATCTGCCACACAGATAACCCCAAAGACTGTTACCCAAAGGTGTTTCAACCAACAGATGAGTTCCAGGTCGTCCACGATGATCAGGAACTTCCCCACGGACTCCATGTTCGCCTGAATATGTCCAACGGCAAGAAGGAGGCCAAGATCAATGTCCCCGATGAAGGAAACCCTGCACTCGAAGGCCTCCCGGTTGACCAAGCTGTTGTTGTCGTCGATCAGCAGCAACAGGAGGATCCCCAAATTCCCAGGGGCGCCCCGGCTTATGAACCTATTGGTAAAATCAAGGAGCCTGAGGGCGAGGATTTCGTCGGTAAGCCCTTCTTCACCGCCATGAAGATGTTGAAGGCTGGCGAGACCGGCCAAGGCAAGGAGCTTGACGATGCGCTCGAGGGAATGGAAGAACTGTCACATGATATTTACTACGGTCTCAAGGTCACCGAAGACGCGGCGGTGTTGAAGGCTCTCTTCTGCATGATGGCGGATTCAGATGTTGCTTACCCTGCGGATATCACTCCTCGGGATCACCAAGCAGCTGCCATTCTCGGGGCCGCGCTGCAGAACAATGCTGCGGCATTGAAAGAGATCACCAAGCAGTGGCCTGGTCTCATGGAGGGTCAGTGCCCGAGCAACAGCAAGTCTCTAAAGGAGTCCTTCTATACACCTCTTGTGCCCGCTCATGTTCCATCGTCGCTCAGCACCAAGACGTTGGCCTCTACAGCGAAAGCCAAGGTTGGAGCCATCAACGGCCTCATCAAGAGCGATGTCATCCGAGATGAATTCCTCAAGAACGACGGCATGAAGCTGTTGCTTGAGGTGCTCGTGCCTGAAGGCAAAGAATGGGATACTACACAGCGCAAGGTCGGCCAGTTGGTTCTAGATACTTTCTTGGATGAAGATATGGGCGCAAAGCTTGGTCAGTGGCCTCGCACAGAGCGAGACAGCGACGCAAAATGTCGAGTATTTGAGACAAGCACCGGAGAGGGGTGCTGGGACTACCATGTTGCGAGGATCCTGAAGGAGAACAAGAGAGACAGCGGACATTGGAGCCGGGATCTACATGATCGGCTTGCGGCATTGAGGAAGAGCGGAAAGGTGCCTCCTCGCGTTGAATTGTAGAGCACAGCACAGCACAGCACAGCACAGCACAGCACAGCATCTGCCAAGCGAGATTATTATAAGCAGAGCAATAGAGCAACTATTTCAAGCTGTAAAATTGAGTATTGCGACATTCTGCATGTGAGAATGCTGTGCCCAAATGTGGTGCAATTGAAGGATTGATCCTGATGTGGTTCGCTAGATTGAGCTCGGTGCAGGAGAATTTCGGACATTGGCCTTACTCCATCTTACAAACAACAAAACATTCATGGATCTTGCTGACACCCGAATCCTGAGATAAGTACCTACTTATATACCACAATCGGCCCCGTTTTGATACGTATTTCTGCTATCCGGCTCTTTCGGACCAAACCTCAGTCTCGTCTAAAATGAATCAAGACGTACCCTTCCAGCTAAGGCATGATAAAAAAGGTCGTGGAATCTTCTCCACCAGAGCCTTTTCTCCAGGCGACATCATCCTCCCATTCACACCAACGATTCTCATCCCCTCACTATCTCACACAAAAACCATCTGCAGCCACTGCTTCAAGCCGGCTGACGTACGCTCCTGTTCCGGCTGCCACGCCGTGTCCTACTGCGATGCCGCCTGTCAATCTGCAAACTGGACTGCAGTACACTCCAAAGAGTGCAAATTACTGCGTAAAGTGACCGAGCAAGGACACCCGGGCATACCGACGCCTGTACGCGCAGTGATTCAGGCGCTGGTGAAGCCTGGTATTGGCGCTGCGCTGGAGAACCTTGAAGGAAATGTCGAGTCTTGGAGGAAGAGTGACAAATGGGCTGACATGGAGATGATGGCCATGGGTGCTACTGCGTTTACTGGGCAGGGCACGGGTCAAGAGGAATTGCAGAAGACGCTGGCTCTGCTCTGCAAGGTAAGCCCTCAGAAATGTACGGCAGCAGGTCAATATACTGACATATCACAGATTCAGACAAATGCCTTTCATAGATATGATGCCGATCTTGGACAGGTCGGCATCTTTCTCGAACCAAAGCTCGCCATGGCCAACCATTCCTGCATTCCCAATGCCATGGTGCAGTTTGTTGGCAGGAGGGCCATACTCAGAGCTGAAAAGCCGATCAAAGTCGATGAAGAGATTGAGATCTCTTACACGGGCATGTCTCCCCGTCATATCCTCAAGATGCCCACTGACATGCTATCAGATTACACGTTCCCTCGGTCCAAGAGAAAACATGCACTTGCACCGTACTTTTTTGATTGCCAATGCCCTAGATGCGAGAAAGACCTCAACGTCTACCAAGTCTGCGCTGGCTCTCCAATCATCAATATGAACCGCCATAGCCTTGTCGCTGATGTCGGCAAGCTTGGCAAGCACCCTGCTGCAACAGATTCGACAAGAGCCTCGACGGCGACGAGTTTCAGCGAGCAACTGTCTGATTTAATAGATGAGAAAGACCCTGCCTTATCACCAGAGAATCGTCGAAGAGTACTTCGAGCTCGTTACCAGCAATGCAAAGGACTGACAGCCGAGAAGCTTTGGGCAGTATCACCACTCCCACAGCTGCTGACTGAGGTATCAATCCTATACATCGAAGAAAGCAACTTCATATATGCCTTAACTACGGCATGCTTCGTTGCGACTTCCAGCGACCCTTATCGACATGTCTTGCCATGTCATCCTATTCGCATCAAGGGCCTTTTACTCGTCGCCAAATTACTCGCCAATACGGCAGCTGACACAGCCTCACTCGGTAACTCACAAGCCGTGGCATCAAAAGGAGATATTAACCAGAGGGCCCTTCAGACACTGCAGGACATTGACCAAGTTTCCTTGTGCCAGATGCTTCTCATCATGATTATACGGTCTGTTCCCAGAGACTATGTTCGAGAATGGGAAGTCTCGGCCACTGCTCAGCAGATGCTGGATGAGATCAATGAACTACCAGGAAGAGACCAGGAGTTGTCTCTTATTAACGCCTGGAAAGAGAATCCTGAGGGTGAACAAGCTCGAGCCTTCTTTGAGTATGCTGTAGTGAAGCAAGTAGATTCTCTGGCGAATTTGGGACTTGAGATACTTGAGATGGACTTTGGCTATTAAATAGAGATCACTTAGTGTTGGTTTTGGAACCCACTAGATTCGCGAGTCAGGAATTTAGATGCTTGAAGACTTTGGACCTATTATTGAGTACCGTAACATTACATGATTATATAGATTCCTATATCTACTTCAACCCTCCTGCCGCGTGCAAGACGCGTAAAGTGGTTAGGCCTACAGACACTCTCATTGGCTGATCTCACAACAAGCTTGCGTCCCACTCTCTAGGTAAAGTCCCTTGAAAAAACGCCTGGCAAGCAAACAGGTACGTACCCTTGGCACAGCAGTGCATCTGCATTCTCGGATCGCAATTCTTTTTTATTTCCTTAAACATTGTTACCTCACGACGTGAACTCTTTTCACGTTTCTCCTTCTAGCGGCGTATTATTTGCGCTCGCACTCGTGTAAAACTCATAATGGGTAAGAAAGCAAAGAGAAAAGCTGCCAAACTCGTCAACAAAGCCCTTACAGCCCTAGGATCTGACCCAATCCCCGATCCCATCGACAAGGCCTCTTCAAGCGACAATCAAGATGAGGCCCAAACGCCCGACAAGTTCGACCAAGGTGTTCCTGTCACGACGGCCATTGCGACTCTCGAGAAGGATGCTTCAACACAAAGCGACGGCAGCCTGAAGCGTTCAAATCCCCATGACGCAGACGACGGCGGAGAGTGGCAGGTCGTTTCACGGGCTTCAAAGAAGCTTAAGAAGGTCCCTAAACCTGGCAAGAATTATCCCACCATTGCATTCTCGCCTAATGCGCGACTGCAATCCAAGATCAATATTTCCCAAATGCGAGACCTGGTTACATATATCTTTGCCGACGGAGCTGGTCCTCAATGGATCGGCATTACCCATCGCCCAGCGTTCCGAAAGATTGTGGCTATAATGATACCCGGTATTGAGGAGGCTATGTTCAAGCACGACGTTGACTTCGATACATACAACAATGCTGATAAGGAGGAAAACGCTGTTGTGGCGTCGCCGGACGACTATTATCCCCGACCACTGAGGAGAGAGCGCCTACCCGAGGCTCTGCAACCATTCGCGGACATGTTCACGCATCTATGGCCCGTCAAGACACCAGGTGATGATAGACACGGAAAGATGCATTCGCCCATGGCCGCTTTCCTAACAACCCCCACCCCGAAGGAAAAGAATGGGACAAAGAAGGGCATCAAACCAGCACATGAGCCTTCGGGATGGAAGAACGAGAGAGCACGCATCACTGAATTCCTTTGTACAGTCGATGATCTGACTGACAACGGCTACTTGGTTCACCCAGCTATGCTGGAAGGTGTTGCCAAAGACCAGTTCGTTCTCCCCGAAGGATGGGTCATCACCCATGTGAAAAGCCTTGAAGAAGGTCAAGTTCCAGAAGACGAAATTGAAAAGGGCAGCATCACAGAAGGACGAAATGTTCTGGCCCTGGATTGTGAAATGTGTATGACTGGAGAGAACGAGTTCTCTCTGACGAGAATCAGCATAGTCGACTGGTTCGGCAACGTTGTACTCGATGAACTTGTCAAGCCTGATAAGCCTATTATCGACTACGTCACCCAATTTTCTGGCATCACAGAAGAGATGCTTGCACCTGTAACAACTACATTACATGACATCCAGCAGAAGCTACTTGAACTGCTGACCCCTCGCACAGTCTTGATAGGACACTCTTTAGAGTCAGATACCAAGGCTCTCCGCATCTCTCACCCTTTTATCATCGACACATCCATCATTTACCCGCATCCTCGCGGCCCTCCTCTCAAATCGTCTCTAAAATGGCTGGCGCAAAAATATCTGTCAAAGGAGATTCAAAAAGGCGGCGCAAATGGCCACGACAGCATCGAGGACTCTAAGACCTGCCTCGATCTTGTCAAACAAAAATGTGAAAAGGGCAAGGCCTGGGGAACATCTGACTCACAGGGAGAGAACTTGTTCCGCCGACTAGCGCGAGCTGGAACTGCATACAAGGCCCAAGGGGGAACCGCAGGTGGCGCTGAGGTCGGCAAGACGAGCGCAGCTGTTGACTGGGGCGATCCCTCCAAGGGGGCTGGAGCCGGCGCAACACATCAGCTCGGCTGTAAGAACGACGAGGATGTAACTAACAACGTAATTCGTGCTGTGCAGGGAGACCCGGATGGCCTCGAAATCCGCGGCGGCGGAGTTGACTTTGTCTGGGCGAGAATGCGAGAGCTTGAGGCCCTTCAAGGCTGGTGGAACCGTAACCGTGTCGACAACACAAACAGCGACGGTGGTCCTCCACGAGACTCTGAGGCCATCCCATCCGACAAGTCAGAGCTCGAGCAGGCCCTCGTACGCCTTACAGAGCGTCTCACACGCATCTATGATTCCTTGCCGCCCTGCACAGCCTTCATGTTGTACAGCGGTTCGGGCGACCCGCGCGAGATGTCGCGTCTGCAGAAGGTGCAGGCCCAGTGGCGCAAGGAGTACAACACACCCGGTAAGAACTGGAACGACCTGAGTGTCAAGTGGACTGATGTCGAGGACCAGGCGCTCAAGGAAGCGGCGCGCAAGGCTCGGTCAGGCATTGGGTTTATCTCGGTGAAGTGAAATACCAAAGGGACACGAAGGTATCAGATAACAAAGGATACTGTTGCAACTGAAGACGAAATGCCAGATGCGTAACAAATGCATATCTTGCTGAGGGGCTATTTATCGTATTACAAAAAGACTACTTGCATGTAAACAGACCATCGTCTGTTAAAACGTGCACAAATAAACGAGATCAAGTACAATGATCATTACAACTTCTCATTAGAATTGTGCCTAGTAAATCCTGGTTCTTCATCGTCCCAGGATGGTGAGTCATACCCAGAACCTTTGACAGGATATCCCTCCAAAATTATATAACTACACTTTCATTCCCACAAAACCCACTACATAAAAAACAATAGACATGTTGGGGCTTTGATGACCCCTTGTGTAAATCCCCCTCCCTGAACCAGCTTTTTGTTACGCCAACGCTAGTATGGACATTCTCAAAAAGAACATATCCCTAAACACAAAGAAAATTGACTCGAGGCAGTCAGGCTCAAGTAATGAAAATTTGCCATAAAAAGACCCGTATGTAACGTAACGCCTTCTCGTTCACTTGTACTTTCAGAGCTCGAGTTCCTTCGTGAGAACCTGCGGCTGTGACTGAATTGTGTTCGATTCATAACCAAAAATGAGAGAAGGTGAGCATGTGTGCTCATGTGCAAGGACCTTGAGGACCTTGGTCTATAAATCGTGTACATGGTTTTGGCCCTTGAGGCAACCAAACAAAAAAGAAACTAGTATTAGGTTGAAACCCGAGAAGGGTGTAGTGACTGATCATATCGACGAGTGTGTTATGGTAAGCAACATAGAAGAGTGACCAATAGACCTCCTACTTGGCTATAACAGCAGAAGTATCAAGTGCGAGGTCTGGCAGGAGGATCTTCGACAAGCTCGGCGGAGCTGCCGAGCAGATCCACGTCACGGTGCAACGGGTCAACTCGGCTGACACCATGTTGTGACACCATGCCAAAGCTGGCCGGCCGCTCATCAACTGAAGGGCCGAAGTCGATGTTGGTGAACTCGCCGGGGAACTCCATGGACGAATTGGACGACAATCGCTTCTGGGAGTTGGTTCGCTCAAACGGTAGCCGCGATGACGCTGATAGTGTAGCTCGGTGGTGACTTGAAGTGCGGCTAACAGCATCGGGTTCTCCTCGCCACTGAGATTCAAAGGATATCGTTGAGCCTGGCATATTCATGAGGGTAAGAGATGGTGCTCGGCTGTGATCACTGCCTCCAAAGTGGCCAGAAGCACGCTTGGAGCTCTTCCGAGGAATCTCTGGGGCATCGTCATCCTCAGCTTCGCGCAGTGCGATATGAGGCGCCTTGGACAAAGACTTGCTTGGCTCCCGAGGGAAACTCTCGCTGCCGGCACTGAAAGTACGTCGGGGTCGCTCCAGCACAGGACTTTCCGGCTCAGAGTCTTGAGGATCACCGTTGTCATCTAGTAGAGCACTTTGAGGTTGACGTCCGGGAGACCGCCTTGGTCGAGGCTCGTCTTCATCATCTGAGTCAATTGGACCGTTCCGTAGTACGCCCATAGCCACTGGGATACCCTCAGGGGGCGACTCTCCACCATTCCTAGCCATCATGGCTGGAGGCATCCGTGAGCTCCTCACAACCTCGAAACCCTTGCCCTTCTCTTTTGTCTTTCCACCGAATAGATTCCGGAACCAGCCCGAGGCAGTAGCCACAGGACCAGTTGGATCGGCGGGACCAGTTCCAAGTTTCCGGCCCGGGCCGTCCGAGTTCAAGGCGGGTCCACGAACCCCGTAGTAAAAGTCAACCTCGCGAGTGGCATAATCGGGTCGGTTCGGAGGTATACTGGCCTGAGAGTATCCAGCGGGAGGGGGCGCTGGTGTTGCTCCTCGAGAAATATCCGCACCCATATCTGCAGGATCACCTAGACCTCCAGCTGGGTTGGCGCCCTTAACATCTGCTGCGTTAGAGCCACCAGGTCCTTCGGAGTGGATGGACTCGTTCATCGTCTGTCGTCTTCGAGGAGGTCGATAGTAGGGATCGGCAGCATCTATTGATTGTGTAGGATGATGGCGGGCAGCGCTGGGGGAGGGCAGGAATGAAAATGTACTCCTCTCCCCAGGGGTGTTGGGCATGTATGAGCTGCTGCTATCCACGTTCTGCGGCATGCCAGAGTAAACATCGATGCTATCGAGCGCCGAGCTGCTCCTATGCCGAGGGTTCATGAGTCCACCGAGACTAGCACCAGACTCGCTTCGAACCCTTCCGCTTGGCATGGCATATCCTGACTTCCCGCTATCGTCCACGTCCAACATTGCTGCTGTCGACAACTGGCTTGCTCGGGATGGACCAGTGTTACGTTGCTGTGTGTTGCGGCGAGACAGCTGTCGCATACCAAAGATCTTTGTGAGTCCACCACGGGTCAGACCTCGAGCGTCGTCTCCGCCAGCTCCAAGCATGCGAGCCGCGACCTCGATAATGGTCTGCAGGGCGTTGAGGAAGAAACCAAATATCAAAGCCGCACCGTGGATTCCTAAGATGATGTAACCAATCCAACCCTTGTCGCCCTCAGAAACATCAAGAGTAGGCACGAATGCTACCATTAGTAAGATAGAAATTAGACGAAGTGCTCCAAAAAGTGTATGATAAGCATTCATCGCTGTTGAACGCTGGAACGGTCGGAAGGCATGGATGGTAAGAATATGAATCACTTCGCAAATGGCGAGCAGTACCACCTGAGCGATACCACTAGGCTGCACGGCACCGACAGTGATACCCCGGAGGAATGTTAGGAAGACGGGAATGAGAGCGAACCCAGCAGCCTCGTCGGAGTATGTGTTATACAGAGGGCCGTATAAAAGAACAGTCGGCAAATCATCGTAGAGGACGGACTTTGGCCTCGTTCTGATTATGAGGTAAAAGAGGTATGCCGCGAAGATTATGAGGAAAACCAAGGTAACGACGGCGAGAGCAATCGTATAGGTCGGAGAATCGCCAGCAGTGACGAGCTGAAAGCACGACAGGGCGATGATCGGGAATAAGAAATAGTTGAAGACAATGCGGACGGCGTTGCCAACGGAAAAGGGGACGTTCTTTGAACGCAGATCTTCCTCCGGGGTGTTGTTGATCTTTCGGAATAGCCACTGCACTGCAAATGCGCCCTGAACTAGAGCGGTAACAGAAGCAATGCACACACATAGCCAAACCATCATACCGGCCCAGATATCTCTACTCTCAGCCATGCCAACCAATTGACCAAGCTCTTGAAGTCCGTAAGTGGCATTGGTGACATAAATACCATCGACAACGCTCTGCCATGATGGGGCATCGGCGACAAAGCTCTCGTTGAACATTAGAGTCGACCAGGCCATCTGGCTGACAATGGGTTGATAGAAGCCGGGATAGTCAAGAGTGAGGCCACCGCTTAGCGCGATAAATTGGATATACTGAAGGCAATCTCCAAAGCCCGGCGTGACAAGACGGAGCAGATCAACATCTCGACCATAATTGGAAGTCCAGTGGAAGATATCAGATGAGCCCCAGGGACTAAAGATGGCTGAGAACACGACTGCAAAACCTGTAAAAAGGAGCACTATCATGGGTAAAAACTTGAGTAGCCACGAGAGACCTCCCAGATCAGGAGTCACCGCCATGGAAACACAGCCAATCTGAGGAGCATCGCGAGTCCCATCAATAATCGACATACTAGGTGCTAGGGACGCAAACGCATATGTTGAGTAGGCGTCCCATGTGATGTTAATAGAAGGTAACTTGTATGCATCACTATAAATTTATGGTCAGTACATCTGTCTTGACTTCAATTCATGAGTAGTTTATGGACAAGGACGTACCTATAATCGACTTCTCCGAAGTAAGGTCCAAGCGGGCAAGATCCGTTTACCAATGAAGTGTTACAGAAATTAAATTTGTCGTTGTTGTACGGAACATATGTCAAGAAGTGAACCTTGGGGAAGTAAGTCGTAGCAGTGTTGTAGCCATCCTTCTTCTGGGGAGTCTCGGCGATTTTGCCATTGATATCGCTGGCATCCTTCCAAGAAGGGTCATCGGGCGGTGGCAGCGCGCTGGTCGTTCGGGCACCTGTGACGTTTCCCCAAACAATAACTCGAAGGTTGTGTTTCTCGTTCTCGGTATCGAAGACGGCATCGGCGTATAAGGGAACCCATTGCAGCCTCGTCGGTTCGTGCAAGCGGTAGGCGTCGCTGAGGCAGTTTGTGAAAGGGATCCTCACGGCATGAGCAGGCGATACGGCGTGCATTGCAATGAGAAGAGCGACGAGTAGACTTTTCGACAACCGGGATATCGTGCTATATCGAGGGAGCCACGCCCTTTGTCGAGGGACAGCTTGTGTCATGGTTGTGGAATAACACTGATTGCGTGAGTGACCAGAAGAATCTACGGGAGCGAAGGCAGCAGGCGCGGAGCCAGATATCGGGGATTTCGACGACCGTGCCACATGTCGCCTCCTGGGCAGGTCTTGGATGAGGCCGCGATGGTGTGAGTAAGGGCGGCAATCTTGCGAACAGTCGACAAGTTGTTGACTGGTCAGACCAAGCTGCATAGCTTCGAGATTAATACTATCCAAGAAGCTGAAATAACCAAGACTGTTGAAATTTGCCAGTGGAGTCAAACTGTGAAGGCGAATAATCGGATCCGGGAGGTTCGTGGTGGCTCAGACGGAGATCATCTTGGGTGTCGAGAAGAGTAAGCCGACAGAAGGTTAGAAGACCGACCAGCAAACGAGCAAACGAACGAAGGAGCGAGCGACGTGATTCTCGAGATGGCAACGGATGTGAGATGATGTTTGTTTAAATGACCACGGATCAAATGCTGATTGCTACTAGAGTTATCTACGATGGGTAGACAAAGCTGATGGAGCTACCTGAAATACAAAAATAGGGAAGCGAAGCGAAGCGAAATCGATTGACGGAACGAGCGAGTGAAGAATCAGGCAGGAAGGAAGAAACCAAAGGGAGGAGAAGGAGGGAAAAAAGGCCCAACAGTAGAGTAGCAAAAATGCGTGAGCGAATAGGTAGGTTCTGCTGTGCGCGCAATGCAATGGTCGTGTGTCGATCGAACCTGACGGATGTATTCTTTTTTTGGGGGGCAGCAAGGGAAAAGAGACGCCCTTGTCCCAGTCGTTGAAGTGGGAAGAACAATCTAACGGGGGACCCATGGAGAAGTATCAGGTACATGTCAAGTCAGCGCTGGGGATAAAACGCTAGAGGGGCCTGTAAGACGCCCCGGGCCAGACGGCAGTGCACCTGAACTAGCTGCTGGCTGTAGGGAGCTGAACTGGATGGACGGGATTCTGCTTCCCGTAGTAAACGAAACCCTGGCAGGCTTGGTGAGGATTTGCAAGTGTAAGTGGATTGTTTCCTGGTGAGCATTACGAGCTCTAACTAGGAATTTCTTCAACTGACCCGTATCTCATACTTCTTGTGTCTCACAATGCACTATGATTTACGCTTAAATCTCCTCTTAATCAGCCCTGGCACGAAGGAGTTCGACACCTGGCCTCGAGTGAGATTTTGTGGAATGAATAGGTAGATGGAAGGATTCGGTTTTGGAGCTATCGGCTCTGGTGTCTGCTCCAAAGCAGGGCATTGTGGCTGGGTCCACGCTAAGAACGCATGTCCTATCTTTATCTCAGGCCATCTCAGGGCTCAAGTCGTGGATGCTTATCAGGAGAAGACTTCCATTGATTTGTGCGACCAGTTCGAATTATCATTTAAGAGATGCTGCATGTAAGAGGTGATGATTGCTTCCAACCTCTGCAGTTCTTGTCCTACTACATAGAACTGCCTTTCTGTTAGGGATTCCCTTCTCTGAACCTCGAGTATCTGATACTTGTGTCCTGCAGCTTTCGTAAAACAAATCCCCTCCCATTGGATCCCAATCTGCGCTAGCCTTTGACGTTTAGCGCAAAACGTCATGGCTTGCGGCTTAGATTGAGCCCGATGATGGAGCTGTCCCTTCTAAAAACGGGCAACGGCCGCTGGACAACACCTACAAATCTTTCCATCATTTGATCGACGTGTTGCTACCTAGGTTATATATCATGATATTTCGAGTTCAAAGTGGTCTTCTCTCCTCACCAACATACCTAACCAACTCGTTACCCGCAGTTTCTGAATTGAATCCGGAGCAAATATGCTAGAATTCCAGATTCCCAACTCATCAATGCAAGGAGGCCATCTTGTCAGCCACAGCCACGATGGAGCGGAACGCAACGTATATCACAGTCACTGAACCTCTCTGGGCTACTTCTCTGAATTTGATGCTTTTCGCATACAACGTTGTATGCAGTGCACATATAAGCTGCTTACTCTTTTACATGATACCGCAGACTCTTAACTGGACGCCATAACATGTTACAACTCACGTCGGACACAGTCTCTTCTTCCCAGCAGCTGAGGTCTCGATATCTGAATGCGGGATGGGCCCGTGTTGAGCTGAGCTGTTAGTCATCACCACATCGAACTACACGTTACAGAACAGAAGGACTCCATTTCATGTCAGTTGCTTCTGCCAACGTCGACTCACTCTTCGCCCCGTGGAGCACAGCGCAGATACGAGCGGGAGTTGGGTCAGCGTGGGTATTCCCGTTCCCATCTTGACCTTTGCTCTGGCCCTATTCGTTGACCATTTTCACGAGAGCCTGTTACAGTAGTGCCAAACTTAACATGTGGACGGACCAACCGAGTGGGCTATTTTCAGCAACATCCTTCCATCCACCCATAACAGTGGAATCCATGCGCTCCAGTCTTAATCTTCAGCTCATCTCTACCGTAACCATACGGTTTATACCGGCAGTCTCTTCTATTGTCATCAAGAACTCTATGCAGAGGAATAAGCTCGTAAATCAGTAATCCTTCTACATACCGAGATGATCTGTTTTACTAGCCCCAGTGACACAATCCACTTACAACCCTTGTCCCTCAATTGCTGCCGATTCCTCCGTCAACGTTAAGCGATGATATATACCTTCCCTCTTTGTTGCCTGGAATCTGGTTTTGAGGTCCCCATCAACCTCCACTTCGCTTCAAAGGCCCCCCATCCATCGATATACCCGACATCTTCTAGTAAATTCCAAGCCAGCCGCATCATTACCATGTCAATATCTCATGTTTTATCTCGCCCGTCATTAGAAAATCATTCAAAACGCCATCTCAATGATTTGCCAGCTCATCATTGGATCATCATAGGGTTCCATCAATGATCTAGACCCCTGAACCCTCTCCCTCACCCTTTAACTACACCCTCTCGCCAGTAGCACAGTCTCAGTCGCCCACCCAAAAACCACCCAGCCACCATCGGAGCATGAAATATCCTGCTCCCCATTGATGATATTTCCTAGATCCTATTGTCTGATGGTGATGTGCAGTGGAGGCCACGCGGCTGACCAACTGGCACATGCAGATCTACATAGCCTATCTCGCAACTTCTTGGCTCTATCACCAGACATGTACCGACTTCGATGCCTCACTTACTGACTTACCCTGTGGCCTGGTTGTATTGTAGCACTTGCTAATTTCAAGATTAATAAGGTAAGCTATAACGGAACATGGAAACGACCAAACACTTTGGCCGCTATGACCGCCTTCTGAGCTAATGTTTCTTGGTCTTATTGGCGTGCTTCTCTATAAACACCTCATCTTGAAGCGGCTTGTGCTTTATGTACCGCCTAGTAAAGAACTCACGTTTCAGGATCAACTAAGGTAGTTGCAGTATGTAACTGCGGCTCCCAACAGATGCTACTAGCTGCACCAGGGTTCTCTTAGATACAATCACCATCCTCAGGTTCAGCTTACTAGTAAATTCTTAGTGTGATTTCATTAACTACCTTCTGCAAGCTGACCATCTAGCCCAGCAGCCCAGCAGCCCAGCAACCCAACATCTCTAGCCTCGTCAATTTAGTCGTTCCGTCGTACAAGCAATCTCCGCAAGCAAGCGCTCCTCCCTTTCCCCAATTTCCCTATAGTTAACGGTATATGAATGAATGAACACCACGATTGCTTCCTCCCATAGACATTATTGCGCCCGAGCCCCAAACAAAACACTTTACGCCTTCGATTTGCCTTTCACTTCAGATCGAAGTATGTACTCCACCGTGACAGATGGGTTTCCTTTCAGCCACGACTCCGTAACTCGCCTCAATCGCCTGTCAACCACTTCAACCTCGTCCATGTTCCTGAACTGCAGGGCCAGGTCTGGCTTCGTAGCTCGACCAGAGTTCGTGAACTCAAGAGCAGCAGCTTGTAGCTCGCACATTTGAACCTCGACCTTGACCGAAAGGTTCACTGTGGAATCGTTTTGTGATATTATTTCAAGTGGAAGTTTTGTCGACGCAATGCGTTTCAATCTCCCTCCGTTTGCATGAATACGCTGTCGCTTCATGAGAAGGCGTCTAGAATCCAATTCTGCGCTTTCTGAAGTTGAAACGCTTGAACAGCGTCGCTGTCGCTTGAATGATCTTGAGTAGAATCCCTCATTGTGCTGGTCATGGATATGATGTAGCGGTGCTGGGCTGTATTCACCAGTAGCTTCTTCGTCCGACCCTGTGGCTTGTGGTGGTGGTGTTCTCTGAAGTAACACTTGTAGAGAGTGCGACCACTGCTTGTTACCTTGGGTTTGACTTCGTTCAGAATCCCTCATGCCTCCGCAAGAGCTTAGATGATTGTGTGGTACTTGATCGGACAACCAAGATTGCGCATAGACCTGAGAGGAGAATTCTCCAGGGCTAGAAGGATGCTAGCCTTCCTGGTCCTCGGAGTTCGCGTGACTGTTGTGCAACATTTCCTTAAGATGTGCGTCCGAGTCGTCACGGCTGTTGCTCATCGGTGCATTTCTGCGGTTAAGTAGTCCATTGCCATACCAAACTTGGTCCGACCGACGTCTGCCTTGGGATGCAGTGGGACCACTTCCAAGGAGCAAGCGGCTTTGTCTCAACTCGTCACCGCTTCGTCTGTCGACTGACGGTACTACACTACCCCGAGAAGACCTCTGGGCTCTGACCAAGATATTGTTGGTGGATTGTCGACGAGAATCACGACGAGTTGAGTTATGGGCACCAGTAGGGTCTGATGATGGCGGCGTTTGTAAATTTGCCGGCAGTGTTAATTGCAAGTCTGGCATTGAATTGCGGATTGACTGCTGCCCTAAGAGAGGCCTGAAAGGCTGGCTTGAGAAAGAAGGAGCCTCACGACGTGGAGATGTGCGGGGAGATGGAACGGCATTGGGCCCAGCAGATGGAAGGTTGAATGAGGACTCGTCATCACTTTCGTCTTCGTAGTCTTCTTCCTCATATTCACGGAACAGGTTGAGGAGTGATTCTGACAGTTCCTTCAGTGGAAGGCGTCGATTATGAGAGACACTCGTCAGATAGCTCCTTGTATGAGGTATTTCGGGCGTGGCAGTCTCATCTGTTGCGATTTGGATCGGCTCATCCCTTGATGAGCGAAAATAGTCATCGATGTTGCCGAAACGACGGTTTAGAGTCAATCCTCGACGTCGAGGGCTTGATTGCAATTCATCTCGGACTGGAGGAGTGGCAGCTCGTCGAGGTATAACATGCACAGGAATTAGTCCTTCTTTGCCGTCCAGGTCGGTCGAAGCGGTTTCCCTCCGTGAAAGATTGACTGTTAATCGTGTCCTCATCATCTCCTGAACTGGTTGGGCTTTCTTAGGACCCCTCGTCTCGTCCAGGTTTCCAGATCGTGAGCTTTTCTTGGGCGAAGTGGGAACAGTGAAAGCACCGGGAGAAGCCCTTTCGCCACTTCCAAATACGTCAGTACCACCAAGAACTCTCTCAGGCTTATCGTTAAGAGAACCGACAAGTTCTTGGTCGGTCAACAAGAGTTCCTTTTCCATGCTATCAACACGTGCTCCATCTCTTCGTCTTGGCTCAACCGTCTTCGAAGCACATGGCAGAAGTGATAGGCTATTCTCCAGCGCCACCAGCTTGTGTTGAAGTTCTTTGTCACCCAAAAACTTCTTGGTGTAAACGGAATCACAGAGATTCTGGAAGCAACTTAGGACGGCTAGTTCATCCACGAAAAGAAGTTCATCTTTCGAAGGCGTCACATTGGGGTCGTATGATCCAGGTGAACACTGAATGCTAAGTTGCATAAATGCATTGGAGGGTGCTCGCGAGTTCTCGGGTGAGTTTAGGACTGCGGAAATACTCGATCTGAAAATAGAAACTAGCTTCTTTCCCGTGCTTTTGGACGATGAAATGGGTCGTGAGTCGACCGAGATGAAAGCTCCCTTCCCCTTGATGATATTGGCATCAGAGTCAGGCTTGGGTAAGGAGGCTACAATTTTCAAATTTTTCGACTGTACTTCTGTTGAAGTTGCTCCAGCGCGAGAGTCTGATGACACCGCCACGAGCTGAGTAGTAAGAGCGTGACCAAACACTTGTGTGATTGCCTCTCGCGTGCTTGGTGCTGAGCATGGTGTGTAAACCCACGGCTGGATTGAGCTACCAGGCACTTTGAATGAGAGTCTGATGTGTGGAAGTGCGATCGCATAACGCTCTAGGAGTCGTCTGATATCTGCCAGGGTCTTTCGGCTCACTTTGATAGCATTTTGTTTCCGAACAGGAAGGTTCTGAAACAAATTCAAAGCTTGGACAGTTGTTCCGACAGGAGCGGAAACAGGCTGTTGTCTGCTAATTCCGCCTGATTTTGTGTTTAAGAGAAGTAGCGATGCAATGGGATCCTGAGCTGTTCGAGTTGTGATTTTGATTGTAGCCAGATAATTGGCACTAGCAAGAGCCTCGCCACGAAAACCAAGTGTCTTGCCGCCTTTCAAATGAAGTTCGTCGAAGTTTCGGAGCTTACTCGTATGAGACCGACGCCCCAATGACTTGTAGTCGTCCACCTGTATCCCACAACCATTGTCTCGGACTTGGACTTTGTCGACGGTGTTGGGAGCAACCGTGATTTCGATAGATGTAGCACCCGCGTCAATACTATTATCAACAAGCTCCTTGACCATTGAGAGAGGGTCTGGAAGCGAAGACGAGGACCGTAGGAGGTGTGCTAAAGATGGTGGCAACACAGATATTGACATTGTGATGATGAGATGGCTTGAAGATGGAATTGAGATATGAACTTCCCAGGTAGTTTATGCTGTATTGAGACACAGCATCTGGTTGCCTGAGAGACTAACACGGATCATGTGGATATTATGCTGGTGGAGTTATAGCAGAAGGGGAATTAAAGCAGGGGGTGTTGGAGAAGAGGAAGATGAAGGGGAATAAAAACAATTGAGACGAGTGGTGATATCTCGTCTGCCTTCCATACAAATGAAGAACGTAGAGAGATTCTTTGAAGGAGGTGATTCAGCCTCTTACCTTAGTCCCCCTTAGTCCTTCCTTCCGACTAACACATCACACACAGAATGTACACCGGCTGCCGCCAAGAGGTTAGAAAGGTCCGATCAAGGTACGTACCTTCAGTCCCTGCATTCCATCTATCCAACCCGGGAGCCTCTAGGGCACCATCTGTCCCTGTTCCCCTGTGACGTGACCTTCCAGCCCCGCTGTGAGCCCCGCGTTGTCTCTGGCGGATAGAAACCATTGCTAAGCTTCCTTTCACGAACCTAAACCATCCTCCAACCTCGTCTTTTAGTTACCTACCCATCTCAGTAGATTGCGACAGCTCATCCCAATTACCGACTGCAGACATTCTCTATCGCAGCATCCCAGTTGATCTCAATCTCAAATTCTAACGATGTCTCTCAAGGGTCCCTCTCCGCAACACCACGATGGCTCTGGCCTGCGCATCGGCATTGTCCACGCTCGTTGGAACTCAACCATCATCGACCCTCTTGTGACCGGTGCCAAGGAGAAGCTCCTCGCAGCTGGTGTTAAGGAGTCCAATATTGTCATCCAATCTTGCCCTGGCTCCTGGGAGCTCCCCATTGCCGTCCAGCGGTAACCTCCCATTCATTTGTATCCGTTGATGCCGAGTCGCTGACGTATTGCCATTGTCTAGCCTGTTCTCCGCCTCTCAGATCCAGGGTACCTCGACTGGCGGTCCTTCGGCAACCGATCTTCTGGCTTCATCCACTACCGATCTCACCTCTCTTCCCGCCTCCTCTGGCGCCTTTGATGCCATCATCGCTGTCGGCGTTCTAATTAAGGGAGAGACCATGCACTTTGAGTACATTGCCGAGTCAACTTGCCAGGGCCTTATGCGCGTGCAGCTCGACACTGGCGTTCCCGTCATTCTTGGTGTCTTGACCGTTCTGACCGAGGACCAAGCGAAGGCTCGTGCCGGTGTCGACGGTAAGGGTCACAACCATGGAGAGGATTGGGGTCTGGCGGCTGTCGAGATGGGTGTCAAGAGAAAGGAGTGGGCCAACGGCACCATTGATGGTTAGAACAGCAATGTGCATGACAAATGATAAAATATCACATTTTGGACAAGGCGTGGATAACCTTGGCGCTCGTCAACGGATCGATGAAAGCATGACTTGGGCCACAGATGAATACCATTCCGAAAATGACCTCCCAATTAGTCAATTACCGCATAAAGATGTATCTATCATGCGCCAGTCTCACTCCTAATGAGCCAGTGCCTATCATATCTTTCCCCACGACGCCCGGGTGAAAAGCACTTCTAGAATATACAATTGTATGTGGCTCTCCACTCGGCGGTTGAGCTATTTCAACCCATGGATATCCAGATGCAAAAATAGAGCATATAAACCAATCTTACCTCCGTCTCTTTTGTAATAATTCCGCACTCACTAATCCTTCGAACTATATCATGGTTCCAAAATCGCTTCCCAGTCCCTTCTTTGACTTCCACATGCTACGCTTCTTGTCTCGCTTGGCCTTCATCGCCTCCCACCCTTCCTCGTCATCATCATCTGAACCGTCACCCGCGGAGCTTACCACGTTAATAGTAGACTTGCCCTTGGGATCATCCCAGCGACCCAGCGCTCCAGACATAGTGTTGGTGCGTCGGTGGGGGTCAGGGGCTGCTGCAGCCGGCATTTGTGATACTGGGCGATATCGGCCGGGAAGACCGATGTTGCTTCGCTCAGATGGCGCAATTGACGGAGTGTATCCCATAGGGGGCATGCCGTGAATCGAACCAGCGTATCCGCCAGGTGGTGGCAGGAAGGGAGCGCCTGAAGGTGGCGCCACCATGCTCATGGTACGCATTCCGGCGTCCATGCGGCGAGGAGGCTCTAAAGCTGGCTCAAGCATCATTGAGTGGCGAGATGAGAGGTCATTCATAGACTGAGTGGCAGAAAGTCCTCCATAAGGTTGCATTGGTGGCATCATTCCGGGTTGCTGCTGCTGCTGGTTGTTGGTAGCCATCATTTGCATAAACTGCATCTGCATCTGCATGAACTGTGACATCTGCTGGGTCATTTGAAGCTGTGCCTGGTCTCCCACGGTGAGCTGTGGTGGCGCCATGGGCATAGGCATCTGTTGTTGAGACATGCCCATACCTGGCATATTGTACATGCCGCCCATACCATTCATCACGCCTTGGGGCATGTTGTCGAAAGGAGGTCCTTGAGGCCCATTCATGCCAGGGACGAACTTCTGGCCATTTGCGTTAGGACCGCCGCGGCGCATAGCTCTTGAGCGTTCCTCACTGGCGATCACGCCAACCAACCCTCCAGGAGGCAGGGATTGCTGAGACTCTGAAGCAGGAAGACCGCCGCTGAAAGTGAGCGACTCCCGCATAGCAGGCTTTGCGATACCTGCACCAACAAAAGGGTCCTGAGGAAGACCCCGGGCGAATGCAGGTAGCATCGAATGGCGCTGGTTTTGACCGCTGCTCTCGCCCATCGCCGAGCCGGGTCTTGGGGGCGCCAGCTGGGTTGATGCTCGCAGGTTGGGGTTGGAGCCCATGGTGCTGAGTCTAGCGGGTGGTCGGTTCTTGCTGGGGAAGCCGTGAGCTTGCAGAATGGCCAAAGGAACCTCCTCGTCGTCATCCTCGTCAGAAGCACCTGCCGGGGGTCCGGGAGATGGTGTCTTCATGAGGTGAAGTTGAGGTGCACTCATCGAGCTAGCCAGCCCAGGCCTTTCATGTGATTGCATATCAGGCTGCTCTCCAGTGACTTTCATCATCTGCTGTCGATAGACTGCCATATGAGCCTCCTGCTTTCTCCTCTGCTTTGCTTGCTGCTTGGACTTCTCAATCTCGTCCTCATCATCATCATAATTGATTTCGTCGTCATCGTCATCGTTGGGGGTTGACTGCATTACTCCATCGCTCAAATCGTGACGCTCTTTGTCTTTTCGGTACTTTTCGAACTGGGCTGGGGTCATGACCTTATTGTTTCGTGGTGGGCTAGGGGCTCGAGAATTGAAACGGTTGGTGATACGCGAAGAATGAGCGGAAGTTCCTTCGAACAAATTGTCGTCTCCTCTGTTGAAGCTGCTGTTGAGAGGCTTCCTCTCGAATGATGAGAAGGAATCTTCGTTTCGTCGGTAACGGCCGGAAGGGGGGTTGGGGCTACTGGACTCGGAAAGCAACCTTCCGACTGCGATGGAATCCTGCAGTAACTTTGCATCTTCATCCTCAATGATATCGGACGGCCGGTTCGACGTCTTGAAGGAACTCTGGTGGCGCGGAACAGGGGGTGGCACATCATCAAGCTCAGGGGTCCCAGGTTGAGATCCGAGAAGATTGTCGTCTTCGTTGCGGCTGTGCCACGACTCAGGGCCAGGCTCAACCTTGGTGATCTTGTTGATACTCAAAGGGGGCGGCTGGATGGGTCGGTTGCTGGTAAGTGAGCGAGGAGCCGCGGACCCGTCAGCCCTCATGGTGGCGACGCTCGCTCTCTTATCGAAGGAGGAGAACATGGAGCTGAAATCACCTCCCATATCCATGCCCCCATTCTCCATCTCTAACTTTGGCGGTGTAGCAGTGCTGGTTGTAGATTCAGTCAAGCCTCTAGATCTTCCACCAAAAGCATCCTGTTGAATGGCTGGAACGGGAGGGATGTCGTTGTTGTCAATCTTTGGGGAAGACGCGTTGTGTTTTTTCTGGACCCCAAAAGAAAATGTTCGACCCGCTCGGTTCAGAAATCCGGACCCGCTGGATTTTACTCCAGGTCGAGGAGCGATCTCGTGCAAGTTCTTCTTCTGTGAATGGGAATGTTTGGGATCGTCCTGACCCTCGAGATTCGTAGAAGACGGAGTAGTCGAGGCATTGCTGTGCCTTGATGAGGTATCAGTTGATGTGGCTTTGGTCGTATTAGAGGCCCCACTTCCCCTGGAAAGGAGTCAGCGCCATGGTGCATGACTTAGGTTGTGTTATTTTTATCTTTCCAGAACCAACGGCAGTCGTGCAACATTCCTTGGCGAGTCACACAGGCAGAGGAGGGAGGAGGCGGGGGATCGAGGGGAAAACTCACCTGTTGCCACTCTTGAGGTCGGCAAACATGTTATCTTCAGTGTCGAGTTCCAGACGACTAGGCTTAGGAATGTGATGACCAGAGTTCCTGGCCATTCTGGCGCCTCCGTCAAATGATTTGCCGAGCGCAGGGTCGGTGCGCTCAATAACTCGGAATGACGATTGCTCTGGTGTTACTGACGCATGCTGAAAATCCTCCGAGGTTGCGGTTGACTTCCGCCTGTTAAACGCAACACCGAATCTAGGCATGTAGAAGGTATAATAATAGAATATCGGTTTGGGATTAGATACAACCCATGAAAGAGACTCGGAACGGTCCGAGCTGAGCTGAAGTTATTGGTACTGCTTTATTGATCGATATACGGCGGCGTTTTGGGCCAGGTAATATGAAATCGAAACGAAGATATGGAACAAAGATTGCAGGTCGTGCGTTGATGCGGCGTTTGATAACGATAGCGAGGGTATTCGAACCGAACCGTGTCAAGCAAACAAGATGCGTATGATAGACGCGGATAACTGCATGATTGAGGGATCGCCGGTCAGCTGGTGTTGGTGACAAATGATGTACTGAAGGTTGTCGCAATTGTTGAGGGCACCGCACGTAAAGGAATTGAGCGGGAAAGATAGCAACAGAGCAGCAGCAATAAGCAGTGCAATACGGCCGTGGGTATACAGAATCGGGGACAAGAGGCTTTATCGGAATGAAGAGAGTCGAGACAAGTTCCAGAGAAGAAACATATAATCCGGGTGGTTGGAGGCATGTGTCATTGATCCAAGGCAAAGAGAGTTGAGACTCACATTATGATCTCCAGAAACGAAGGACGGTTTGTATTAGGAGTAAAAAGTGGCTGGTTAAAGCCGGAACAAGACGGTCGGGGCAAAGGCGAGAGCGAGAGTGAAAGTATGTATGTATAGAAAGTAAGACGATAGAGGCTCAGTCTTAGTCGTCTCGTATCGTCTCAAAGTCTCTCTCTTCGATGGGCAAAGACAGACTGATAGAACGAGACTTGACAGGCGGCTAACGTCAACGACAGAAACGCAGCAGTAAAAAAGTTAGGAAGCGGAGATGATTAGGGGGGGGGAAGAAGCGAGTGGTGGTGGTGAGGTTTGAACGAGAGAAAGATGGCGAACGAGCAGAAGCGAGTCCAGACTAGACCAGACCTGACCAATTCAGTGGTGGCCCGACAGGCTACATAGATAGGTACAGGCTACAGTACAAACAGCGCCAGTCAGTACAGTTCATGGATCCAATTCAATCCAATCGACATGGATATTTAGGGTCATGGATAAGTGAACGGCCAAGCACAGACAGACCTCGAAGGCACCTAAACGGGGGTCGGGGGTTGCACAGTGCAAATGCTGAAAGAGTGTGTGCTCTATTAAACCCCCGTGGCCAGCGCACGGCCTCCGTCTCAATAGAGAGAAGAGTCGCTTCTCGGAGCCAGTGAGCGAATGTGGAATGAGTTGCTTTTGCGATGTGATGCTATTTGATTCGATTCGATTTCATATAACGTTACAATTCCTATAGAAGAGTATGGACAAAAGAGTGGTTTATAGAATAACCGAGGTGAGTAAATCAAGAATAACGACACATAACAGGCCTATGATAGCTGTAGTGGTTATAACAAACTTTCGGTCAACTCAAGTCAAAACCCGGCAAACTCTCATCAAGTGAAATTCTGTGGAATCGGAGTCTACATATCAGCTCAATTGCATCAGAATAGACAGATGGCTCGCTCAAGTTAATGGTCCCCCGTAGACTCATCGTCACAGCCCGTTCATCTAGTCCGTCCTAGCCCGTATCCTCTCCCGACTACCACCTCGCTAGCGTCGTTGCTCCATGAGAACAGGCAACCCTTGTCTTGGGGGCACGGTCACCGCTGAACCAGAGTGAGAGCCAGAGCCGCGGCCATGGCTTCGCCAATAGCATCCAGACTTTCGGAGAGAGCATGTGGTATTGTACAGGTTCAGCTGGCCCTAGATCAGACCTACACGACAACTGATGCTACGAATGCAAATGCAGGCAGATCAAAACATGACATGGCTTGACGTATGTCCAACGGAACACGACTGTCCGAAACAATATCTCAAAGCCTTATTTCTTGGAGTGGCATCAATAATCAAGAGCTGATACTGAGGCTTGCTCATCTAAAAAGAGGCGCGGGCCAAGCCTGGACGGGCAAAGCCGCAAAGGCTCAATAGTTCCGATAATTCAGCTACGGCACCTCCTCAAAGCCGCAAGGTGCAGAAACATTAATGATGAAATGCTGCACTTTAAGCCGGGCATATCAAGAAGCCGGTGCGCTAGTTGCAGGGGGAAATTGCGTGGCATTCAAGACACAACCAACAACCTCAATAGCGCTGTTACTTGCATTTAGACCATGATCATGGCCATTCCTGGAAATCCCTTCAGCCTTGGGGATGTGCTGCAGATGGGAGCGATGTGGATAAGCCAGCATGAATCTTTTCTTCGTGAGACAGTCTAAGCCCAGTCGACGCTGGGTGAGCTGGGTGAGCTGGGCGGATGATGAGCCAATGGGTTATGTTACCGGGCTTCAACGTTTCACGAATCCATTGTTTTGTTGACGCGACTTCTTCTCGATTATGGAGACTTCCGTCGACTTTCTATGTAATGGACGACACGATAGTCCAATTCTATATCCCAGTTTAGCCCTGAGTCAAATATGGAGAAGAAGAAAACAAGAAAGTATCCTGGATGAAAAGCCAACAAGGGGGACTTCCCATCGTCTACTAGTAGCATACTCTTGGCCAAGAGTTGGTTATTTTTGTCATTGATGATTGATGTAATGATTGACAATTATAGTAGGATGCTCAATATCAAAGTGGAGTTCTGTACTTCAACATTGATCGTGAATAGACATACATATATATAACTCGTTACTCAGATATAGTTGATTGATCTGTGCTATTGACCCCTTGGTGTTTTTTTGAATAACCAAGGCATTGCTGTAATCTCTCTACAATACGCGCACAGTATATCCATTGTCTAGACTAAAGAGAAATACTGGAGTTCTTGTGGAGATAAGGGTTCAATGCTTGATTCTGCTTGGCATTTATCGACTCACAGCTATCTCTGTCATTGACCGAGACTCGACATTCGTCTGTTCTATTGCGTTCGAGCATCAGATATAATAGTATAAGACAACAACAGCCCGGGGCCTTCGGATATTGGATCTCAAAGAGAGTTGAGTTAGTCAATTATTGGCTGCATCGCTTGCGCCGTTCCCGCCCTGACCGTGACCTTTTCCATTCCATTCCCTTCTCAAGACCCCTGGAGCTTTGGGCTCTGGCTTGCAGAGTTACGGGCTTGGGGTTGCGGGCACAGGGGGCCGTTCCCCACCACGATCCACGACAGCCGAGCAGCATCCACTGAAGGCCCCAAATCAGCGTGACACGAGCAGAGAGTTCCACATGATATGAGCCTGTATTCATGGATGAGAGAGGATCTTTTACTCCTTGACCTTGACCATGACCATGACCATGACCATGCTCCTCCCTTTCGTGATGTGATTTCCATTCCCATTTTAGATATCACTCGATTTTTTATCTTTTCCAAACATGCCCTTGTTCCTCACTGACGTCGTTGATCTACAGGAGGAGCCGAGTTGACGATCTCGTAAACAAGAACTCGGGCTTCACGACGTCTCTTCACTTACAGGACTAGGACAAAACTTGGAAAGAAGCCGAGATCCAGGCATTGAGAAGATATCTCAATCAATTATTGTGAATGTCGCCTCTCGCACTGTGCATGTATGCAACCTAATCGGGTACTAGGAAACTCATCTGCACAGAAACTCAAACCTGATCGGGTCAAGTTCAGGTACGCGGCTCGTCAGTTGAAAATCATCACTCTTTCGAAAAAAAAAATCAGAGCGAGTGGGAGGGCCCTCCTTTTTTCCTTCTTAGCCCCTGTCCGCTGAGTGGATCGGGATGGTCTTTTTTAGATCAAAGCTTGGCCAATGCTTCTTATTAGGGGCCCAACCGTGGAGAGACAAGATATGTGAGGTTCGTATGGACTAAAGACTGTAGCACAAGGAGGAGATTAATGGATACTCTGGGTGTTTTGAAGTTATTTCCATCTCGTGTTCTTGAACGTGTCACTAATAATGACCATCGATGCCCAAGGCTTCGGAATTCAAACGGCTTCGCTGCTATCGAGGAACCACAATGCAATATGCTCCTCGGTTTACGCAGCAGCTCGTGCACTGTACGAGAGTGAATATCTGCTGTGTACTGTGCCACGCCAACTTTGCTCTCCCGTTATTCCACGGAGTACGGACAGGGCTGGGCCGGATGGAATACCTCGAGCCCTAAAGGCCAAGAAACCAAGCAGAGCACGGCAAAGCAAGAGAGGCAATATTGACGATGTGGATGGATGAATCATGGCTGAGCTCATGATGCATTGGCTGCTGACAGCTATTTACAGCTAAACTTTCCGCAAACGTTTGCAGAGTGTTCGTCCAATGCTGATTCCTCAAATTATTTCTGGCTCAGGAGCCACAGTTTCAGCAGAAGGCTGGGCTCCCTCGTCGCGGCTCCATCGTCTCACGCCACCGGCTGCTGAGATGATCGCCTTGAGCGTTAGGACGTGGTTGATCACACAGTTGTTGGGTTACAGTTACTATTGTTGCAGGCACACAAAATTGAGGGCCATCACCCAATCCAACATCAACTCAAAGCTTGTTCTTGACCGGTTTGTCACAGCCCCTCTCTTTTTTTCTTCGAGTTTCCCTGTATTACTTCGTATAGATGTTGAGATTCTCCACAGAACTGGGGACTGTGATTGCGATTTGCGATTGTCGTGTTGTTGTTGTTGTTGTTGTTAAGAAGCGCGTATTTGGTTGGAGTTTTGTTCAAGATCAATAGGCTGTCATGTCAGCAAACAATCTCACAAATGTGCAATCATTAACCGTGCAGCCCATGTCTCGCTCTTTTCTTTTTTCTTTTTTTTCCCCCCCAACCGTCATCTATTGACTTGCTGGCCCAGGTAAGGGTGATAATATGGAGTCAGAATCTGAATGTTTCGTCATCAACGTCAATCTTTATCTTGTTCAAAGTTCTGCTCGGACAGGGACAAAGATCATGGCCTTGCAGGACTGGGACCAAAACAAGGCACATGAGAAGAATAAACATAGTAGGGCTCCACCACCCAATTCTTTGTTGAGAAGGTCACTCTATTAACCAGTTGCTTCAGCTGCGTTCTCTGTGGTTGAGACCATTCTTCCGGTTAGCTCTGATGACGGGTTCGTACAACATAGACAATGCGGGTGCACGTCAAGAGACATGAATTGCGCGTCCTATGCGGATCAACACGATCACTCCCCGATACGCTAAGTTATTAGCTCGTTGGTCGCATGCCGCACGGTGTAGGTGAGACATTCAAAGACAATAGACAACATCAGCAACATGACATGGCGGTTAAAGATTCAAAATCTTCCGACTCATATCGCAATGACTCTATCCCCACAATCTATTGCAATCTGCATTCTACATCTGTTGAAACACAAAGGGATAGTGGACCTCAAGTTGAAAAGTGCTGATCGACAATCCTGAGGCACGCTTCCTGATGCGTTACATGCTTCAGGTGAGGTGAGTTGGTAGGGAAATGCATGTGAAGCCAGATAATAAGCCACAGGGCAAACCCAGCCACCAATAATCATTGGGAATGTTCATATTTACTATCTTTTGATGGGCAACGATAGGTTCTTGAATATTTTTGTCCAGATATTGCCCACTCACTTGCTCTATGATCTGGTTTCATTCTTGCTGCTTTGTTCACGGCCACCCAATACTTGGATGCTCACTCTTTTCCTGCAAGTCCATGGCGACTTGATATATCATTGTCTTGGCGGCTGCAGCGCTTGGATGCACATGCAGTTCTCCAATGTAATTGAGTCGGCAATGTTCTGAACAAGTCTCTGCTATCTACTCCATAGTCACAGTAGCATTCAATGTGTCCTTCCTACTATGTATCAGCACCCATAAGCGATCCAACCTCGTTGTCTATCTGTGGATGAGGCTGGCAACTAATTATACAACAGGAATAAGTCAGGCTGGTTGAGCGAACGACATGGACCAATAGGTCAGCAGAGTTGACAATGAACAACGAGAAGACCCTTGATCTACCCTAGCAATAGTGATAAGCATATTATTAAGGTATTCACTTATTTACAGTAGCTTCAAGTTTTGTTACCCCATCTTGTCTGTAACTAGGGGCGGGCGGGACATTCTGTGAAACCTCGGCAGATCAAGCTTTGCCTCAGTAGCCATTCAAAGGATCCAATTGAACTTGTTGTGTTTGAATTGGCGCCTTCGATTCTGTTAGTGGGGGCCTGTAGCGGAAGGGGCTCACCTAAGCTTTCAGGCCGATTCGATTACCTTACTGAAGAGGTTATGTGCCTAGCACCTGCTGATGAGGTAACCACCCAAAGGCCAAGCTATCGTCATCCTTCTCGACCTTCCCCTATTGTAAAGAAGAGCATCAACATCAAACAACATCACAGCTGTTTCAGTGTCTTGAAACTCACACTCGCGCGCGAACTGCATCAATGTCTCTTGCCCCTCTACGGATGCCGAGAGACCCTCTCTCAACATTAACATTAAAACATCAAAAACACCTGCAGGACCCATCAAGGGGATCTGGCTAAGCCCTCTCCGGAATGAGGGACCCCGTCACGATGGGGGACCCTTCAGCTAAAGAGCCAAGGGCCCAAATCTCAAAGGGGCGCCAGGGTCTGTATGGATGCTGTGGCGGAGCCTCCAGCAAGCATGTGGGCGAATAGCTTTGATGCATTGGATCTAATCAATCTCTCTCCTCTCCATATTCAAAATCTTTTTTGCCTCGCTGGACTCGGAGAGAGGCCCCTTCTTCAAGTCAATCTTTGTTAATGTTTGTTCATTATATTGTCAGTGTCCTTTTTGGCTAATCTTATTTCTCTTTGGTGAGGCGGAAGCTCGGAAAAACAACGTTTTGACTACTAACTTAAGGTACGGCACCTACCTAGTCGCAATTGTTTCTACTTTACGCTTCAAAACCCTGGCAATACTTCAAACCTGACTCGTTACACGTTTTATCTTATTTTTCTTCGCGATATATAATTGCGCCTCCTCCATCCTAACCACCCAATTCTCCCGCCAGTCGCTGCGAAAAAGCGACATCTTTTGCGACAATGAGCTCTCCAAACACTCCCTCAAAGCATGGTAGCCATGCTCAATTACGGCGCCCTTCTCTCCTCTCAAACGAGGATAGCCACAACCCTCTGGGCACGCGCAGTGGCGCCCTCCAGTCCCTCATCCGCAGTCGCTCTCACCAGAGCATACAGAGCTTGAGCAGTTCTGTTCCCGCGCATCCTCCTTCTTTCTGGATGGGACCTGACGATGAGGAGACTGGACTGCTCCGCCACGACCATGATGAGCTTGGCAAGCTGCTCGCTGATGAGCGCCGCCTCACCCAACTGCTTCACGGCCCCCAGAACCGCAGCGCCAAACTCATTGGCAGAAGCAACCCTCGATATCGATGGGAGCAGTACTGGAAGCCTGAGGAGGAGCTGGCTGCTATGTCCAAACCACTGTGAGTCCTCAATGGCGCCACCAATTACGCGCCTCGGCCTCGCGCAGCAGCTGACCAAACCCACCAGGCGCGAGTACTATGAGAGAACAAATGAGTTGATTCAGCAATATCTGTACATCGATGCTCTCCTCGACTCCGCTATCCCCCACGATCTCCTCAACGAGTATCAAGCAGAGCTTGAAGCTTCTGCATTCCGACCACTTGACGTCCCAGATACCATCAACGAGGAGCCCTCCACTACATCCGACTCCCCCCCTCTCACTGGATCAACTCCTGTATCCGCATCTATCACTCCAGGCTCCTATGGCACTGTCAGTGTCAAGCCTAGCAATTCGACCACAAAGCTCCCTGCTACGCGCACACCTCAAGATATCTTCCGTTCCTCCGAGAACTTGCCACTTCTTCAGCGTCAGGATCAATCCGAGGACGAAGACGAGGAGCAACCTCCGCGACCTGCTAGCCAAGAAGATGACAACGGCCCCAAGCCCTTGTTACCTTGGTTGGAAGATGCTGAAATCGACAGCGACGACCCCATCGTGACATTGGCCATCTGGGTAAACTTCATTGCCAATGCCATTTTACTCGCTGGAAAGCTTGTTGTCATAGTCTCAGTGCCTTCAATGTCCGTCCTTGCCAGTTTGGTAGATGCTGTGCTAGATTTCCTCAGTACCGTCATCGTATGGATTACTACGCGTCTCATCTCGTCCAGTCATCAAGACCAATATAGCTATCCTGTTGGTCGCCGCAAGTAAGTCTCAGTCGCTGCCGTAGAGCTTGTGGCATTTCAAGTGAACAGAAGCTAATATATAGTAAGACTCGAACCACTTGGCGTCCTCGTCTTTTCCATCATCATGATCACATCTTTCTGCCAAGTCGGACTCGAGTGTATTTCTCGCCTCATGGACCCTGAGCATGCTATTCTTGAGCTGGGTATTCCAGCTATTGCCATCATGGTTTCTACCATCGTCATCAAGGGTGCCTGCTGGATCTGGTGTCGTGTCGTCAAGAACTCAAGTGTTAGAGCATTGTAAGTCGGCATATTCATCCACATTCGTACTCCGTATCTGACCAAATCATAGGGCTGAGGATGCAAAGACGGATGTGATCTTCAACACTGGTTCCATCCTGTTCCCCATCAGTAAGTAATCATAGCAGACCCTGCAAAGCCGAACCCTACTAATCTTGGCTCCAGTCGGCTACTATGGGCGAATCTGGTGGCTCGATGCTGTCGGTGGCTTGCTCCTCTCCCTTGTTGTCATCTTCAACTGGAGTCAGACCTCGGCACACCACGTCCGTAACCTTTCAGGCTTCTCCGCCCAACCTGACGAGCGAAACCTGCTGCTATACTTGACCATGCGCTTCGCCACTGCCATTCGTCAGATTCAAAATTTGCGCGCCTATCACGCTGGTGACAAACTCTTCGTCGAGGTCGATATTGTGCTCTCTGCTGCGACACCTCTCAAGGACAGTCACGATCTTAGCGAGGTGCTGACATACTTCCTCGAGTCTGTGCCAATCGTTGACCGAGCATTCGTCCACGTCGATTATACTAGTTATAATGCCCCGACTCATATGCTCAAAGGATCTGCCGCAAAACAGAAATAAGGCTGAGTTGCAACAATATAACGAGGCCATGCGGATTAGATCCCCCGTTTGCAAGCGAGACGGGCAGACTAGTCGCCAGAGATCTAAAGGGGCATGGCAATATCCAAAGAGCTTGGGTGCATATAGAAGCGTGTTCAAGCGCGGAGCAGTTCTGTGGGAGCATCATAGTCGTTTTTGCAAAACCCTCAGTCGCTTCGGGAAGCGGAGCGATTGTACTATATATGTATTATCAAGAGTATTATCTCTCAAAAGAGTCGGAAAGGAAGACTAGACAAGCGCTATAATAACAAAAAAAAAACATCAAGACCCATTCACTACTGATCGTCCTCTTGTGCCATCCCTTAATAGGGAATGCCGTTAGTCAGAAGCTGGAACTGATCGTAGATACCTGTGCTGTGACTCGAGTAACTGGTCTTGATGAGATGTTTCATGAAGTTGGCAGCGTCGCGCTCGCTCCTGTCAAGGACAAAACGCTCACGGAAATGCTTGACACTCTCAGGCTTGAAGCAGGGCAGACCACTATCCATCATGAGCCAGACGATCTGGCTGAGCTTCTCGCAATACTGACGACTGGCCAAGAAAGCCTTTACGCAGAGTTCCTCGAAGGCCTTGAAACTCTGGTGCTCCATTGAACCACCCATGACCGCCACCATCTCGGTTGTGAGCTTGAAGGGGGCACGCTCGAACTTGATACCACCTGGGGCGATATCAAAGCAGAAACCGAAATCAATGTGTAGGATATGGCCCGCGTCGTCAATCATGATGTTGCCGTTGTGTCTATCCTTGAATTGTAACAAGTAGGAAATGACTGAGTAGGCCGCCATGGACTTGACGAAGTTGCTGCGGGCTCGCTGGAATCGGAGCGAGTTCTCATTGCCGTATTTGGAGATGAAGTAGTCATACAAACCATTGACAGCCTCACGACCAAGCATATCTCGTGAGATCGAGTTGGGCAGCACGTCGATGACACCACAGCCAGGGGCTGTGGCAGTGACTCGATAAGGGAAGACGTAGACATCTAGGCCGACATCGTGGAATATGCCTCGGAACGCTGCAATCATCTGCAGCGCCAGGACATCCTGTCGACAATCATCGCCGACCTTGAAAATGGCCGACTGCCAGACTTCAACAGTCCTCTCTGGTGTTCCATGATCTTCTCCGTCATTCTCCTCCATCATCTCATCCACCTCAGAAACGCCTCCTTTGTTCTTCTGAATACGGAATGTGGCCATGTACGGAGCCTTGGCGTGACTCTGTAGAGGCTTGCCAGACTTGCGATCAATGCCGATAACAACACCATCAGGGTTACTAGGAAGATAAACGCCGACCTCAACTTTGATTTTGCGCAGCTCTTCTTCAATTTTTTGCTTCTTCTCCGGCTTCGACTTCTTAATGAAGGGCTTAAGCTTCCCAGAAATGTCAGTGACTTCGTCAAAGAAAGAAAACTCTTTCTCATAAAAGTCGCGGTCTTCAGCGGCGAAACCGTCAACCATCTGAGTCATGACCGTATCGAGAGTTGGTTTGATTTCGTCAGGGATCTGAGCGTCATCGTCCTTGTACGAATTGGCCTTCATGTTCCAGATGATCTGGTGAGCGAACAGCTGGGAAAACTGAGCTGTTTCGAGGATATAGCGCTTAACATATCCAAGGCTATCGTAGCGGAGAGACTGGACAATTTGGGGAACATAAAAGAATGTTACGTCGACAGAATGGCTTTCCAGCGCACGCATGGCGTACTGAATAATGAACGGGTGCGACTGGTAGGCGGGCAAGAACATGGTAACGGCTGTTACGGGGTTCACAGGCTCCCAGTACAATAAATACTGCCCAACGTTAGTATTGCAATGTCAGTCAGGGTACGAAACCTACCTTGAGTTGTTGCGAAGCGACATCATCGGGAAGAAATCCTCCAAAGATCAGGTGCAGAGCCTCAGGCTCGAAAATGGCCTTTTCAGGCATGGTGAGAAGCAAGAACCTGATATCACGCTGCAGGCGAGGGAATGGAAACCTAGTTGCGAGTTCGATCGCAATAGCTGGGTCCTGCCACCATGCAGTTCTAATGAGTGGTAAGAGTGCAGCCTCGGTCGGTGCCTTACCAGCAGTTTGAGTCAATGCTTGATTGCTCGCATTGTTGAGTGGGTTTACCCAGACGATTAGGCGCAGTTGTTCATTTCTGAGCAGGAGGTCGAGCAGCTGCTCTTTGGACTGCAGAGACTTGACATTGCCGACAGTTTGGGCGCCTATAAAAGAGACCTGTTGGAGGGCCGCCAAGACATCAGAGATAAGACGGATCTCGGTCTTCATCTGCAATAAGTTACTTCCGAATGACCACTTGGGTGCAGACCTGAACCAAGACAGGCCGGCCGTAAGAAGTCGCTCCTTGAGCCTCCACTGTGCTGCAGGCTTGAGAGTGGTGCTGGAACGTAGGACGCGGAGACCAAATAAGACGATTTGGAATCGAATCTCTCTGGCCATTGGATGAGTTGCAGATTGCTTCATTGCCTCCAGTGTAAGATCAATCATCCGGAGGAACACCTTCTGGATATCAGGGCTACCGAGCCTGGTAGCGTTATAATGACTGGCAAAGAATTGGAGCAGTCGAGTATGGGGAGAGAGAATGTCATGCACAATTTGCTTCTTCTTGGCTAGAGCTTCCAGTTCGCTGGGCGCAAATTCCTCCTTCAAGAAGAAGGGGTCAACATGATTCAGTGTTGGGCTGAAAAGGCCGACCTTTCGCGTAAGAGTGAACTCCCATTGCTGGACGATCTCATTTAGCAGTCTCGACTCCTGCCTTGGGTTTTCGTTGATTACACCAAGCCATAAGGAGACACCCAAGTTGATAGATTGCTTGGTGAATAGGGCGAACGGAATGCTCACAAGGTGATGAGCAACAGCAGCTTCATCCTTGCTCGTGCGGCAAAGAAGTGCTGCTGCCCTACGAAGAATATCTCGGACTTCAGTGATGGATGTACTCTTCTTGCTGAGAATTCTTGCCTCAACATGAGCGAGTGCAGTAGTGGCATTGGCACTCTCCTTCACAGATGACTGCACAAATGACAAGCGACGGTTGTGATTCATGAAGCTCATAAGTTCTGTACCACGATCCGGAAGCGTCTCGCCATACCGATATTCTTGGCGAGTTGTGTACTGCGCAACAAAGGCAGAGGCTGTGTTGACACTCGAGTTGCCAATCTTGTCCATGGATTGGAGACGATTGTCTGTTGATGGAATAATTGATCCTAGCTCAAGAGCAAAAGACCTTCCCAAAGAGACATGGCCGTAAGCGCCTTCGTCACTGAACTCCGAGAGATATGTCTGCAGAATTCCCTTGACATCGAGAGGAGAGAGGTTGATAGCAGAATTGACCCATACCCTGGCCTTGCGGTTAAGGATATCTACCGTCCATCTTCGAAAATCATAGTCGTCTGAAAGCTGCACAGTCACTCCGCCAAGTTCTGACGTAAAAGTGGACCTAGGAGCATAAACATCTGTCTCGGCTTCCAAGCAGCTAGACCACATAAGCGAGAGCAGTTCAATCAGTGCGAAGAGTGACGACCTATAGCAAAGGGCTGAAGGAATTTCACGGAGGAAGCGATCGGCGCAAACAAACGCGGCTTGCTGGACTCGCTCGATACGGTGGCAGCAGCTACAGAAGATGGTAGCGAGCTGCTCGGCAGCGTACTGGGCAGAAAAGGTTGGTTCGGCGCCGCTTTGAGTCTTTTGAATATACTTATCCATGACAGCAGCTGCAACACCCTCCATGGCGCTGCTCAGCTCTCCCTTGGACATGCTCGGTTCCAGGAAATAGGACAGAACCTTGGTGCAATCACCTGAGTCGGCTCGAAGAATTTCCATCAGGTAAGCTGCTTGCAAGAAGATCACCTTGCGATAGCTGAGGCTCCTAATCTCATTGGACTTGGAGGGTACAAGATCACTCAAAAGCTTCTTCTGCAGAGACTCTCTATCGTTGCTCATACCACGTCGTAAGACAGTATTGAGCTCGATATCACTTTCGACCTGCTCACCTCGCTGCTCGGCCACAAGAGGTGGGGAGTGAATAGCAATCATACGCAATTCTCTCATATACTGTTTGCCACGATCTGTGTTGGTGGTAAAGCCGTGAACCACGATGTTGAACCAAGCGTCTCGAAGCAGAGAATACGTCTCGTCATCGGCGATGGGCTCGAAAGCAAAATCGTTCGTGGACATAAAAATTGCCAGCGGATGAAGAAGTTCCGCGATCTCCTTTGCAGCCATTTGTACGTCAGATTCCTTGGTATGTCCAGACGAATGTACATCACCAAGTCCGATGATGCTGTCAAGCAAGTGTTCATAGTATATACCAAACAGCTGCGAGTCACGTCGTAGGTTGGCAGAAATGAAAGTGCGAGCATTTCTCACCTACACAAATCAGTATATATCAAAGTATAGAAAGTCATATTCACTTACAGCTTCCAGTAAGAATAGCTGGTTTTCGACAACCCCAGTATGACACAGTTTACTAAACAACTTGAGCAAAGAGCGAAACTCGAGTTGTCCGCCCTCGAGAGCCAGAGCAGCTGCTCCACTGATAATCCGGGCATCCACGCCTGTATTGACCTTTTCGAGCTTCTGCTGAAGCATAGACTGAGCCAGTGCGGTAATTTTCTCATCCTTGAAAGCAGCAGCAATCCCACAGATGGTTTGCACGACATTGCCTGAAACGATCGCAGTCTCCTCCTCGCCATACATCTGTAGTGAAATCGAGCTCCCAATGGACCGACGATTGGTATAAATGGCGTTAAGTCCTGTTTCACTTGCCGTTCCATCAATCTGATCGTTCACAAACGCTTGGTCCGACCCAGGGCTGAGTACGTTGCCCAGGGTATACAATGTGCCGATGACAGCATCCTTCGAGAGCATTTTGAGAGCATAAGCCAAGCTATTGGAAGCTATAGTGACAATATCTTTCTGCGGGGCATCCTGAACGATGAACCTAGGTAGGATGCGGCTGACATTAGACGAGAAGGATGGTGAGATCTGGCAGATCAGGGCCAAACATCGCAACGTGACCGAGGCAAGAGTAGGGTCAGCCATCTGAACAGAGTCATCCAGGGTTTCCTGAAGCCAGTTCATGAGAATCTCTGTATCAGCAGCATCTTCATTGAGCAGAGCGCAATTCAAGTAGGAAATGAGCGCCGCAGCCTTCACAGCGTAAGCGAGACTCTGCTGGTCAGGAGATCCCATGCGGATAAAGTCAGCACCACCTTCGATATACTGGATCTCTTCAATGGCCAGGGCAGCATATTCCTCAACCGTCTTGAAGTCTGCTTCGAGCGCAGAGGACGCGATATTGCAAAGATCTTCACCCTGGGCAATGTAGATATCCAGCACGTGAGACTCTCGCAGAGAACGAGGGTCTTTTACCATCAGTGAAGTGCTGGAGACAATAAGATGAGCGAAGCTTCGGTGCAGGAGCATAGCTCCGAGAGGTCGTCCAGAGGAGGCATAGTGGCGCAGGTATCTCTTCCATTCTTTGACCTCGCGATCCTGGCTATGGCAGTTGCGAATGGTGGATAGTGCTGTTTCCACAGCGATAAGGAAAGGCTCAGAAAGCAACTCTCTGATTTTCTTGATCATGGCCAGTCGACCGCCAGCTCTCCAGAAGTCGGCCTGAGCGGCTGCCGCATCCAAAAATCCGAGCAGGGCCACGGCAATTGTCACAGTTCGAATTGCATCCTCCAGGTGAGGATTCTCAGGATCTCCTGCTTGAGGTGAGATAATGCTCTCGGTAGCTCGTCTACAAGAGTTCACGAAGGCCCAGATCTTATCGGTCACATTCTCCTGAAGCTCATCGTAATTGATGCCAAGTGCCAGCAGGGCCCCTGTCACATGAAAGGCTAGGGCCTCGGTCGGGGACGGGTCGATCTTTCGGAAGAATGGTGAAGGAAGGAAAACCTGTATATGTGCTTCAAGAATATACGGGAACAGCTGATACGAGAGTCTCTGGGCGCTCTGGCTCGATTTGATTTTCGGTGCTGTCTTGCATAATGCGATCAAGACCTCGAATTCGCGAATAGACTACAATTGTCAATCACGCGCTATCAGATCCCTATGTTCTATGAACAACCTACCATAGGCACTCGGCCTAGCGAGCTCTTATTCTGATAGCCATTGACATAGTCCTTGCTCTTCGCGCCGGCGTGGCAGGCTCTACATAGTCGGTCGAGATCGGATCGGTCGAAGGATGTTGTAGAGCTAGACGCAGATAGCGAAGCTATCTTCTGCAGCGCCTTGGAGCGAATGTCGCCTATCATCGTTGGTGCGTAGGCGATGCGGCCGCTTCAAAGCACAGCAATTCGAAACAAAATACCAACAAGAACCAAGTCAACAAATTTGTTTCTGAAACGAGACCTTCAAAATGACGATGGTTGTTAGGTGAACTTTAGGAGGTGAACCCCTGCCTGTCTGCGCGCTTAGTCATCGTAGCTACCTCAGCTCTGCAGGTTAGGTGGGCAAGGCTGCAAGCTTGACGCGTGCGTCTTAACCTCAGCTCTATTGTCAGTTACAAGGCAACACCAGATCAACATCATCAATCACCAACTCCGAATTCCATCATCTCTGCGCATCAAGAAAGATCACCAAGACCTTACTTAAACCTTCCGTCACATAGACCGTAATCATGGCTGCCATGTTCAGCCAGAACCCTCTGATGAATGGGCCCAACTATTCATTCTCCGATGCCCCCAAGGCCAACAGCGGCGAGTTTCGAGAACATCGATTTAACCCGTGAGACACCTCATCTATGCATCTCCAGGGCTTACAGCTAACTGACCCAAGCTACACCGACAATGGCGGCTCGACTCTTGCCATTGCTGGCGCAGACTTTACCATCATGGCTGGTGACACCCGCCACACCAGCGGTTATAGCATCAACTCTCGTATGTCCCCCAAGGTCTTCCGAATCGGCGGCACCACTGCCTCTCAGGAGGATGCTACACTAGTCCTATCTGTCGTCGGCTTCGCTGCTGATGGTGAGGCCCTCCGCGACCACCTCGACACCATCTGCAAGATCTACCGTTACCGCCACGGCAAGCCTATGACTGTCAATGCTTGTGCCAAACGCCTCTCTACCGTTCTCTACTCGAAGCGATTCTTCCCCTACTACTCGCATGCGATGCTCGGCGGTCTGGATGAGGAGGGCAGAGGCGCTGTGTACTCATACGATCCCGTGGGGAGCTACGAACGGGAGCAGTGCCGAGCAGGCGGTGCTGCGGGCAGTCTGATCATGCCTTTCCTGGACAACCAGGTCAACTTCAAGAACCAGTATATTCCCGGAAGCGGAGAAGGCCATGAGCTGAAGGAGCGGGAGCGACGTCCTCTTACACGAACAGAGGTCGAGACTGTCGTCAAGGATGCATTCGATGGTGCGGTGGAGCGTCACATTGAGGTTGGTGATAACCTTCAAATGCTCATCATCACAGCAGACGGTATTGAGGAGACTTTCTTGCCCTTGAAGAAGGATTAGATGGCAGGAAAGGCGAAAGAGGAATGTATAACAGGGGATTACTTAGACGCCACGAAATCAATGAGCCTTCCTTACGGTCAACTGCGGGGCATAATTGTGGTGTGATGAATATGAATATGATACCGAGTCGCTTCAACGACAAAAGAGAACGTCACGCTCCACGAATTGCAAACTAATAGGTGACCTGTGAGGCTTCAGGATGCAAAGGTCTTACTTAACTTGGGATGTTAGGTTTTATAATTACTTTCGGCGACACTGAGCTCTGCAGACCGCACATCACCTATGCACTGGATATGAGGAAGATTTCCCCAACGCCACTGAAGCCATCGTGTTCGATCAAACATTCACACAGATCACGGGCACCTAGATCACTTATTGGCACTATGCGATTGCAGTTTTAATTTTCTGACTCGGGGTGTTAGCTAAAGGTATGCCAGGTTCAAGTTACCTTGTATTTGTATCAATTGGCCTTCAACTCTAACTGCCCGACACCTAACTTGCTGTGTTGACGGCTTGGAAAACAAGCGATGGTATGACGGCGATTTAACCTTATAACTAAGGTTCGAAGCAGTTGTAACGGCATACTCAAAGTACGCTTTAATCATTGAGAGGTTCAATGGGCATACCAATACTCAAGCGTCTTATCAGCATACTCAGCCAGTGGTTTCAAGACCACCCTGAAAGAGATGAACTATTCTCTTCACCGAGCACTGGTGCTTGTTTGTGAATGAGTTATCAGCTGTACCACAGCTATTCACCCTCACTACTCTTGGACGACATTTTCGTAAGTCTGGCATGGCCATGTATTGCTTTTCTCTGTCTTTTTGATGTACTTTGAGTATGGACAAGTAACGTTGCTAATAAGAGATGGAATGGTATCGGCACACGGCATTTGAGAGACCCATGTCGAGCTGAGCTCCTTGGTCCAAGTCACTCAACACTGATCATCTCAAGAGACACCTAACATTAGTCCGCGGATAGAATTACATCCGGGAGAGTGAAACACCACTTACACTTCTAAGAGCGCGTCTAGACTCTTCTGGAGCGCCTCTATCGCACCACAAGCGCGGCAAATGGCAACACCACGTTGGTTCATTAGATTCAAGCGCTTGTTACTTTTCCTATGCCCGACAATCATCAAAGCACGGTCCGGTTATTTGCTAGCAACGATTTCTTTCCGATGTTGATCAGAGTCAGATGCTAACCATCCCGCCAATATCGTAGCAGTCTAATACCGCCATGCTGTTTCTCTAGCCACCGATGTAGGTATCAGATCACGAGAGAGAACTTATCATTGCTAGCTCATCCAAGTACTTGTCTACTCAGTCTCGGTCCCGAAGACGCTTGCTGCCCTGCCCTGCCCTGCCCACACCGGCTGGTCAGACCGTCTCTTTCTTAGCCTATCAAGTCCACTATACACTTAACAACTCTGATAGGTGAGGCAAGACCTGGTTGCAGTAGTATAGGGTTATTCAAGGCCTAGTGGCTGGTTGAACATCGTTGCAGTGATCCGCCCTTTGCCTCAATGGCTGTACAGAGATCCATCGAGGTATCCCAGCTAAGCAATGCCCCGATGCAGGGAGGGTGTGGACAGGGCCTATTTTTCCGTGTTCTGCAAGATACTGTATCTCAATATCGTTTGGATGCGTGAGTGTCTCGCTAACACAACCGATGTAGTGGCGTCTGCTCCATCGCACAATATGCATGACCCTAAATCAAGGTTGAAGTCATGATACACTGCCATTACAGTAGCCAGACACCACACCGCGTGCACACGCCACGAATATCAAGCCTTGGAGCTTGAGCATCTCTCGAGGTGCTGTATTCTGACAAGTCGCCTTTTCAGCTGCCCAGGGGCTAGCTATCCTTGCTTTGGACTGGTATTGGTGCCCCCGAAGAAAAAAATGAAATTAAGACATGATAGCCCATGTGCTAAGGGTATCATGCAGTAGTGATCACATTTCTGTTGGGTAGTGGGCAGGCGAGCAGTTCACCTAGTGTGTGTGTTCAGTGAACTACCCTTCAATATGCATTGTAGATATACCGTACAAAGCCCTCTTCGTTTGCCCCCTCTTCAACAGAATGGGGTTTCTGCATCCGGACTTGTTCAGGCTGCTGGGTTCCATGATGCTATCTTCGGCGTACAGATTTTGAAAAGTTTGTTTGTTGTGCAAAGCTGGACCAGCTACCCAACAAATTCGAGTTATACAACTTCTATTCAAATAATTCTTACAAGGCTGTCGGTTTGCAGCAGAGACTGTCGCACAACTACTGCCCTATGTTAGTGGCAAGCTTTTGATTACATCGGAGGTATGACTATCCTTAGACAGGACTTCTGACAACATCTGTTCCTCTCCAGATGATGGATGTGCGTACTGGTCTATTCGCCACCTAAGCCTACGTAGCTTCCAACAATCAAGTGTTGTCTTCCATGTCTCACAAGGTCTAGGAATTGTTTTTAGCCATGCATGTCGTTGGCTCGAGGCTGGCGGCTGGCGGCTGGCTGACATGAGCGAATGTTGTGTGGCTGAGAGCAATTCGCTGTTGAAAGTCTACAGGACTTGGAACGCAATTCAATTATGGTCTTATTTCCGCACCTGGACCGGGACTGTTTAAGTTTCTTGGTTCAGTTATGGTCTAGCTTTTCTTCCAAGTTTTGTCAAACTCTTCCATCCTTGGACATGGAACTTGCCGTCATCGGAGAAATCAGAAAGGCGTCTTGTTGATCGGCGAGCAGAAATCCTACAATGATGCCCACTGCCCAAGTGTTGAGGAATGATCAGTTGCTATTGCAGGGGTTTTCCGGCATTTGATGGTCAAGTTGGTGTCGGCAGATGCCATTGTAGCGGTCCAAAAGCGCTACAATAATCTAGCCAAAACGGCACCGAACTCAAATGCTGACGACTTACACAACCGTTACCAGTCGGTTGACATTTGCCACCTCTAATCGTCAAAACTGAGGCATGTGATAGGGAGTGGAAGCCCAATACACTCAATTTTCGTCAAGTGTCCACAGACAGAGCTGAAAACGGTGAGAGTTACACAGCTGTCCGTTCTAAAGACCCTATCTACCTACTTACCTATGCAAGGCGGCGCAACGCAGTTGCCACGTTGGAGGGAGCTGTCAAAGCTTTCTTTCTTCATCAACAGCCTTACACGAGTTTCTTGATAGCCCACGATTGGGTGAAATTGATGTCGGGGTCCTCGGCTCCTCAAGCCCTCAAATCAAGAGAGGTTCAAAGCGGGTTGCGCATCGGCACAGAGCTTCAAGAAGGACGATCAATGCTGATAATCGTTTCACAAGCCACAATGACCCTTGCTGCGGACCTCCCGACACCAGTGAAGACGGCCAATTGCTGTTTTGGTTGCGCCATCGGCGAAGACTACCTGTAACTGTAAGGCATGTAAACGGAGCACCGTCGTCATGGCGTCACTGGCTATTGTGCAACAAGAGGTAAGATAGGCATTGGATGCGCCTAAAGCAGTGAAGATCAGCGATAAAGGTTCTGGACCCTGGTTGACAGGCGGGTGGCGAATGCGTCAGGCAAGCAGGCAACAGTCGTCGACAGGCGCCGCTCTATCTGAGGGCCCAATGACCTTGATTGCGGGTCATAATTGTACCACAAGTTGGAGGCTTTCCACATTTATTTTTGGTGCAGATTTCTCACACACAATTGCCGTGCGTCGCTGACTCTTTCTTTAGCTGATCATACTCGACATCTACCCCTCTAGACGAACACGCAAATTCAACATCAAGTATTCTTGTTAAGAACGGACGGAGCTTTTCATCCGCCAACCTTAATTAGGTCCGGGTCTTAATTGGCTAAGTGGCGTCCCAGGAACCCATCAAGGGTCCAACTAAACACACAGCGGTGGTAGGGCGCGCACATGTCGTTAGTCCAAAAAGCCGTCGTACGACCGGGAGCTCGGATCACTGGCCGAAGAGCAATGGCCGACTTATGTTAGCTGATGGAGTCAGTGTTGATGCTGAACAGTTTGATGAAACTGGCCATGTTGGCTTCCATAGTATTGGTGATGTGAGGCGCTCAATTTCGAGATCTGGAATTGACTAGGTCTCTAGCAGGAGGAGCCTACGTATCTACCTATGACTTGTGTTTGAGGCAGAATCGTGAGGTGGGATGGTCGATCATCCACTTACGGATGTCCTGAGGTCCCTAGACAAGCCCAAGAACAGCCATGAGATTACCCAAGTTGTCAGGACCATGCGATTGTCTCCAATAAGACGCTAGTAACACGGGAGGCTGGTCGCCCCGGCGCACTAGTTGAGAAAAGTTGGTGGGTGATGGAGAATTAAGAAAACGGGATAGATCGACATCCACGAAAAGGACTGTTGGAACATGACATTTGTTGCTACTTACGCAACTGATTGAAAGCTCAGAAGCGACAAGGATTCCGCCTGGGAACCTCCGTTTTACTACCCACTGCCTCCATATTGCTGTCGGGCTGTGACGTCGCGATTTTCAGGTACTGTATTTTGATGATACGCATGGCAAGAGAATAGCAAAGCTAAGTTATCCATGTCAGCCATTATCAAGAGCTACCTGGGGCCCCAAGGAAAGAATTGTCAGCCGGACGCTCAGATCTAAGGGGAAACTGTGGCTCTGGCAAGATATCTACCAGGTCGGCAGAAATCCAAGGTCAGACTAGAGTGCAAATTGTAACCTGCTCAGTCATCAAGATCAGCGAATCATTCATTATACAGCATGCGCAAGATTCTGCCATGAAAAGTACGGCAAGTGGGTTTGTGTCCTCTCGTGCAAGCAGAAGCGAATGCCGGCGTGGACCTTAGGTCCAAGACCGTAGACCGGGCTAGACCCCTCGGTCCTCAGTAGTGGTTCGAAGCCCCGTCGAGGATGGTCCAACTTCAGTGAGATTCAAGGGAAACCAGTCAAAGAGCGCCGGAGCTCGCCCGGGTAGAACGCCACATGGAAAGGCAGACTGTTGAGCATCCGCTGCGTTGCATAGTGGTGGAAACAATGGCTCATGAAATTCAAAATGTCCCACCCTTAGTGCCCGTTTCCTAACAATCAGGTCAACCTTGATAACTAACAGCCAAGTGAAGCGAATTGAGTTCAAAGGAATACGTACATGCTGGCAAGGCGACTGGCGGGTCTGTCGCGCGTGTCGATCAGATCTCAGGGACCTCCACCCTGCCGCCTCGGCTATTCCCTGTATGCAGATCCCTACTCTGTAGGTTCATGAACAGCTGTCTGAGGGACTGAGTGGCGATAGCTTCGTACGCGTCGCTGAATCGCGAGCGGTTGTTGCTTCTCTTTAGGGGTTACTGGGGCAGTTGGCCGGTTGCAGAGCCAGAGGCCACTTAGTACTTGATGTTGGGCATGTTTGCAGATATGGTTCAAATGATTTCTGATATCGTGAGACTCTTTGATACATCATGTACATACTTAACTTTCCTACCTACCGAGTGAGGTGGAAAATTCGATGTATTGAATAGAGTTGCCGTGTGCCATTCTCTAAAAATGCCCATGGCAGTGACTCGGTGAGCGCCAAACTGCCCTGTAGCCTGTAGCCTTAAGCTGCTACGTAGAGTTAAAAATCTGGGGCAGGAACAGCCTTCAGTGGCGAAACGGTTCCTTCCTACCAGCGGGACGGGGAGTTTTACGTTCCCATTCCATCTTGAACGGTTCCTTCAGCAAAAACTCTGCTTGCTTACCCAAGCCAACGTATGTCAGAGTCATCAGGCCCGTTTTATGTTTCATGACGTTTCAAGCCACTAACATCATTGACAACCCTCCATGCACCACCATATTTTAGTCCTGTCCGACTTTGGAACGCAATTGTGCATCATTCTAATTACAGAATCCAAGTCATTCTGATGACGGTTGGGAACAAGGAGGCATCAGACGACATGCAATTGACAACAGACACATACTTGGGTGCATGTATAAGCAAAACCACTATTATCCACGAGACCCTCTAAAAGCATCAAACACCTTCTGATTTCGGAGATTGTGCTTTCTGGTGGACCCCGCTAACATCCGTTTTCAGGGACCGTTGCCTCAAGACGCTGGGTTCGCTCGCAGAGCTCGACATCGAAGAAGCGATTCCCCACAGGAACAACAAATTTAGAAGTCCAATGCGAAGTACCGCATATCATGTCACGGCTAGGGCATTTCTTGGCGTCGAAATGGTCTTGTCCTCCTCTGCCATCGCTTCACCACTACGTACTATAACAAGGTTTTCTCTCCACCCTTTACTATTCGAACACCCCCTCCCTGTCATCCGGGTTGGGTTCTGCTGTGGCTGTTCTTCTTGGACCCTGTTTCCCTGCTGCCGGCGCCGTTGCTTGGCTCGAGCTTCACTCTCCAATCACATTTCTCTGTGAGCTCTTGACTTCATTCTCGTTGAGAATCTGTGGCACTCGGTACCTGAATGTTCACCAAGATGGTGGGCGCATGGTCGGTGGCGGTAATGGGTAACTCTATGTTGCGACCTCAGCCACACCGTCTCACGGGATGATTGTCTTCCTTAACATAGGTATACGTGCGACTTTGGAACTCCCCAGTCGAACAGGGGACGCTGCCAATCTGTTCCAAGATTGAACTGTAAATGATCTATACCTGTGCCATTGCCAACATCGGCCTCGCTTGAGTTCAAGTATCACCGATGGATTGCGGGCTTCGTTACTTGAGCATCGTGTGGCTTGACGGCTTGTTGTTGCCGTTGAACTATCGCTCTCTTTTACCTCTTCTTGTCCAAGCTCCCTCCTCTCCACCACTTCCCTCCACTCACTCCTCCACCTATACGGCCCTAACAAAATCCCATCTAAGAGCTCGACCAACTTGGGATCGCCCATCGTATTTCCCATCCAACATACGCATCTGTAGCTCACACCCCCCATGAATCTATCACACTAGCATCCCTTCAACTGATCTCTTTTTGGCCGTCTATCCCTCTTAACCCTGCATTTCCTTACACTTCCTTACCTTCCAAGCCTTCCTTGAGCCCTAGCTTCGGAAGCTTGGACTATTAGCCACTCGCTATCTCCGTTGTTAAAGCCTCTTCTGTTTAATCGTTGGCTTAGGTTTCGCCCCTTGCCCCCCAAAAGCTTCTCAAGCCTCGAAGGTCTTTAGAGATCGTTTCTCTTTTGAAAGCTCACAGGTTCAGGGGAGCTTACTTTGCCAGCTTGCATTTCTGGTAACCTTCATTTGTTGCTGAAGCTGGCATTGCTTGTTGCCAGCTCGCAAATGACGACTTAGGGCTCCTTCAACGTATGAACAAATGCTTTCTCGACCCATCTTGAGCCCCAATATCTCCTTTACCGCTATATTTATTCATCACAACTGATTGTTAGTTTCGCGGGTTAAGTCCAACTCTGTGGCTGATCGCCGACTTCGAATAGTTGTCACTGCACCTCAACACTACAACACTCTCCCAGTGGTTCCTGGGCTAAGCTCATATCCCTGTTACGCCATAAGGAAACACAACCGAGCCCCATTTTCGATCTCGTTTTATCATTCAGCTCCTTTCCCTTCCGAACTTGGCATTGGGTTAACAGGTGTTCAACGACTTCGCTAGTTTCCCCGTGGGGGCAATAATACACGCCTTTCTTCGAACAACTTCTTATAGGAACCGTATTTACTTCCGCCGCCACCTTGTCTCTTGATCTACAAGCAGATTCATTATATACAAAACGACAAATTTGTGTCTCCTTTTAGTCTTTTGTTGGTAAGAGCTGGGGTCTTCATATATTTCCCCCGCCCATTGAGCGCTATCGTCGGCTCTGACACACAATCGGCCACAAAATTGCTCGATAATTTCCCCTCTCTACCCTTTCTTTAATAGCAGCCAGTCAAATCCACCCGAGAAGCTCTAGGCGGCTGCTCTGCTGCAGGAAAAAGCCCTGTTGGCTTGTGACTTCGGCACGATTAGCAGGTCTCCTGGTGTTCACCTGAACAACCACAGCTTTCAGGCATCAGATTGTTGCTGTCTTATCCTCTCTCCAATAGAGAACATCAAGGTATTATACTACCCTTCCACACACTTGTTGCTATAAACCTGCGTCTGGGTTGGAGGAGTTACTAATCTGATCTGAATTAGCACCAGGTTATCTCTCAACTTTTATCAGAGTACCACCAACAGATGCATCAAATGGGAGATATAGCTAGCGCCCAAGTCCCGGATGTGGGAGCACTCGACCAGGATACTGCAAAGACTGTCAGCACAACGACATCTGACGATCCTATGGCACTTCAAGACGAGCCTCGGACTGTTCAGGGGCATGAGTTCCCTTCTCACACTCAAGAGCATCCCACCGTTTCTCAGCACGCGTTCTCAACACAGTTCGATATGTCTCAACCCTCTTCCGGTCCTCGCCCTGGGCCATATAACATGGCCCCTATGGCCAACGCCCTCCCTACGATGGGTTTTCGCCCTGGACAGTATCCCCAAAACACTCACCAACGCATGAATCCCGCGGGGTCACCACCTATGATGCAGCACATGTCCCAGTTTCCTGGTCATCCGCCACTTCCAGTCCCCGGCCAAGGTTACTACTTACAGCCACAGGTCGCACCATACTACGAAAATCAGATGCACCAGGCTCAGGCAGCAAACATGATGTCTCAGAGGCACAGCATGGCATACTATCCCAACCAGATGATGATGGGCTCTCAGCAATCTCCCTATTACTACCCCCCTGGTCCCCAGTATCAACCTGCCGCGCATCCAGTTCCGAACGGAGTGGTGTCTGGCCACCATGCCGCTGGTGGTCCAACAACCAGCGACCCAAGGGCGATGGCACAGACTGCAGACTTTGGTGGAATACATCCACAGGGGCTCAAGCAGGGGCAAGGTAGGACTGGGAAGCAATCTCCCAACAAAACTGAGCTAAAGCAAACCTCAGATGGGACAGAGAGGCGAAAAAGTGCTGTTCGGGGCCCTCCCAGAAAGCCGCGGCAGAGTGGTAAGCTACTTACCTCGATGACCGTCAGTGTCGGCTAAACTCTTGAATCAGGACACGCAATCTGGATCGGCAACCTTCCTCCGCAAACCGACCTCATGAGCCTCGTTCATCATGTATGCAAAGAGGCTATAGGATTGGAATCACTGTTTCTCATCTCCAAGAGCAACTGTGCATTTGCCAATTTTAAGGATGAGGAAACTTGTAGTGCAGCACAACAGAAGCTACACGATTCGAAATTTCAGTCAGTTCGCCTCGTCAGCCGGCTACGCAAGAGCACAGTGGAGGGTGCAGCCGGTGTAACAGCTCCAACTGGTCCTTCGGTGGCTACAACAGTAGTTAAGACGGACCAAGTTGCAGACAAGTCACCATCTCAGATCGTGATTCCAGGCCCGGCGTCCGAACCTTCAGGGACCATCAAGCTTGGAGTTGCTGGCGAGAAGATACCGCAGAAGGACAAGTTCTTCATTCTCAAGAGCCTGACAGTGGAAGATCTTGAATTGAGTGTTAGCACTGGTATCTGGGCTACCCAATCTCACAATGAAGAAGCATTGAACAGTGCCTTCAAGGTACGTTGGTCTTTCCGCAATACCCTTGAGCCACCTGTCAACTAACCTTTCCGAACAGGACGCTGACAATGTATACTTGGTCTTCTCGGCCAATAAATCAGGAGAATATTATGGGTATGCTAGGATGATATCGCAGATCAACGAAGACCCTGCGGCAGCCATCGAATTTGCACCCACGGCTCAGGCAACGAGCGACCTTGACCTCCCGAAAGCCATACCGACCGAAGCGAACGAACAAGCCCCCAAGGGGCGTATCATTGACGACTCGGCCAGAGGCACTATCTTCTGGGAAGCGGATCGTGATGATGCGGATGACTTGTCTGATGCGGAAAGCGAAGCATCAAGCACCAAGAGCAATGCAGGGGATGAGGGTGCTGCTAAGACATGGGGAAAGCCTTTCAAATTGGAGTGGCTATCCACAAGTCGACTACCATTTTACCGCACGAGAGGATTGCGCAATCCTTGGAACTCAAACCGTGAAGTAAAAATTGCTCGAGATGGTACTGAAATAGAGCCTTCAGTTGGACGAAGACTTATTGGGCTCTTCAACCGCGCGCAGAACCCAGAGGCAGTCGACGCCGGCGTGCGGGCTTCCATGGTCATGATGCAAGGCTTCGGGTCAATGCGGCCATATGGACAATGAGAGGCGGAGAGAATTTGAGACGGGTTCTCGAAGCGATACTCCTGCTGCTCAGGTGCTTTAATGCTCTTGGAAGCACACTTGCCGAGAAGATAATTCAAAGATACTGGAATACGGTTTGGGATCTATGCTGGACATAGTTGGCAATTCACGACGAGCAAGGGTCATCAATGACGGTTGTAAATGTAACTACACGACAGTTTTACGTCTCATGATTATATCTATTCGAGTTTTCGACGTATTTTTGGCTTTGGTGGTGATATGGTCCTGAATTGAAGGATTTTGAGTAGTATTTAAGAGGTTGCTGCAGAGCTGGCAAGCTAGCTGCAAATCATATCATGGATCTACCTTACTACTTGCGTCAAACGTGATCAACCTGCCAGACCGTCTCGGAAGAGCAGGGTTCAAGTGGCAACAAAAAACACGGATATACAAGATTCCGTCAACGCCCGTCAGCGGGTCGCAACTAAATGAAAAGCCCGAATTCCATCGGGCATCATTACAGTACGGTTTCAGTGATTGATGAGACAAATAATGATGAGCTGGGTCAAGCAAAAAATGTGGCAAGGCTGTGGCTGAAGTTGTGGACGGGGGGGGTGATTAGAATGGAAATCTGGTAAAACTGAGCGTCTAGTACATGGTACCTCAAATGTAGCGCTAACGCACGCGCAAGGAACTGACAAGTTGACTTTCAGCCACTGGAGATTTGGTCTTTTCTTACCTAAAGCAGCTGAGGTTTCTGGGGTACCTTAGCTGCACATGGATGAGGTCCAGAACGTCATGGACTACGTCATGGTGCTAGATGGTCTAGACCCCTTCCAAGTGGGTAGCAAAAAGAGTAAGGATTCATTACACACCAAGAGAGTTATGTGACACAAATACTTGATCACTTTGCCAGGTACTCATTCCCCCCATTTGTCTGACTATTTCTAACTATCTTTTGTCCCGTTTTTCTTCTTCTCCAATACCGGACCCCACATTGATATTAGATCCCTGGAGTTTTGGAGATAGAAGTGGTGATGGTCATGATGTGCATTGAATCCCAATCGCACCTTGGCTATGTACTACTGTAAGTCATGGTCGCAATTCAACAGAACAAATCAAGTAAGGCCAAGCCACAATGAATCATTACTAGAACAATCGATCAATCGATCCCGTTTGCCCCCTGTTCACTTTGTCGCTAATTACGTCATTTGTCATATCATCAGAGCTTTGGATATGGAACCTGGATTCGCCTAGGATATCCAAGAAGCATGGCATTTTCTCTGTCGGTTGCCCTTCTTGACAAATTCGAGGTCAATGGGAAGATGACTTGAAATATAACTCTTATTTTACAGTTAACTTGGTCATGTTGTAAGTCTATACATCTGAGTACGTCTGAGTGTATCTCTCTACCCATTCTTTCCTTATCACTACGGCATTCTACTTATATTGCCGTATAAGGCCTCCAGCTCATAAACCGTTTGCTCACCTATGACAACAGCATTTCAACTACGGCTGAACTTCACGAACCTCCAAGCCTTTAATGCACCGATCTGCCACCGAACGTTAGCCTTCCCTCGCCGAGCGGTACACCGTTCGATGCAATGCACCTACGATATCCAGGCCTCCCTCTCCTGGTCTACAAAATCATGTCTATACCCATTAGCCACGGTGCACATGTAGAGTACAATAGATACGGGATATTGTCACCGTATTGAGGATGATGTCTTCTGGCTCCTGGTGACCAATGTCGATGCCACTTGGTTGAATCTCGATGGTTGTACTCCCAGCACATGTTTCTTTATCTGATTATATGCTCAGTTCAACTTCTTCTGACAGTTTCCAGCACAGAAACACTAATTGATTTAAAGCATATCATATTCAATTAGGCATTGTGTGGTTGGATCCTCAATCACTGATTAGTGCTCATCATCGACACATTACAGCTCACAGACTTGTGCCTCATGAGCTTGGACACTCATCCTAGGTCCAGTCCCTTGAGAGGACATGATTTTTTATTATCATACATCTCCGAATCTTCCCGTGAAGGCATGATCATAGGGCGGGAGTATCCTTCTTTACTTCTTCAACAACACCTCTTGGCTTCTGCCGTCTTTGTTGTATAAGGTATCAGGTGATAAGAATATTTAATTGATTCCCAAGGTAGTTAGTAGTAGTCGGCCTAATGCAGGGTATCTCTCATAGATGAATACTTTGTCCTCTGCCTATCGTTTTTGGTTCGATTCAGGGTAGTTTCAGTGTCAATATTCGCCCATTATCAAACCCAATGGATGCAGAATTCTCAGACCTCCTTATGCATCACAGGTTCACTACTTCGGTAATTATATCAGCATATTCTGCAATTGCTATATGGTACTCGCTGCAGGGGATTGTTCAGCTCGAGTTTGAGGTCACATACTGTTTTGAAATAAGCTGTCCTTTCAGAGGAAATATAACATAACGCAGGTACATCGTGGTAGCTCTTGAGTAATACGATCAAAATCAGATAAATCAAGTAAAAACTCCATTTTTTTATCACATTTGGGAACTTTTTTTTTTTATTTGGAGGTTGCGGCTGCCTCGAACCTTTACTCAGCTGAAGGTGCCTTTCTGTAGTGGAGTTGAGCATAACTGTTGTAACAAACATTAAGGTAGTTATGAAAGTACCAACAACAAAACAAACAGTCTTGAGTCAACCAACAAAGACGAAGGCAAATCTCTGATCAGAATACTTAATATTTTCAAGGTAGAGTATACACCATAGGATGGACACTGAACTACAGTAACTATACCTGTTCAAGCATGATATAGCTTGGTATAGGGTAACCAAATCTGGAGTCATGCATATTATGTCAGCATTCTCAACGCTTGGACTATTTTTCCCAGACATTCCATCGTATTGTACTCCGTATCCTCAACATTCTTCGATTGTCCATGGAACCGATAACTGATCAGCGTAAAGCCTCAACTAATTCATTGGCTTGTTCAGGGTCGGGTAATACCCATGACACCTGATCCGATGACCAGAAGTTTCCGTGGCTGTCAGAAGTCAAGGGCTGTATTGCAGCTGCTGTATCATATGTACGTTCTCGAATTGGTTGGAAGCTTCTACCATGATCCACCACTGTCCAGCAGCTTCATGCAACCACGAGCAGCCAACAGACTCGCGATGCCACCTAATTTCGTACGATTTTGATGCAAACATCACGTAGTAGACCTCGCTTAAGGTTTGCCAATGCTTCCGTAGTCCTCTTCTGCAGTCGTGCGATTTCTAGAACCCCCAAGCGGTAGGATCCGTCGACCTTTCGCGAAAGGCAAGGAAACTCCCATCTCGATCATATCTTCCTCATCAATGGGTATAAAGCAAGGCTTCCCTTCCCCCCAAAGCTGGACTTCATTCTTCATCAGAACACACACAAGCAAACAAACACAAGCAAGACACTCTACAACAACGATAACCACAACTTTATAACTCTCTTTGCACACTACAACCATCTCTTTCTCATACACACTCTTCAACACATCAACACAAACACAATGGCTTTCTTCCCTCGCAACTTCTACAACTCCGATGCTTCCTTTACTCCCCTCTTCCGTCTCCTCGACGACTTCGATAGCTACTCTCGTCAGGGACAACAGAACGGCGGTACTCGCCGAAGCGGCCTCACCCACTGGCAGCCCAAGTTCGATGTCCGCGAGACTGGCGAAGCCTACGAGCTCCATGGAGAGCTCCCCGGCATGACCAAGGACAACGTTCACATCGAATTCACTGAGCCTCAGACCATGACCATCCGCGGCAAGACTGAGCGCACATACACTGCCGGCACTCCTCCCGCTGGCCTCGTCGAGGGCTCTCAGCCCCAAGGCGCCATTGCTGAGGGCGAGGGTAACGATGAGAACAAGAACTCTCACCACGCCAAAGTTGAGGACGAGGCCGAGGCCAAAGCTCACGAGAGCACCGAAGTCACCCACCACCAACAGTCCAAGGAGGTCGAGAAGAAGCCCGGTGATCAATCCAAGTACTGGCTCACCGAGCGCACCTTCGGCGAGTTCTCTCGCAGCTTCAACTTCCCCACTCGTGTCGACCAGGACAACGTCTCTGCCAAGTTTAAGGACGGTATCCTGAGCATTGTTGTTCCCAAGGCCAAGAAGCACGAGTCTCGCCGCATCAACGTCGAATAAACGCGACAACACACCACAACCCGGAATCTTGACGACCTTATTATCCAGCTCTCAGATTTCGCGACAGGTCAAGATCAGTAATGACTCATCTTTACGACTTTAGCATTGCATGGATCGGTGTTGGGAAGTTTCTTAGCATGAAATAGCATTGTAGGCCTGGCTTGGTCATTCGCTCCTTGTACAACAGCAACTAATAATTCAACTGCTTTTACAAACAACTTCCCAAACATTCATAAAAAATCAAGTGACATATTCCGTATTATTTATTTGCCTGTGACAATATATACATATATATACTGCGATATCCACCAAGTTATTAACGCTTAACACTGCAATAGTATTAGTTACACCTCAATTACCTTCTCTCTAGAGAAGGCACGAAAACTTAAGGACCTATATCCTAAGCGACAGAATGGTTCAGGCAAGCTTAGTGTAAATTAATGGATTTTAAGATTTGTAATTTTCGGCGATATCATTAAATGTCAGAGGTTTCCTTGCTCCTTCAGGACTATGTACTTACTATTAATCAAGACAGCCAAGTAGACAGGGGGCTCAAGGGTAGCAGACGGATAAAATCTTGAAGTCAGAAAGTCGATTTATATGATTATATGATAAGTTTATGATCCCGCATCAACCCAATGAAGAAACTCCATATCATCTGTAAGTAATTCTCAGAAGCCTTAGCTTGCGATTGAAAGACAATGGCTATCCGCTGGCAGATTGAAGCCCACCAATTCCATTTACCAATCAAAAGTGGACCGTCATGTAATTGTTAACTGATGGCACGTGATTTGGCGTAGAATGGTGGCGCTGTTGCCTCCCCACTAAGGTAGGTAGACGCGATCGCGCTTTCTTCCTTCCCCCCCTTCGCTCATTTCTCGCAAATTTCTAGTTCACAGTACAGTCTGTGATTATCTTTTTTTACTGATACAATCCAGGAGAGGGACTCAAGAATCACAATGAGCGAGGAGTATGATGAGGCTCAGATGGGCGAAGAGGGCGGCATGCCTGGCCCTGGTGCTCCAACGCCACTCTCCGCGCTCGAGGTAAACTTCTGTCGAAACGCAATTGCGATAAAGGCTGACGCTGATTTTGCAGGGAATTGCTGGTTTGACGAAGCGAGATATTCAGCTTGTCATTGACGGAGGCTACAACACAGTCGAGTCCGTGGCCTACACGCCGCGACGAGTGCTGGAACAGATCAAGGGTATCTCGGAACAGAAGGCGACCAAGATTCTGGGAGAGGGTAAGTGTCTCACGGATCGGATTTATCGGAAAAAATTACTGATAGTATCGCAGCCTCCAAGCTCGTCCCCATGGGTTTCACTACAGCCACAGAGATGCACCAGCGTCGCAGCGAGCTCATTTCTATTACCACTGGATCCAAGAACCTCGATACTCTACTTGCCGGTGGTATTGAAACAGGTTCGGTTACTGAACTGTTCGGTGAATTCAGAACCGGAAAGAGTCAGATCTGCCACACACTCGCCGTGACTTGTCAATTACCCTTTGATATGGGCGGTGGTGAAGGAAAATGCATGTACATCGATACTGAGGGTACATTTCGACCTGTTCGCCTGCTGGGCGTTGCCAACCGATTTGGCCTTTCTGGCGAAGAGGTCTTGGACAATGTTGCGTACGCACGCGCTTACAACTCTGATCACCAGCTTCAATTACTCAACCAGGCTGCAGCTATGATGTGTGAGACACGATTTTCTCTGCTCATCGTCGATAGTGCAACATCGCTCTACCGAACAGACTTTTGCGGTCGCGGTGAGCTCTCGAATCGACAGACTCACTTGGCCAAGTTCATGAGGACACTTCAGCGTCTGGCGGATGAATTTGGTATCGCGGTTGTCATTACAAATCAAGTTGTGGCTCAGGTCGATGGTGGCCCAAGTGCCATGTTCAACCCTGATCCAAAGAAGCCTATTGGTGGTAACATCATCGCTCACGCCAGTACAACAAGAATCAGCCTGAAGAAGGGTCGTGGGGAGACACGTATTGCCAAAATTTACGACAGCCCATGCCTACCAGAAAGTGATACTCTGTTTGCCATTGGCGAGGAGGGTATTGGTGACCCAGCCCCAAAGGACATGGAGAAGGATTAGACGATAACGGATGACCTTGTATGTTTGTACGATCACTGGAGTATATGGTGATGATTCTTGGTATGGTTGCTGGCGCATATCTTAATGGTTGTTTCATGTGTTGTTATTGCGATGGATGTTACCTAAATGTTAGAGGATAGGGTGGTTGGGATGACTAGCTGGAATTCTCTTCAGTCAAAACAAGTTTCTTTTGGAGCAATTCGTCTCAAAGAAAGAAATGAAAATGACACATCATTAACAGTGCATAACTTTGATGCATCCAATCTTTTCTACTATATATGTCGGCAGTGATGCAGTGACCAATAGCTGATTGCCTTTTTAGGTTAGCGTGGTTCGCGACCTCTGCCAGAAATTCTACCACGCGATTTCGCTTTGCTACCTTAGGTATCCATCATCACATCAAACTCAACGCCTAGTACTCGAACCCATCTCGTCACGATCGACTCGATTCATGGGGGCAAAATGGATCAAGGCGATACACAATATCTCTTCAAAGAGACAAGAGTGAACCTCGATCCCCCAACTTCGTCTTCTGTTGTCACGATCCGAGTACCCTCGAATTCAATACAGAGCCGCAATTATCGAAAACCGGCGCGCGAGAACACAGCAGAAGATGAGACGACATTTCGAACGAAGAACTTAGCGACTGCCTCTTCCGTCTACCACCGAACTTGGCATGACACACCACGGAGTTTCCTTTGGAGGATCTTGGAGGACGGCACTCTCCTCAGCATTCGGGCTGTTGATGTTTGCAAGAAGACACAAGCGACCGATTCCCCGCTTGTCTTGAACTTCCACTTTTCAGTACCTATTCAGCCAGGATGCGTCACATTTTCGGACCCCGAAGAGCACGATTCCCTTTGTGTTTTTGTTCTCGACCAAGCATATCAGCTGTATAGCTTCACGCTCCGACCAGATTTGTTCAGGAAGAGATCGGCCGTCGATGCTGGGCTTTCTGACCTCGGTAAGGTCCAAGCGCCAGCAGGATTGGGTTTCAAGCATCCTCATCGCATGATTGCTGTGAACGCGGAGACACTGCTGATTACGGTCAACGATGGAGGAATGATCAGGCTTGACAAGAACAAAGCGCATGAACGTGAGTACTATTGGGCTAGTGATATCAAAATATGCCAATGCTAATTCTTACAGCATCGTCACTTGTCTGGAAGGAATCGTTCTTCAACGTTCAGGGATGGGCGCAGAATCTCCGAAGTCTTCTTCCTTTCCAAGGAAAACACACAATCAAGAACGGCAAGATCAATATGGAATACAGCTCAGCCACGTCGATTCAGATCACAAGTTTCGGAATGGACGATAGTCTCTTTGCGATCACAGTCTGTCTCGATCATAGAATGCGAATTTGGAACATTAACGATGGCCAAATTCTTTATACAGGCGATATTCTCAATGCTGAGAGGAACCCTCAAGAGATTGGAAAGTGGGCTATTGACCCATCACAGACGAACCTAGTACAGATTGTTGGAAGGGGCCGCAGTAGTAGGATATGCGCAACCTTCTCACCCATCGCCGCTGGAGAGTTTAAGTTCTGGAAGATCATCGCAAAGGATGCGCATACCGTCGTCGTCGAAGACATCTTCCCCAACAACGCCTTAGTTCCAGTGACGCCATCATCCTCTGATGTGTGGACACTCGCTGATTTCGTTCTCTCTTGTCCTGCAGAGAGCGCTATCCAACTCTGGACCCTGTGGAAGAACAACATGACATATAGGGTGCAAAGGCTCGAAGTGGATCGTAAGAATATCTCACAGAGCTGGGAGGAGAACTGGGATGGCGTCTATGCAGATAACCTCATACAGGCCGCAGAGAGTTCTGGCCCCTGTGATCCTACTGATGTCACAGAGAAGTGGCTCCAGCTTATTCTGAAGCCTGGTCAATTTACGAAGTCGACCCTAGAGGCAGCATTATCGATTTATGAGCGAGGCTTCGGAAAGTCAAAGGAGACCGCTGCCAAGGCTCGAGGGCTGGCAGAGTCGATTTGTTCGATATTGGGGGCTGCTGCAACGCTAGATCGAGGCTCTTCGGGCGCTATGGAGTACGAATCCTTCCGCGCTTCCAGTGAGGCCCAGTGGTTGAGGTTCTACCGCCTGTTGCTCGAATTGGATAAGCAACGAGGAGAAGCACTCGGGTTGACGCTTGACCCCTCTACGGGAATGACTTGGGTTGTCTGCGCCGACTTCCTTTCAGCCATTCGTGAGTGCAGTAGCTTGGAGCGACTGTACCATAACCTCACTTCTCCTGAGGAAGATCACGTTGCACAGGCGGCTCTAGTCGATACGGCTTTGAACTTCGTTGCTGGGTTGCCTGAGCACCTGATGCCGCTCTGTCAGGCTGCACTACGGCCTGAGCTGTTTGAGGATTCTTCCAAGACTGACCTCGAGCGCATCTCATGTTTCTCTGACAAGTCTGGATTTTGGCGAGGAATCACTGATGACGACTGTAACCAAGTTGTCGATGTTCTCGGCCCAAACTTTAACGTAGTGACAGACGAGCTTTACGCCGACGTGATGAATCTAATCTCTGCACCAGAGGAAGCCAAGTCACGGAACTTACGTCACCCACTTAGCGACTTTGGCAGGAAACTGGTCGTCAAAGCCGTTCAAGACAGTATTGAGTTGCAGTGGAAGGTCTACTTCAGCCAGTTGATTCTTCTCGTCCACATGGAGTTTGAGCACGACAATGAGGCAGAAGCTCTTCACAATCGCGTTGATATTGGCAACGTATTCAGACAGCTCGTTGCGGCCCTGCGACGTTTGGAGCTGTTGAAGTGGCTCGCCCAGGTAGAAATCTCAGTGCCAAGCACCCGAGAAAAGAGTGAGAGCGGAGCTGTGAAGAAGAGCTCTGAGGATGCTCAACTCGTAACCGCACTGGAGGCGCATGTTGGTCACCTGCTTGGTTTTGCGAACCAAAGTGAGCCACTGGCTACCAGTGTCACAGATCTCGTCACCAACTTGTGCGCTCCGGACAGCGATATTGAGATTTCACCACCGCTTGTTCAGTGCTCTCTCATCAAACGAGAGAGGGCTGATTTGGCATTGGATCTTGCGCCTTTCTGCGACCAAAACCCCTTCTCCACATATGTCCAGGGCCGTTTGCAGCTGGCGTTGAAGGACTTTAATACCGCTGCGATTTTCTTCAGAAGAGCAGCCATTGGAATGAGTAAGTCCTTCCAATTTTGTTATTGACTCCTTACTAACAGATAGCTAGGCGCTGGGAATGCCGGAAGCGACCGCCATAGTAGCGGCTTGCTTGATGACACAGAGTGGAACCTCCTTTACCAAGGCCTTGCAAAGTACTATTCGCATATTGTTGCTTTGTTCGAGAAGCAGAAGGCCTACTCTTATGTGGTCGATTTCGCCCGCCTGGCCATGCAGTTCTTGGGTACTAAGCAGGACGCTATGTTTACCAAGACTGACATGCAAAGCCGCTTGTTCAACGCTGCAGTAGCGACATCGCAATTTGAGCTCGCACACACAACCTTGGTCTCGATTAAGGACCAAGCCATGAAGATCTCAAATCTGCGCAAGTTGATTGACAGAATGTGTGCGACTTATCACAACAATGAGCTCGTTGCTCTCCCTTTCCCCGGTCTCCAACAGGAGGTTGACGATATCCTGGCACAGAAGACAAAAGCATCATTGGATGTTATAGAAGGATTCCCCTACCACCAGGTCCTCTACTCATGGCGTATTAAGCACAATAACTACCGTGGTGCCGCGTCGGTTGTATTAGACCGAATCCACAAGCTGCAAAGCGCCGGAGAGGGAGATGAGGCTACGGGAGAAGATATCCTCGATACACCAGTGACAAGGCAATACCTCCTGCTCATCAATGCTCTCAGCTGTGTGGAGCCCAAGCAGGCTTGGATTTATGATGAGTCCTCGGCTGGCTTTGGACAGAAAGATGCAGGAAAGCGCAAGGTGGTGTCATTGGCGGATATTCGCAAACAGTATCAGGATGAGCTGGACCGAATCGCAGCGATTCACAACAACCAATTTGGCTTCGAGGCGGACGACGTTATGGAAATTGCATGAATGCAGAAATAGGACAGGTCACTTTATGTAGACTAGAGGTGTATTGTTTCAAAACTCGGACGGGCGAAATATCTAGGACATTATCGGGACTGTTTACGGTGTATGTATTAATTTGATTTGCAGAGGAAACAGGAACTACAAATCTTCCATCATCTTGCTCTTCCAGCCTTAAACCCGAAACGCCAGGACCCGATGCTTAAAGGACGCGCATGAAGTTGACAGTGTATGTACATCAGACCAACAGCCAGGCTCTTCTAATTTATCTTTATGCCTGTGCAGCAGCCAACTTGTTCTCTGGGGGCGCAGGTAGTGAGGAGGTACCGGCGTTTAGAACAGGTGCGGCGTCAGGAGCTTGGCGGTAAAGAATAATCTCAGATTGCTTGAAGTATCGTCGAGCATCTGTGAACGTTGTTAGTTGAGTGGTTGAGGCATGAGACTGGGTGGGGGCTTGGCTGACCTTCGTCGATGAGAACTAAGCTGAGATAGTAACGCGTGGAGAACTTCTTGTTGACGTCGCGGAATGTAGGTGTTAGATCAAAACCGCCGAGGAATAGTCGAATAGGAATTGTCTCTCCTCGCGATGGGGAACCGTCCATGATCTCAAAGCGCACCAAGGTTTCACTTTCATTATACTGGTTGGGAGCAGCGCCCGTCGTCTCTCTTCTGATGATGGACAGCTCCATGTGCTTGATCTTTAGGCGCACAAGCAAGAAGTAGATGCGCCCAACAATGACATCCTTGAGATGGTATTTGCTCTTGCTGTACTCGAACTCAATGTGTAGACAATCCTCGATACCAACATCCATCTTAATGCTGCTGTTCATCTCAGGGGGGATGCGATAGCTGTAGACCCAGATATCCTTTTCCCGGATGACATCGGCCATGCGGCGTGAAACGGTGACGCGGACGAAGTAGCGCAGCTTAACGTTGATGCCATTGTATGATTCGTACTGCTTCTCGACGTTCTTGAAGTTGAAGTCGAATGTTTGTGGGTGCTGAAGCTCGCCAGGCGCAGCGAGTTCCTGGTTGAGGGAGAGAAATTCGTAGTGGTTGCCGCGATCGAAGAACATTTCTTTGCGACAAGTCAGTAACTGAAGCAGCTTGCCAAGCGTGTGAAAGCGTTAGGGAGGCACTGCGATGTATAGGGGTCGCGAACCTATCGTGCCGATGAACTGGACCTTGATGCCAGTATGCTCGAGCCTCTTGCCATCCTTTGGACGAACAGTGACAGCGCCCTTGACAGACTCGCCATCCATAAAGAGAGGCGCCTTCTCGCGACGGTTCTTGTCGAGCTTGACATCGACCATAGAACGCTCATCTGTATCATCGAGGACAACGTCGATATCGACGGGAGTCGCGAAGAAGTACGACATGGCGGACAATTGTGTATGTTATCTGCCTCTTGCCCCTAGTGTCTTATTGATAAGTGAGATGAGGCTATGGCGCAAGCTTTATGATAGTGGGATGGCTGGGCTGAGCTGGACCGAGCTGTTGAGGAGAGTCGGCGCTGACGTCGGCCGGGGAGACAGGGGACCGATGAAGACCCACCGAGCTTGCCGCCGTTACCTTGACGAGGCCGAACGAGTTGATTAAGATATGAATGGGATCAGAATTCACACATGAATATGGACAAGAAAAGAACAAGTACATTATTCAGACTGAGAATTATTATTTTTCTTACAGTGCTAGCATATTTTCCTACCATAATTACCGATATTCTGCTTATAGAACTGTTATTCTTCAAAAGAGTCCAATTGCCAATAGATCTAATTGGCTCACAGCCTCCATCGTGCAGACTGATCACGTGCATTCCCCACCAGAATTGCTCACGTGGAAAGAGAAAGCCCTACGCACTTCCAGTGTTCTTTCCCGCACAAGAACTCAGAATTGTTTCGCCTGTATCCCTCAACACCGATATCAACTCACAGCCGGCAGGATGAAGTACATTCATTCCCAGGAGCTCCTTGAGATCCCCGAGGGGGGTATGTTGCGCCCTATTTCATTTTCAAGTCTGATTTCCTCGCCGTCGCTCGAATAATTTGGTATCGGTCCCCTCGAAAAATTGCCAGAGTTATTCGCAAATGGAGGCTGCACAAGAACACCAACAATAAACTGCGCTCACAATGGAAACTCTGGCAATTTCCGAGGGGATTATCCACGAGCGTCGAAATGAGAATCTCCAACTCACAAGACGGAAAAGCTGACTCGTTTTCTCTATAGTCAAGGTCAGCATTAAGTCGCGAATTGTCACCGTTGAGGGTCCCCGCGGCAAGCTGGTCAAGGATCTCAGCCACCTGGCTGTCAACTTCACCGTCCCCAAGAAGAACCAGATCTCCATCGAGATTCACCACGGTGTCCGCAAGAATGTCGCTACCCTCCGAACTGTACGAACCCTCATCAACAACCTGATCATTGGTGTCACCAAGGGCTTCAAGTACAAGATGCGATACGTCTACGCCCATTTCCCCATCAACGTCAACGTCTCCAAGAACGCCGAGACCGACCTGTACGAGGTTGAGATCCGAAACTTCATCGGCGAGAAGCTCGTCCGCCGAATTGTCATGCAGCCTGGTGTCGATGTTGAGGCTTCCACCACCCAGAAGGATGAGCTCGTCCTCTCTGGTAACTCTCTGGAGAACGTGTCGCAAAGTGCCGCCGATATCCAGCAGATCTGCCGGGTGCGAAACAAGGATATCCGAAAGGTAGGACATAGCATCACACCGTCTCTTTTTCCGACTCTTACTAATTGCCCTAGTTCCTTGACGGTCTGTACGTCTCCGAGAAGGGCAACATTGTCCAGGACGAATAAGCGCGGGTACGGACACGGATCTTGTTTCTTTTGCGTTTCTGGGTCTCAGGAGTGGCGAAGGTTCATCGTTGCATGTCATGTAGCAAAAAAAGGGCTACAAAACAAATTTCAAAAAGCAAAGAGATGATGACTCTGGTGCCGACAAACACTTGAATCTCGCCAACGAATCGAATCGCATCTGTTCATTCGTGTATGTGACCATTTTAGGAGCAAAAAAGGGCCGGCTTTTAGACGAGGGTTCGTTTCGGGTGTTTTGCGATAAGAAAAAAAAGGCGTTTAATCATTTTCCAATGCGCACACTATCTGTGCCTGGGAACTCCCACAACGTTTTTGTCTATCGTGAAGTCGGTTCTGCAAGATCTATTCTATCCAATTTGATCAATGGTAAAATGAGTCAATGCATCATGATTTCAGAACTTTAGTCCACGCACATCCATGGCTGTCGTTGATTGAGGAGGCGATTATGATCAAAAGTTGCATGTGAAAAAAATGAGGCTCGCATTTACATTAAGACGTGCCTCGTCAGTATATTCATCTTTTATCAAACTCGTAATTTTTCTTCTCAACTTTCATTGTGAGTCATTTCATCTAGTCTTCCTTTCAATTCCTTTCGTGACGTGATCTCTTGAGTAACAAAAAGCAGCAGCATTAACCATCCATGAATGCGTGGGTAAAATAACAACATCAATGATGAAAAGGGGTGAATGGGGGGGAAATAAAAACCAGAGGCCGCAAAAATATCAACATAATACCATAATATGTGAACAACCAGGAACGCCAGTAGCCTTGATGTGTGAAGCGACAAGTCGAACGTGTACAATGTGGGCTCGAATCCTTATGTCAAATGCAGAGACATGTACAGGATGGGGAGTATATATGTGTGACGAATGGGGATAAAAACTTGAGGAGCGGGGATTTAAAGGTTTCATCGCCTGCTGTCGCGGGAGTAGTACGACCTCGCTCGGCTGTCTCTTGTGCGACGAGTGCGGTTCGTTCGTCCACCTGAGCTTGAGCTGCCTGCTGTGACTGTTAGTATGACAAAGTGATGAGATGGGTTGTCAGCGAGACTTACTGGGACTGGTGTAGTCACTGTATGAGTAATAAGAGTCGCTATACCGCGATCGTGATGATCCTCGAGATGAGCGCGCGGGCTTGGTGCTCGCAGGTCGCTTATCCTTCTTGAGATTGAGGAGAGCAAGAAGCGTGGCCGCCAGACCAGCAATACCGAGCCACTTCTTGCCATCCGACTTCTTCTCACGACGATCGCCGGCCGAAGACGGGGAACCACGACGGCCCATGCCGAACCAGCCCTTGTGTCGAGGACGACGGGAGTGGGCCGAGGCCGAAGGAGGTGGTCGGCTGCCGTGGCGAGAGTATCGCTCCTCGTAGACATCGACGCGCTCGCTCTTCTCTTTGTCCTTCTTGCCAAAGAGGGCAACCCAGAGACCACGGGCAATACAGCAGAAGCACAGAAGAAGGAGAAGCGCAACACCAGCGATGACACCGATGACGATACCGGCAATGGCACCGGCACTCAGGCCTCCACCGCCAGTTCCGGTCTCGCCAGCTGCGGCGCCCTCGCTAGTCTCGGTGGCCGTTGCAGAAGCCTCGGATTCAGTCTCAGTTGCAGTCTCGGACTCAGTGGGCGCGCCGCTGTTGGTGATAGTGGTGGTACCAGTGACTCGATAAGGAGCCGAGTATTGGGTGGTGATCTTTCCATCAGTGGTAATAACAACAGCGGTGGGCTCCTCGTAACCAGGCTTTGCAGAACATTGACCCATGAACGCGCAAGTCTGCCAGCCAGCGCAGCAGATCTCACCGCATGCTTCTTGCTCATCGTTCTTGGGCACACAGTCAACGCCCTTTGTAGGCTCCGGAGCAGGCTCCCAGCGGGTCATGATTGTGCTGGTATAAGTTCTGGTCTCCGTCCAGGTAGTAGTATAATCGCCGACCCAGCCTCCCTTTGCAGCGACACAGTTTGCGACTCCATTTGATGTTTGGCAGGTCTCGCCAGAGCCGCAGCAGTATTGATTATCGGAGCCACAGGGTGAGTCGCATCCTCGGTGCATGAGATATGAGTAACCGCGATCATGAAGACCATCTCTGGGGAGCGGCTTGGCAGAGCAGAGAGCTGCCGCGGTGAGGAGCAGCAGCGGCCTCGTCACGGAGCGCATTGTAGCGATTTTTCTGGTTGTGATCGTCACTTTTTTTTCCCCCCAAAGGTTGGTTATTGGCGGAAAGCCGAGGTCGGAATGATATTGTTTGAGGCCAATTCCAATCAGAGCTTGTGCTAGTTTCGAATTGAGATGAGTGCACAAGGTGAGGAATTTGATCTGGGTAAAAACCGAGACTGGTTGCGAGATTTATCTGAGTCCCTTGTGAAACAGCTCAGCTCAGCTTAGCTTCTGGAATGCGGGAGAAGCGGCTGCGTTGTCGCGGGGAAGTATTGTTGGTGCCCGAGATGGAACTGGAGGTGAGTGAAGGTCGCTGTGAGATGAGGGTGAGTGAGAGGCTAAGTAAGGTTTGGTGGTGAAGTTTCCAGGAAAAAGAAAACTTCCGAGAGTTAAGTAAGAGGTCAATTACAAGCAGGAAAAAAAGAGACGAGAAACGGCAACGTTGAATTCTGGGCGCTGCACCAAGAGTTTTAAGCGGCTGGTGGTGGGCTGCAACGAAAGGCTTCCTCTTGAGTCCCAACCTCCCACTTACAACTGTAGTCTATACCAGCCTCTCTGATTTACCTAGAAGGGCACTTTGACACACGCACGCGCTCATCCGAAATAAGGGGACCTGGTCCACACGCCAACAAATCAGTCTCTTTAACTCGATGCAAGGTTTTAAGGGGGAACACTCAGTCCTCTTTTTCTTGTGAACTCTCGGTCTCTCGTCTTGTCGGTGAGGATGGATGGATGACTTGAGACTTGGAATACGATGCACGTCAATGGTGGGGTGCCAGCTCATGATACCTCCAGCTACTACGCCTGTGCTTGCTCACTGGACAACTATCGATAGCTGGAGCCCTGGAGCAGTGACCACCCCCTGTAGGCCCGTGTCTGCGGCCCTGGAGCTAGGCCTCGTACAGCGGGTAAATGTCATCACCACTTACACGCCCGGGGCACCCCGGAATAGCAGATCACGTATCATGAGAGTGAAAGCCGTTTGCGTGCTGCATATTTTAATTGAACTGTCAGGGGCAATCGCAACGTCCTTGCAAGCCGAGACCTGTGTTTGGCTCTTCCCATTGGCGGTGTTGGAAGGAGTTGAGCCATTAGACAGGGAAACGAAACTCGGAGGCTGGGAGGGCATTTTTCAGGGATTAATTCCAGGTCGGTCTGGGCTTTTGACTCAATCGTGTCGTCAGCTTGGCAGAGGAGAAGAGGATGGCAGAACACGCCACAGCCACAAACCACAAGCCAGATCAAGCCACACTATATCAACAGCCATATTTGTCTGGCGAACTCTTAACGTGTGGCGCTAATTGTGGCAGCTGTGGCTACCCAAGCTCCAACCAAGTCCAAGGTTCCGTTAGGTGCACCAAGCTTGACCTGTGACGCTCCACGCGGTTCAAGATCAAGTTGGTTGCATCACCAGCGACTTCAAACTTCATATTACCAGCTTCTCCATCCTCCTCCATCTCCATCTCCGCTCTACTCCCTCCGATCTCGTCACCTAGACATATCCTTTGGCTCATCCCACAAATAACCGCTCGCTGCTAGCAGCCGCGACGCTTTAATCATAGCTAATCATGTCCCTCGACCCGCCAACGTACCTGGCCTCTCTCCAGAGCAACATCCGTCAGCGACCCATTCCCTGGGACGGTGCTGTCAGGGCCGGCACCCTCACCGAGGAGCAATATGCAAAGATTCGAGCTGTAGATAAGGCGAAGAAGCCCGAGCAAAGAAAGGAGATTGTGTCAGGGGATATTGATGGATATCGCGTCTTGTTTGTTGGCGATGATGGAAAGACGAGTGTTCTCGAGACGGCGGGAAAGCATGCGAATGTGATCCAGTACATCCTGGTCTTGCTTGGCGACCTTCTCGAGGGTAAGAGCGTCCCTTTTATCTTTATGCGACACTGGGAAGTGGCATTGAGTAGTCCATGTCTATCTACTAATAGAGCGACTTCCGTCATAATCTCCAATCACCAATGCTAACATAACATTCTTTCAGCTGTTCCATCTCTAGCCAAGGCCCTCTTCAAGACAAAGGAGCCTTATCGACATTTTTTGCCTCTGCTTAACTCGACTAATGCCGAGGATCCTATTCCATTGCTTACTGCACATGCTCTTACCACACTCATGGCTCTTGCTCGAGACGAGTCCCGATCTACCCTCCAGGCTCTGCCTGTGATTCTCACCTATCTCTCCGGCTTGGCCAAGAGTAACGATGCCGGCCTACAAGATATCGCTGTACAGGAGTATTCGTCTCTGCTCTTTGGGCATGTCGCAAGAGAGCAGTTCTGGAACCAGCGAAGCGAGACGATTGCGCCCCTGATCAAGATTCTTCAAACTGCAGCTGGTATCGGGAATGGAGGCAGCTCATCTGCTAGTCTCTGGAGCGGCAACACCGGTACCGGATCTACTGGCTTTGGGGGTTCTCTGGGTGGAGGTGTTGGTCTCCAGCTTCTCTACCATGCTCTCCTTGTTATCTGGCAGATAAGTTTTGAGGCTGAGGAGATTGGTGATGAACTCAACGAGTAAGTGAATTTACAAGAGAGACAAAACCGGACTACAACTAATACTGGACCGCAGCGAGTACGATATTGTCCTTCTTTACACTCACCTTCTACGATTATCACCCAAGGAAAAGACAACTCGATTGATCCTTTCTACACTCTACAACCTTCTCGAGAAAAACCAGAAATCACTTCTACCCACCGCAGTTCTTGCTCGCCTTCCCGCTCTTCTCGAGAACATCAGTGGTCGCCATCTGACTGATCCCGACTTGCTGGAGGATCTTTCAAAGCTCAAGGAAATGCTGGAAGAGTATACCAAGACCAAGACCACATTCGACGAGTATGTTGCTGAGGTGCAGTCTGGTCACCTTCGATGGTCGCCCCCTCACCGAAACACAGTCTTCTGGGCTGAGAATGCCCGCAAGATCCTCGAGTTTGAGAACGGAGAGATTCCTCGGAAGCTGGCCGAGATCATGCGACAACCCTGGGATAACGACAAGCAAGTGCTTGCCATTGCCTGCAACGACGTTGGATGTCTGGTGAAGGAGGTTCCCGAGAAGAGATATCAACTAGAGAAGGTTGGTCTCAAGAGAAGGATCATGGAACTCATGCAGTCAGATGACGAAAACGTGCGATGGGAGAGTCTCCGAGCTCTCGGAGGCTGGTTGAAGTACAGTTTTGAGCAACAGTGAACTGTCAGATATCAGTCCTAGAGAAGTGTAGTGTCTGCTGGAGTGTCTTGTTTATTACGCGGGCGTCTTGATGTCGTCAGTTCTGGCAGGTCCGAGTTCGCAAAGCTTAGAGAATCACAGTAGACGAGCTGAGCTGAGGAGCGGGGACAAGAGAAAGCATCAGCTTGTAATGGCATACTTTTTAGTTATTGGTAGTTTGAGCAGCATCACCTCGACTACGATTGTGTGTGAGAATGAAGTGTTAAACAATTAGATCCTATCCCATGAATTATGTCTCACGCGGCCTTATCAATCATTTATTCTTATCAGCATTTGCCGCGCTTCTCTTCCTTCTATACCTCTTGCTTCGGCCCTCGGAGGGCGCTCCGGGGACTGCGGGGGTCCGGGGTCGGTTTTCGGAGGCAGAGACCGTGGAGAAGCGAATTAGAAACGACGATTTTGATTGACTCGGTGAAGTTCAGACTCAGTGACTTCAGACTCGGTGACAACCCCACCAGCGCCAATTGTCAAATTGGGTGACTTGTGACTTGCATGATATGTACTGTACATGCCATGTACCAGTCTTAAGCGCCCCCTCGGCTTCTTATCTTCTTGTACAAACTCTTTTCCTCTTTATTAATCTTCTTTGTTTCTGGTCAATTGACTCTCCTCACTTACTCCTAATATCGCCAATTGATTCTATCATGAAGAGCCTCAGCTTGGCCGCGAGGGCTGGTCCCCGAATCTTATCATCTGCCGTTACACGGCCCACATCATTCGGCGCTCTCAGGCTCTCTCAACAAAGCATACGATGCGCTTCGGGGGGTTCTTCTGATCTGAAGAAGACTCCTCTATATGACTTCCATGTCGCCAATGGAGGAAAGCTGGTGCCATTCGCAGGCTACTCGCTCCCTGTTCAATACTCAAACCTCTCACTTGCTCAGTCGCATCACTTTACTCGTGAGCATGCCTCACTTTTTGATGTGAGCCACATGGTGCAGCACATCTTCAAGGGCAAGGATGCAGCTGCTTTCTTGGAGAAACTCACTCCCTCGGACTGGACAAATCAGGGCGTTATGCAGAGCAAGTTGACAACGTTCTTGTGGCCTGGCACTGGAGGTATCGTCGATGATTCGGTTGTCACCAGACTTGGCGAGGATACCTACTACGTTGTCACCAACGGTGCCTGTCTTGACAAGGACACCAAGTATCTTGATGAGGAGCTTGGCAAGTTCGGCGGAGATGTTCAGTGGTCACGTCTCGACAACTCCGGTCTCGTTGCCCTCCAGGGCCCTCAGAGTGCCGAGATTCTCAGCAAGGTCCTCGCTAGCGACGTTGATCTCTCGAAGCTCTACTTTGGCAATGCCGTGTGGGCTGAGCTGAAGCTCGCTGATGGCAGCAAGACTCACCCTGTCCTCATCAGCCGAGGTGGCTACACTGGAGAGGACGGCTTTGAGATTTCATTCAACGGGAAGGAATATCCTGCTTTTGAGACAACAACCCCTGCTATCCAGGCCCTTCTTAGCAAGGCTGGTCCTGAGCGCCTTCAGCTCGCTGGTCTGGGTGCTCGTGACTCTCTCCGTCTCGAGGCTGGTATGTGTCTGTACGGCCATGATCTCGATGATACCACAACACCCGTCGAGGCTGGTCTTAGCTGGATCATCCCCCCTGCCCGTCGCGAGGCTGGAGGCTTCCACGGTGCCGAAACCATCATCCCTCAACTCACACCCAAGAGCAAGGGCGGCTCAGGCGTCACCCGCCGCCGTATTGGCCTTTTCGTCGATGGAGCTCCCGCTCGTGAGGGTGCCGAGATTCACAAGGACGGTGAGAAGATCGGTGTCATCACAAGTGGTGTTCCCAGCCCTACACTTGGCAGGAACATCGCCATGGGCTACATCAAGAGCGGCAACCAGAAGGCCGGCACCGAGGTGGACGTTGTGGTACGAGGAAAAGCACGCAAGGGCACAGTCACCAAGATGCCTTTTATCCAGACAAAGTATTGGAAGGGTACTGCGCCTGCTTAGAAAGTCTACGATGGAATTGAACAATGTATTAAGCGAGTCAAAGTATTAAACGTGTGGTATATGGGGACAACTCAACATGGGGGCAAACTTTGGAGTCTATGATTGTTACGGCCACGACTAAGTTAGAGCCAACGGAAAATAAATGTTCTTGAAATATCATTTGCTACCCCTTACCTCTTCCCCTTTACATCCATATCATCGACTCGATCCTGATGTCTTTCGAGTTTGTCACAAGCAACCCTCTTCTCTTCGGCCGAGGTCTTGCTAGTCAACCCACTCCGGATACCGACACCGTTGCCAAAACACCCTCGAGTGCCCTGGTGATCATGGTAATAGTGGTTGCCGAGAGGCCGACAAGAGTAGTTTTGCAGGATGAGTTCACTCTAAAGCAACCATTGTGTCTGCTGCTACATCTTATATGTCCTTCTAATGCAACCATGTCATCTACCTACCTAAGTAGATCTTCCAGCTTTGCGTACATAACTATGGCTCAGTCCCTTCCCAGACTGAAAATCACATTCTGTTATCTTGTGACGTGGCAATTAGAGTTGCTACCTTCTCTGCCTCGAAGCAACGAAGCAACGCGGATAACGCTCGGGATTTCTCAAGAGAGAAAGGTGGTCTCAATGATACCTGATCATGCTACTGGAACCGGATACTACTAGATGTCTTATGGGAGATACAACACTGCGAGCCAGCACTCGGCGTACATCGCTTCGCTTGGAGGTGTGACCGTCAGAGAGGCGCTCCTAAAGACTCGATGGCTATACTTTCAAGGCTTGGCATCGTCAAGCTTCAGGTGTCACAATAATGAACTGTGTCTCAATGGTTGGCCAGAGTTGTGATTCATGGTTGAGCATCAAGGAAAACATCACGAGAATTTGGACACGGAGATATGTAGCCACGAAAAAACCATAGGAAACCACCACACAAAAGCGTATGGCCTCCCTCAAACGAGCGGCGATATTGTCTAGCAACGGCCTCCCCTTCAAGTGGTGACCAACTGTGGGAAGACTGAGATGATCGTGGCGCCAGTTTTGGATGTTACCGGCACCGTCGAGGAGACGATGTTGCGTAGTGAAGAAGAGAGAAAGGAAAAGAGCCAGAATTTTTGCATATGTATGAACCCACATGAGGACTAGCGGCGGATGCTAAGCGAGATCCGTGCTAGTGGGGCATCTCCCTACCCTGGAGTTGGGTGAGGAAGTTGGTGGGTGTTTCGACAGATATCGAGTGTCCAACACCGAACCGAGTAGTAGTTATGGGACTTTGTTCGAAGATGCTCACGCGAGCGGGGTTTCTTCTGTGTAGTGTTTACTTATTGTGTTGAACAAATAAGCACGCTTCGGGCACAGGATAGTCAGTCTTGTGCGGGTAGCCAGTAAGCGGATAGACTCGTCATCACGAGGATTATTATCGAAGGGTGTCAGAAGCAAGTCGATACTGGATGAAGCGTAGATGATCCATACGTGCAACAAATCACAACGAACACTTGATAAATTCTGTGTATGCATCTCTATGAAAGCGAATGTGATAGAATGTTCACGAGGGCGTTTATGGGGTTCCACATATGAGACTCGACGGAATAGTCAATGCAGGTATCCACTGTTAGGAGGAGGATTTACAGAAGGGGGACCCTGATGGCATATGCCAAAGCCCATTACGTATGTGCCTGAATCAAGGCTGCAGTTGTTTTCTGTAACCCCTGGACCCTGAATATGAGAGCAGATGGTTTTGATTGAGGTGAAGAACTGATGAAGAGCATATCCAGTGGACAAGCGATATTTGAATATGCAAAGGCACAAGATTTGAATAGCAATTCAGTAGGTGTCAGTGATTGAATTTCAAGTATCGCGTGTTCGTGTCTTATTCTGTCTCGTCCATGCCCATTCTCCTCGTCCATTTGCACCATTTGCTCTAGCACACGTGTAGCCCGCGCCGCTCAAGATTGGCCGATCTTACCATCTTCCTCAACTTCAACAATGGATCACCAGGCGTCTCAGCGTGAGCACACGACAACGTGGGGGAGGGGCATCCACTGAAGATAGGTACTGTTCATTAATTTTGTCGCTATTTTGACTCTTCGAACTCGAGTATTTTAAACTCGATGCTTCCCCCTTGTCGCTATGATATTCGATGCGATCAGCCAGGGCAGTCTTGGCACTCTACGGTACTTGGTTTACCTACACCGAGCAGTGGATCCTCATCGACGGTATTGATTGATCATAGCTCAGGTAGGCTGGTTCTGTGGAAATTAGTCTATTAACGCCCTTTTCTTCTCCATCATCATTTTTTCTTTGTATCAAGTATTCTATAAAGATATTATCTTCCCTTGTCCCCCCATCACTAACGCGTCAGCCAGAATCAGAGCGTGTCTTTGTGGCTTGAACAGGATCTTACCCCTTGAAAGCTGCTACCAAGATTGGCTGGAATGACCTCACACCTTCAATTCCATGCTTGACCTCGTATCTTAGCTCAGCATCACTTCTTCACCTGGCTATCACCAAAATTCGACTGCAACACCGAACATCAACGAAATACATATCAAATAGAGAGTACAATCTAAAACGCACAAGATGCCACTCTCAGGCGCCCGACTGCTCGTGGCAGCCGCCTTACTACTCCCTAGCGTCTCTCCTTCACCAATTTTCGACGCTGGCCAAAAAGTTCTCGATGCAATCACAGGGACACGCGATCCTATAGAGACACCGCATATCCGACAATCGGGTCGCAAACTGAATGGCAAATTTTTGCATATAACAGGTACGCAATATCACATGTGAAACAAGTCCCATGTTCCTGCATCTACATCGGATAAAAATATGATAACTCAGCGTTGCATCCAAAGCAGCCCACTAACAACCACAACTCCAGATTTTCACCCTGATGAATTCTACAAAGCGCATTCATCAACAGCCCAGGGTGTCGCATGCCACCGCGGGAAGGGCCCTGCAGGTCTATACGGCGCCGAAACTACCGATTGCGACTCTCCCGTGGACCTCGTCGACGCGACGTTAGAATGGGTACGGAAGAACGTCAAGGATGATATCGACTTTGTTGTATGGACGGGTGACACGGCGCGCCACGATAGCGACGAGAAGCTGCCACGAAGCTCGAGCCATGTTTTGGATATGAACCGAAACGTCGCCAAAAAGATTGTCAAGACATTTTCTGATGACGGAGCCCTTACCGTCCCTGTCATCCCAACTTTTGGCAACAACGATTTTCTGCCGCACAACATCTTCTATCCCGGACCAAACAAGTGGCTGCAGGCTTATAGCAGCATATGGCATCGTTTTATCCCTGAGGAACAGCGACACTCCTTCGGATTTGGTGGATGGTTCGAGGTTGAGGTTATTCCCAATCAACTGTCCGTCATCAGCCTCAACACCATGTACTTCTTTGATCGAAATGCTGGCGTTGACGGTTGCGCAATTCCCTCGGAGCCTGGTTTCAAGCACATGGAGTGGCTGAGTGTTCAACTTCAGCGATTACGTGAGCGGGGAATGAAGGCTATCCTGATCGGCCATGTCCCTCCCGCTCGGACTGAGAACAAGCAGAATTGGGACGAAACTTGCTGGCAAAAATACACACTCTGGCTGAAGCAGTTCCGCGACGTTGTTACTGGCTCCCTTTACGGCCATATGAACATTGACCACTTCCTATTTCAGGACACCAAGGACATTGACCTGAGCCTTTATGACAAGGCAGGGACTACCCGAGAACCCATGGATGACGACTTTTCCGTCGAGTCAAAGAGCGACTACTTGATAGACCTTAGAAAGTCCTGGTCTGACTTGCCAGGCTCAGCTGCAAAGGCACTAGAAGAAGATCTAGACGCCGAGGATGAACTTGAAACGCAAGATGAAGATTTCGACGAGTTGAGGAATAGAAAGAAAAAGAAGGGGAAGAAAGGTAAAAAGAAGAAGGGCCACGGCAAGATCGGAGGCAAATATGGAGAACGATATCAGGTATCTCTTGTTAGCCCCAGCATCGTCCCTAATTACTTCCCGACTATTCGCATAATCGAGTACAATATTACCGGCCTGGAGGATGCGCCAGTCTGGACCGACTCATTCGACATCAACTCAAAGGTTTCCGAAGGGCTTCCCGACTTTTCTGAAGATGAGGAAGCCCACCAGGAACTCAAGAGAGACCTCGAAGCTGAGCGAAGGAAGAAGGGCAGAAAAGGCAAGAAGGGCAGGAAGGGAAGAAAGGGCAAGAAGAAGCCCAAGAACCCTGAACTCGTGATCCCACCAGCTCCCCCAAAGGGATCACCTCCCGGCCCTGCATACTCTCGCCAGACATTCACCTTCATGGGATACACACAATACTTTGCCAACCTCACCTATATCAACAATGATCTTGCCGACTTGTCTGAGACAAGCAAGTGGCGCGACGGCGATTTCAGTGATGAAGTACCCAACCACGATAAGCCGCAGCCCAACAAGTTCAGATACGAGGTTGAATACAGCACTTTTACCGACAAGATCTTCAAGCTGCCCGACTTGACAGTTCGAAGCTACCTCAGGCTAGCGTCTAGAATCGCTAAGAGGAAGACGAAGAAGGGCAAGGGCAAGGCAGCTGAAGAGTACAATGAGGATTTTGAAGACGAGTCAGACTCAGACTCAGACTTAGACTCAGACGACGACGACACTGAAATTCCAGAACCTGAAGAGGGTGACTCTGATTTGGACTTCACCGCTACCAGGGGCAAGAAGGGGAGGAACAAGAGAAGGAAGACCAACAAGGTTTGGAAACATTTCCTCCAAGAAGCATTCGTCAACACTATACCCGAAAAGCAACTCAAGAAGTGGTCACGGAGATGATCGGAGACATATAGGATAGTGACTGACTTGGAAACTTTATGATTGGCATTTTAGCGACGAGACGGATGGAATAGGCATATATGGTGTTAATGGCGCATAGAGAACATAATTGCTAGAATAACTAAAGATACACGATCTTATGATTACACTATCGTTTTCTCACAACATTTTGATTCAAAACTCATGCGTATTTTTTGCCCAAAAGCCCCCTTTACCAGGACATTAAGAAACATGGGGTATCAGCGAATGCAGCTGTGCCGGTACAAGGCCACCAGTTATTCATACATCGTTCGTGTTCGTTTATCATAACCAACCAGTCCAGCTCATCTCACATCTCAGAGAAACAAACCATTAAATCCCATTCTTTCCCTTTGCCCAACAACGCCTCTCATCGTACATGCGCGGTTTACTCTGCATTGTTGACAACCCGCAACGCCCGGCGAGGACCCATGACGACGCTGAAGAAACTCGGTTCCTGGCCTTCGAGTAGCCCTTCAGTCGAGCCTCCGCTATGACTCGTTCCAGGTCTCGTATCCTCACTGCGCTTGGCACCCCCAGACCCGCTGCTGGACCCGGGAGCGCCTGGCGTGGTATCATCTTCATCCTCAGGCCCCCATTTGGGCTCTGTGGTGTATCCCTGATCGCGGCTAGGGCCGACCCAGCCAAAGAGGCTGCGCTGGGAGATAGCACGCTTGGGGCGGGTAGTACCAGCAGCAGCAAGGGCTGAAGGGTTGAGAAGAGAGTTGGACGCAACGGAGTAGCGGTTTGATACTGCGAGGTGTTGTCTGTAGGCGTTGACTTGCCGGCGATAGAGCCAGGCGCAGAAGCCAAGATAGCAGGCGAGGGCACCAAAGATACCAGCGATTACGCCTGCAGCCACGAGACCGCCATTGACTCCACCATCGTCTTCTTCTCCATCGGGAGAAGCGGCTGCAGTACCAGTCTGGCCGACCCGTACTGTCGCTGTCGGTCCGGAGGTAATTGTGAAAACCGGGGGCTTGCCCGTTAAGAACGGACCACCGGTGGCCGGCCCCACAGCGGGGGTGGTAACGGTAGCGCTGCCGTCCTTGTCTCCACCCACGACCTTGCGTACGGCGTCCGGGACCTCGTATCCATGGGACCCAGCGAGAACGAAGTTGTCGGGATGATGGTCCGAATCGTGATTGCCGGCCTTGAATTGGTCCTTCCACTTGAGTGAGGTTGCATCGAACACGTACATGCCGGGATCACATCCGATGTCCTCTCCTACTCCACCAACAACGACCATTTGGCCATCATACATGGCGCATGAGTGGCCAGCTCGGGCAGCGGGTCTGTTGTCGTCGTTTTGGTCGACTTTGATCCACGTGAAAGAGGGAATGGTCAGGATGTACATGTCATCGTACTGCGTTTGGTTTCCCTGAGACCATGTTAGTATTTGGGTATGTCTCAAACCATGTCACAGCTTACAAAAGGAAGATTCTGTCCACCAAACATGTAAATCTGGAAACTTGACGCATCCGGCGCGCTTGCGATGACGGCACAAGGATTAACACGAACGCTGGGTGTATCTCCGGACGTTTCTTGATGGAACCATTCGGAATTGGCAATGTCGTATACGTTCAATGTGCCGAGATCCTCAGTAAATGTTTCGTTGGTACCGCCAGCAAGACCGATCAGAACACCTTGCTCGCCCCAGCCTGGCACAAACACCAAGACGCCATCTGCCCTCTCAGTGAAGTTACCGGTCTGGATGCCTGCTTTTGTGATGTTACGATAGGCCCCGCTTTCACCTGCGCCTGTGCCGTCAGAGAGGCTATCGACGCCGGTGTTAACATAGCCTGGGTGTGTGAATTCAAGAAGACTCTTGAGATATACACGATCAACACTGCGAGACCAGCCTGGGGTGGTGGCCCAGTCGAGATGGCCGCCAAAGTACCAGCTTAGGCCGAGTTCAGGCACAGATAGGCCTGCTCCCTCAGCAGCACGGTGTACTGGTCGATTTCCTGGCTCTGATTCATTGCCGGCCGAGGTTTTGGGGTTCTTAAATTCGGTCCATTCTTCATCCTTGATGGAATAACGCCAGACAGACTCGGGCTCGGGATCAACATAGGGTGTATCGGAGAATTGGCCGCCATAAAGATACAGATTATTGTAATCATGCCACAAATAACCCATAGAGACCTCGGGAGGACCGTCCGGTTTCTCGAGACCTTTGAAAGCGGGCGAGCCTATATCCCAGTCCTTAGTGAGGTCCAGTGTTAGAAAATTGTTGTTCCATGTGTCTTCGACTTGGTCGGGTTTTGATCTTGAGCGACCGCCATATAAGTAGAGTGTTCCATTCAACTGGGCGGCTTGAAGACCCCATCGTGTGCAAACCTTGGTAGGGCTGATCTCGCGTTGCTGAATGACACCAGCGCTGGCGCCATTGATATCCGAAAACGATTGGCCATTTCGCCAACTGAATGCCGGAAGTATAATGGCGATGAGGAGTGCTAACATAGTGAAGCGCTGCAGGCCCGAGACACCTGGGGACACACCCGAAGTGCTCTTGATTCTGGGTCGGCCTTTGGGGTTTGATAATATGGCGTACCAAGTCTTGGGCGATGAAAGTGATAACTGTCGAGGGCGTTGGCGGTCGTTGTTATCCTGACTGTGGTCGTCGTCTTGCTCGAGTTGTCGCTTATTGCTGGACGATTGAAGGATATCAGAGCTATCACTCAAGTGTTTGTCGTTGTCATGGGTGCCAAGTTGCTCGCCTGACAACAGTGAAGGTGCTGATGCAGAAGTGGGATAATCCAAGTCGTGTTCTAGACCAACTTCTTTAAAGACGGATCTTCTGCCTTTTCTAATAGCGCCTCCCATTTTAAATGGTGGTGTTACAAAAGTCTGAGCCTCACGCAGGCGATCCGAGGTACGTTGGGAGTTAAAACGAGGCCGGACTGGAGCTAGAAATCCCGAATGGGACGGGGGAGGGGATTTAACCATTGACATCGTGACCATGTGCTCGCTTCCCTGCCTGCTTGTACGGATTGGATGATGGATGGCTTGTGGCGATAACTGGTAACCAAGGGAATTGGGCGTCTCTGGGTGGCTCGGATCGGCGAGTACTATGATGTAGCCACCTTAAAGCGATACCACTCTGTAGGGATCATGTCCTGCAAGCGAGTTATGATATGACAGAAGATGAGGGACAGGTCTTCAATGGCAAAATATACAATTGAGGAAAAGGGCCCTGGGGTGCTGAATGAGAGGGAATGATAGCAGGAAACCCAGAGAGTTCGCAAGGGGGAGTCGGAGTGATCTTTTGAGAGATTCAGAAGCTCTAATTAACTAATACAACAATGATCGACGCCTCGAGCTGAGGAACAACAAGCTTGGGCTCTCCACTTGGACCAGATGAGGGCCGTTGTGTAAATCATGTCGATTATTGATTGACAGACAAGAGACAGCCCAGACAGCGGAGCACCCCGTTGTTTCTCAGCCCCTGGCCCACTACATCATCGATTTTCCCGACAACTTTGTCTGGATTTGATTTCGATAGGCATTGAGATACCTAGGCGTGGGCAAGGCGAAACACAGCCCGTAGCGGGTGCAAGGCGCGCGTGGAGATGGGGACGCAGATGGTACAGCTACATACCAGTTAGCCAGCCAACCCGGACCTTGGTGATGATAGCGATTAGCTATGTACCAACATGTGCTGTAAATTGTACCTAGGCACCAGGCAAGTCAATTGAGCAGCAGGAGTACAGAAGCACATTTCAAACATGAGCGTTACCTCATCCTCATCTTTGCATATCCAACCGGATATAGCGAATGCAAAGCCGGCAAGGGAAACGCCTCCGCCGTTAACGAGACGAACCAAGCAAAATGCAGGAGTGAGCATTTACACACCAACATTGCAAGCGCACAAGCTTATCCGGACACGAGCCAAACCTGGGGAGTAAACGGGCCTTTCATTTCCCTGTTGATATTATTGCTCCCCAGGAAACTTGCGAGCTGGCATTTCCGGTTCGGCTGCAGTGTCGTTCATTACCAGATTCATCACGGGTCTTGGCATCGACGGTGTGATGATTGGGTCACAGAGACGTGGCGATGACTTCACATGCTCCCGGGGGTGTGGCCTTGAATTTTTTGCTGTTCAGTGTTCAGTTTCGGGTTGTGTGATCGACGGACCCGACCGCGTGTTGATGTTTTAACTTGACGATCTGATTCATTGATACTGTCATGCAATGCAGAAGCATCATCTGCTTGTCCATCCCGAGGCTTGCGAGGGCTTCTTTTTTCGTGTAGTAACGCAACGCAACGGTCGTGGAATCCGGGGTAAGACTCGGTAAGAGGAGGAGAGAGATGCAAATAGCAACCCAAAACAAACTAATGCAGAGGAAGCAGGGATTGTAGGATGTTGGTTGCGCCGTCTTGTGTTCGATCACGATCTGGATCATGATATGAAAGATGGTGGTTGGCTCGGATGTCAATCCATCCGTTTTGCTATTGGGGCTTTCAATCGTACTGTATAGTCTGGTGATAATCCCTCTGTATGCACAGTGTGCTAGACTCAAAACCAAGATACGTTTATCACTATAATTATAGCACGTCACGCCTGTACCGACACCCAGAAGCATTCCTCGGAAAGCATAAACCCCAAGCATCAACTTAAAATCTGCGGGTTTTCCATTTCGAGAATTAGCTGCTTCAACACGAGCCGCATCAAAATAAAACAGCTGCGACTGGATCACCCATCCACTGCCGCCACCCGCCGGACTCGTGCTGTCCGCGCTGATCATGCTCTCTTCTCGTACAACGTTATCTTTAGACCAAAAAACAAGCAGGTCAAGTCGCATGTTTCTGAGCACGGCCTTTTGAAAACTTCCGTCCCTCCTTTTCGGTCCTGCGCTTCCAAACCAGAATCCTCTTCGTCCTGCTGCAGTGGCATACAGCACCGCCGCACCTCGCTTAACCGAGATTAACAGCTCCCGCCACAGACGACGCCACAATTGTGACTGTAGATCGCATTCGTGAAGATGGTATTGGATGTCACTGAGATTCATGAAGTGTCGCTTAATTTGCACGCTGACATGCAGTACTGAAAGCCAAGCGAGGCCTCGCTCTTTCCACAGTATTGTCCATCGCATCTCGTACCGCCGCCTGAGAAGTTCGGTCTCCAACCGAGGCATCTCAGCAAGGTCAGAATCTCACACCGAACTCTTGGGTGTCACGGCGCGGGTCTCGGAGTTCTAAGCAGGCCCACTGACCCGGAGCGGATCTGAGATTTGAAGCCGTCTGTGTTCTTGTGGGGCTTTTGTGGTGGGACACCGGAGTTGCTCCGGACAAGGAGCCCCTGAAATCGGTGATCAAGTGAGGCTTTGATAGGGGGCTATAGATAAATCTCGCAACAGATACATTCTTCTCATGTTGAAAGAACACCCAAGAACACGATCAACATTCACCTGTTAAGACAGTTCGTGGTAAATCAGTTCTGTTCACTACATTAATCCTCGACTAGTTGGAAGTGGATCGAAGGCTACATCCTCAGCCAGCTGTGAAGGTGCCTCTGCTTCCGGCGGCAGCGTAGACTCTCCCTTGTTAACCTTGAGACCCTGCCTCACTCCAAGCTCGCGGCCGATGAACTGTAACGATTCACCTGCGGCTTCGCTCTGCTCGTTTAGCGTCGACGGTACGAGGTAGACTGCCGTCAGAGGCCATATCAATTTCAACGCGTCAAACACTGTCCTTGGTGATGGGTTGTTGCGGAAAGATGCCGGGTCGAGATGCCGATTCACTGCCTCCATGACAAGTTTTGCGCCGTCTCGAACCCGGTATACGCAATGCGAGCGCAGCACCTTGAGCTCTTGCAGGGGAATGGGAGCAGTCGGATGATGAGTTAAAAAGTTTGCGAAGGTCAAAATGACATGGTAGCCTTTTACTCGCGCCGAGTTGAGCATGTTTCGTAGATAGGGGTTGAAAACCTCATCGATGTAATGGTAGCCTGCGTCAAAAGTCGTGAAATGATCTTCGGCTTTGAAAACGATACCAACTAAATCGTAGTACTGCAGGGCAGCGGTGTCAAAGTCTCGAGCTCGAATGATATCGAGAATACGCTTTTGAACATGTGCCATCTTGCAGATATAATCGCCGACTTCAACAGCCAATCCTTCTCCTGGATGAAGGGTTTGTCTGATGGCGGCAAACCATTCCTGGGATTCCGGAGGGCACTCGAGGCTTGTCAGGAGACACCGTACTTGCTAATAGCTTGTTAGTTGGGAGTGAGATATCAGATCGAAGTGACATACCACCATGTTGTAGGCAGGCCAGAAACCCATTCTCGATCCCGGCCTTCGCAAAGAAGCCGTTCCCCTTTGCTGAAGAATACTGTATAGCCCATTGGTATGGAGATGCCATGGGTTCAGGGGCGATATGCGGTTGATGGAGCCCATAAGAAGCTATTAAAACATAAGTATAAGAATGGCGGGAAGAAGTCATGTTGCTCACTTCATAGTTCGTTAGAATCCATACTGTCGCGAGAACATCATCTCTCATGGCGCCCTCTGGTGTTTTGAGTGCTTCACCCACAGAGCTCAAGGTTTTACCAAGGTATGTTCCAAGTTCCTTGTCGGTCTGCTCGACAGATCCATTGTCGATAGCGGTGGGATATCGCAGATTGGTGATGTATGTACGGGCAAAGAGATGAGTGGCCCAAAGAAGAGGCCCTTGAGGACCGCTCTTTTTGTATGTGTCATGGAGGAAATCCAAAGTATAGTAGACATTGAGAAGGATCGGGATGGAATGGGCGGTCCAATGCTCATTAAGGGATTGGGGCAGGATGAGCGCCCTTCCAGTTCTGGTGAATTCGACAAGGTCGACTATTGTGGGTGAGACAGGGCTGAATTCACGATCAACTTCTTCAGTGACTGATGGCGTGGCAGCATCTCCATTCGACGAAGAGGAGGAGGAAGATGAGCCAAAAGACATGACAGACTCCCCACGAGTCTGAGCCGGAGCATTTTGCTGAGTCCTCTTCTTCCTCTTCTTGATGGTGGTCGGGTTAGCATTGCGAAAGACAAGCTCCTGTTCATCCCGATATCCCGGACATTCAGTCCCGTATTTGATGCATCTTTGACATGATGGTCTGCCAAGATCACACTGTTGATGTCGTCAGCAATTGGAATGTAATGGGTTGATATGCTCGAGCGTCTCTCTTATGACATAACCGCGTAAGCACAGAATAAGTGGCTCAAAGGCTGCACCGACCTTGACACGTCGTGATCGACAAAGATGGCAATCTTTGCTTGGCTTTCCCGTGTTGGGCATTATTCAAGAAACGACAGGACGCACGGATAGCGTTATGGGTAGCTAGGTATGGCAGAGAGTCATGCAGGCCCCGTTACCGTTGATGGATTGTCAGAGTTGAAACGGGTAATCCTTTCGAAGCTGTCGTCGTCGGAAAGGGATTAGCGGGCCATACAGGGCTGAAGGGTGGATACACAACAGGGAATACGAACATCACGTGCGGGGAAGCTGTACAGCACTGTCTCTTACACTGTTGAAGTTATCAACACCTTTGGTCAAGAGAAACCTCGCTTGAGATAGCCTGGATTACTCGAACATAGTCAAATACTTGAAAGTTCTATGTCGTTTCAAACTTGGACCTGACGTCTCTCATAACTAAAGGTACATAGGCGCAGAAGCAGAGACATCTCATGGTCATAACCCCAGCGAAACTTCACCTCTCGAACGCAACATTCGAAACATTGGAAACATCATGCTGAGTGCTTTGAGTTCAGCGGTGGTCGATGAATCTTCACCCCCGGTCACAGCTTTTCAGGTTTGTTGAAGATGGAAAGCTCCGTGACTTGAATATGACAGCGAAGTGTTTCGCCCTGCTCACGGACAATGGCTCATGGACTCTATCTCTAAGTAACTAATTGATAACATGCGATAACTATACCAACTCTGCGTCCTGACCAACTAATACGACATATTTTCAACCTTGCGTCCGTTCCTAGATGCAGATTCACCAGGATCATCGAAGCGTCGACTACAGAAAAATGATGTTTGTCGCCTGGGAGACGGGATTTTAGGACGTACTAACCAAGATGAAGGCAATACTGTCCCAGAATTAGTGTCACAATGATGCCAGATTCTTGGTCGACGGGAAGGGAGAAGCCTTAGATAGTGTGTGAATGTTTCCGATGCTTGGCGAGGACCATGCTCCTCGATGAAACTGCTTTTGCTAGCGTTTCAAAGACACCATTGCCTAATATTGCCGTCATCTCATCAAATACTATAAATTCCAATGCCACGAGTTTGCCGATCGAGCCCTTGCCGGCTCTCCAAGTTGGGTGATACCCTCGGTTTGCATTCAGTGAGTTCCGAGATATATTGTCGAGCAGGTAATGCAACTACATTTTAGTGAAAGACTTGCTGAAGAGACTTGCGAAGCGTAAGATGGAACAAATTCCCCAGGGTCTTGACTGGCAAACAGCGGGAACATATTCATACACAGGCTGCTAAGATACAATCGGGGATGTCAAATATCAATAGATATTTAGTCAGATATATTCTATCAGACCCTAACACTTTCCACTGTAAAAGTATATTATTGATATACTATAACGGTTATAGATGTCTATTGCTTTTACAAATATGTACTCACATTTAATTCATAAACACCAACGATTGGGATGAAGTTGAGTTTGCGTGTGATGGCAAGGGCCCTATTGTTCACCAACAACACAGGTTCAAAACACAAAAGCGTCTGGTGAATGAACATTGATCCCTGCGAGGCACTGCGAATTGCATTTGTTCCTAGCGCCTATTGTCCGAATGATTGCCTCTACTGTTACTGCCACTGCCAACCGGCTGCCACTGAAGGCTTCTTGGGCCACTTGACGTGCACAGCAGCCTCGTCTATAACATTCTCTTCTTGTTAGTTTCTTCTCCTCTCACTTTTCTTTCTCCCACAACCACAGCAACCACACACTTTAGATCACTATATATCTCCCCCCATCGCATCTTCCTCCCTCTTATTTCCCTCTTATACATACCCAATACATCTCACACTTCCTTGTCAACTGCCAATACCTTTCACAGCACAAATCTACTTCCACTCTACCGAGATGAACGTCGAACTTCAAGCAAAGTTTCGCGGGTCGATTCTAACCCGCAGCTCTTTTATGGATTTCATTAATGCAGGCAAGCCTGTTTACAGCACTTTGACGAGCAATCCCTCAACCCCGGACATTGAGCCTCATTCCATTCAGCCCATGACACCTGAGGTTGAGACTCCCAAGGATAAGACTGAAGTTCGGGACACTTCATTCTTCCACACCCAAGCTTCCTCTATCGAGGCCAACATCCAATACGGCACTGTAGAGCCTACTACTCCCGAATATACTCTTGTTCTTGGCACCGGAGATGAGTCTGTCACAAACCAGTCTCCTAGAGAGCCCCTAACGACCGACAACACTATGGATGACCATACTACCACCCACCCTGCTCTTCACGATGTCACTATCCCTCAGATCTTCGTTACGGCACCCACCACCTGTGAGTCCAGTTTAGCTGAGGCCGGGGTTTGTGATTTCGAGTTTTCCGATGGTGGCGAGGAGTTCGAATTTTACGATGAATTCGATGAGGACTTCAATGGATTTCAAACCCAATACCTCACCTCGGAACCGTATATCACCAAGGACATGGCCGCTCAGGCTAGAACCACTGAAATTGAAAGTGTCGAATTGGAAGTCACGGGCATTGACACTAATCCTGAAACCCATGCCCATACTCTCGACGACGATTCTGTATCCACAGAAACTAGCGAGAGCGTTTCTAATGAGAGCGGAAAGCCTATGATTTGCTTTGACGAGAGCGGAGATCTCTACCTAAAGGTGGGACAAAACCCAGGACGGATTATGCTCGTCGATTCCCGAGCCCTCAGCCGCGTGTCTCCTAGACTCAAGGAGATCGTTTCCCGTAACCAGAAAGACACCAAAGATGGCGGCGATTGGACTATCGAGCTGCCGGATGACGACGCTGTCCCTTTCACAGTCCTTCTGAACATGATTCATACACGTTTCGAGAAAGTGCCCGCCAAGGTATCACTCAAGAAGCTGTATGGGGCCTGCATACTTACCAGCAAGTATGAGATGACGCAAGTCCTACGACCCGTGGCTGAACGCTGGTTCAAGGCCGTGGGTACCTCCACTGGAGACTATGGGCTCTTTTTCAAGAAGGCATATATCGCATGGGAATTGGGTTTCTCTGAGGAGCTCAGCGATATGGTCGGACATGTTGTGCTCAACTGCTCGTTGGATTTAGACGATCAGCTCATCATTGGAGAGAACAAGGAGCGACTTTGCGACTTTGAAGGATTCCAACGAATTCCTATTCTTGGTAAGTACAAACACGTTTCTTCTCTTGAACGTCGCTAACTCCCTCACAGGCTGTATCACAGAACACCGCGAACTCGCTCTAGAAACTTGCTGGTATAAGAGCCAGAAGCTGGGCGAACAAGTCCTCTATAGCTCTGTCAAGGGACGTATGTGCGGCGCTTCCCATAGCCGAGAGGAAATGTGTCTCATGCTGGGCAAGATGCTAAGCAAGGCTGGCGAAGAAGGAATACTCGACCTTTTCCATTTTGGGGGCAGTCTCGACGTATTCCGGTCCTCTGATCTAGATCTGAAGACCCTTGAGCACAAGATTAGTCTCGTGGCTGAATACATCGACTTGTGTGGATGGTGCCCTGCAGTACTCGAGACGGTCGAGGAGGTTAGGCAACAACTTCGAAGAGCCGCCGATCCCCTCTACTTGAGCCATCTTCGGGCTTTGCAAATCCAAGCTGCCAAGGTTAGAATGATTCCTGGGGTCTCGGATAAAGAGGATGACGACGAGGAATGAGTTTACAGGTGAACGGGCGGTATTTGATATTTCGATTGGTGATTGGTGAGTCACATTGTGTGTGTTATTTGACAAGCATCTTCTCCTCATATTGATGTAGGATGAACAAAAGGAGAGCTTAGGCACTACTGGATGTTTATTATTGTTATTCTTCTTTCGACGGGATTTCTCCATGTTGGTACTAGCAAACAGATCCAGCCGAGTATGAGCTGTAGAATATCAGAGAAGGGTGGCTATATACCAAGTTTGTGCCAGAACGAGCCAAAGTCTTTCTAAACAACCCATTCGGACCTATTTCATTTGCATATATGTAAAAACAAGACCAACGTAACTACATACCGCCTCTTCAAGGTAGTCAGTCCACCAATGCCCAACGGTGAATGTCAAAAGGCTCTACACTGCTGCTGACACTGCCAACTGCCGATTTTCATCATGCACTTTGCACCGGTGAAACTGAAAGCCTTACGTACCTTGCTTCACTGATCTCTGTTTTGTTTTGTTTTGTTCTTTCTTCCTTGACTCCCTCATCTTCACTCTCTTGAAGTCTTCTGTTAGCACGCTCCGAATACGCGAAGCTCGTCATGTCATCGCCTGGTGCCTCGTCACCCGATGCCATCGTTTTCGATGGTAACGGAGATCTCTGGCTGACTGTCGGTTCCGGTTCATCTTCTACAATCCTCCATGTTGACTCTCACGCCCTCTGCCGGGCCTCCAAGGTCTTCCGCGCCATGCTACGGGGCCGCTTCAGCGACTCGAAGCCCGCCAACGACCTGCATCGCTGGGGAGTAAAGCTTCCCGAGGACAATCCAGAAGCCTTTGTTGTTCTCATGGACATCGTCCATGTAAACTTCGACCATGCCCCTCTGGATCTAAAGCCTCAAGAGCTCTACAACATCTGCGTCTTGGCCAACAAATACGACATGACCAAGACGCTGCGGCCGATGGCGACAGCGTGGTATCAAAGGCTCAAGAGCATGTGCCAGCGCAGTAAGAAGATGCAGGCATACAGCAAGAATCTATTCGTGGCTTGGGAGCTCGGATGCCAGGGCGCAGTGGAGGAGATGCTTCAGGATATCGCCGAAAAATGCCACGTCGACGAGTTCGGCAGCTTGTTGATTGATAGACATACTCGGCTGGACGACTTGGAAACTTTCAGACTGATTCCTTTGATCGGTGAGTTAAGACGACTTTCGATTTAGCCACGATTATCTAAACCCGAGTCTGTCAGATCCCATTGCTCAACACCGCGTCAAGATGCTCGAAGTCTTCCATGCAGAAGGCAAGGAGATAGCAATCAAGATTCTCGCCAAACGCCCACTCTGTTGGCATACCGGCCCTTGCTCTGCTGTGAACCTTGCAGACGGCATCCCCGAAAAATTTATCCAAGCTACACAAGACCTTGAGATAGATTCCTTTTTCATGCCCTCGTTGAACGCCGACCAACTTGGATATCAAGGCAGCGTGTCAAGATTGCATCGCCTATTTAAAGAAGTCGAAAGGCTTACATTTGGAGAGCATCACCCTCACTACTGGTGCACAGGTTTTCTACGGAGCCCATTCTCAAATATCCTCTCGGCGTGCTATCAACGACTGGACTTGATATTGTCTAGCCGCCATATGGATATGCTCATGGACCAAGCCTGCAAAATTGAGATGACGGCGTTCATGGGCAGTGATGATAAGGCTTTTCTGGAAGATGAAGACAGTGAAGATGATGGGAACTGTGGTTTTCGAAGCCTCTCGGTTGATACTCGATACTAATCAACCCTCAGGGTTGACTCTTTGCGTGGCAAATCGTGCTCATTCCTTGAGATTTGTTCCGAAGCCAATCACAGGAGAAACTGCAAGAGTCACAAGGGAAACGTGAGTGAAAACATCATAGGGAGTTTAGTCATTCATGTATAGTCATAGCAGCACTACGTTCTCTTGAAATCGTATCTTTCGGAAATGCACGAAGAAATTTCTCGTCATCTCCATAAACCCTGAGTCCTGTGTCCTATCGCCATTGAGGCCTTTCATAAATTTCCTAATTAGGCCGCCCCGTTCACTCTCACTGGCCAGCTCCCATCACCCCGCTTTCGTTCGACATGGTCCTAGTCACTTGAGAAGAGTGAATTAGAACGAGGACAATGCCACACGAATATTGTGTCTTTTCGTTAGTAATTCTACTATTGACCAGTTACTAGGCCCTGGTTCTGTCTTTCTCCTTTATAAGCCCCTTGTAGCCTCTCTGTCTCCTCTCTCGTCTTTTCACTTCTTCAACACCAGCACCATGGCTCACTACTCTCAACGCAAAGACATTCTTCCCCTCACCGGCGGCTGCGCTTGCGGTCTTATCCGCTACCAGCTTACTCTCCACCCCCTTATAGTTCATTGTTGCTACTGTACTACATGCCAGCGTCAAACGGGCTCTATTTGCGCCCTCAATGCTGTCATAGAGTCCACCGCCCTGACTCTCCTCCCTTCAGCACCCCCCACCATCGTTGGTTCTTCTTCCAACCCGGACCCTGTCCCCGCTGCTGTTCAGCCCGCCTTTGCACGTCTTACATCCGCAGAGTCAACTACACGTGAACCTCGCCCCGAAGCCGAACCCTTGTCTGTGTGTCTTCCTACAGCATCTGGCGTGGGACAGACACTTGTTGGATGTCCTGTGTGCCATACTGGTCTGTGGAATTACTACGCGGATGCTGGGCCTCATCTGTCATATGTTCGCGTTGGGACCTTGGACAGGCCCTGGGATATTCAGCCGGACGCCCACATTTACACGCAGAATCGTCAGAGTTGGGTAACTGTCAACGATGGGAAGCCATCTTTTGAGGGTTATTATACCAGGCGTGAGGACTACCTGAGAGATGATGCCCTCGAGAGGTATGAGGCGCTCAAGCCGCAGGTTACTGAGATGAAGGCAGAGCTAATGGTCGGCTGGGAGTGAGTTACGAATGAAAGTATAGCAACGATGAGAGAATAGCACAATGCAGATCGCGAATTGTTACAAGTATTGTTTATAGCTGCGCTCGAAGACACGCAATGTCATTAAAGCCATTATCATTATAATGCTCCAAAGCAGAAGACACAGCTTCTGTATTCAACCTCAGCCCCAACCAATTTGATATATACACAAGAGATCACGCTCAGTGGCCCATCGCTCAGAACCTGTGCTGTAGCCACGCTGGCTATGAACTTTGAATTGCATGCAGTCCTACTCCATCCGTGATCACCTATCCCCTTGACCAACAAAGACCTGTCCCAACTTGTGCCCTATGGCAGACTAATATATGATATATGTAACAAAAAGAAGCAAAACAGACCAGTTGTTGCTCGAGAACGCCTTAAAATTGGATGCCAAATACAAGTATAGTTGAAAATCTCCAACAAATGAGAAGATCACTCAGAGCGATCTGAATTCATACCAGGTCCCTCATATCCCACATCTAAGCCCCTGGGACCGGTTGTATGCAAAGAAGCCGTGAAATCACCTCAGTGATGTATGTTTGTGCGAAAGCAAATATGACCATGCTCATAGATAGTGAACGCATGCAATAAGGCAAGGGAATCATGAGTAAGAAAGAACGTATTGCACAATGTGTAGAGTGCTTGGAAAATGAGCTTGTCTCAGGTGTCACAGCTTCTAGCCGCCAACTTTACGGAAGCCCTCCACTCCAAGGATAGGTATCTCAACGTCGCCAAGGTTTTCCATTCCCTCATCACGACGACGCTCAACGAAGTTGTTGCACTCAAAAACTACCTGCGCCCACTCGGCGAGCGAGCGTCCAGTATAGACAGAATTCTTGACGTACAGGCCAATTGGCTTGACAGGATCCACCACAGCATCGGTGAAAGAGCCCATGTTTGGGTTGGGCGAGGGTGACGGTGACGGTGACGGCGATGGTGAAGGCGAGGGGCTGGCTTTGATGCTGGGTGTTTGAGGGGATTCGTCACTCAGGCTCGGAAGCGTGACCTCAAGCTTCCAACTTGGAGACCCATTTTGCTCATCAGTTGGGCTCAGCGAATTTGCGTTCCTAGCATTGTCGATGAGCCCTTGCTGGGGGCTGCCAGAGAACTTGCGTGTTGGCGCTGCATATCCAGCTGGCACAGTAAAGCCGTTGACTCGTAAAGGTCCACTAATGCGAGTCTGTGCAGGGCCGGGAAGTCGAGGGCGAGTCAGGAAACGATCTCGAAGAGGTGCTGCCTGTTGTTGCCAAGCAAGAATAAACTTGAACACATATTTTGGCTCCTCGTAGGTTGGCTGAGAATACAAGGAGTCATCTTCAGATGGACGGCCCTTGTTATGATTAACATTGGAGTTTCTATTCGTCTGGGCGACACCAGAAGAACGAGACTCTGCTGTCTCACGACGGACAGTCTGGAAATCATCGTCCCAACCAGCGCCTGCACCCGCATTACCGCCAAGAGAAAGGACTTTTCCTAATAGTGACCATCGTTTCCTTCCGTCATTCCTAGACGGGTCAGGAGGCAGGCCATTCAGAACGCTTGTCTCGCTATTAGGAAGTTTCGCGAAGGAATCAAAGCTACCCATATATAGCCCAGGCTGGGGAACATTAATCTCTTGGCGAATGATCATAAAACGTTTGCCGGGTGCGGGATTCACTGGGGCAGTTGAAGGGGGGATTCGCTGTTCTTGTTCGGCAGTGTGCTTTATATGCAGATAGTGAGACCACGTCGTCTGAAGTCGCTCAGCTACAAGAGCAAAGATTTGACTATTCCGAGTTAGCAAGCATCACAAAAGCGAAGCGAGGGCGCCTTACCCATCAACTTCATCCAGCGTTCCCGTATCTCGGCACATCCGCCAGCACAGCAAACGCTGGTAGTAAGCCCGAACCATTGGGCACCAGTGGTTGAAAAACTCATTGAAAGTCTCCTCGGTGAGCAGCCAGTCCTTGCATACGGCCAATTTGCGCACGGGGTCCTTCGAAATGGCATCCCAGATGGAGTAGACCAATGCCAACATTCGAATCTCAGACATGGTGTTGAAAGAGCTCATGACTTTCTGGCAAACGTCAAACCAAAATGCCCAGTCAAGATAGCTATTCGAGCAGTCAGGATCCTCAAACTCGCTATAGAGCACGAGAACTTCCTCCAAGAAGTCGCACAGGGTGAAACAAGCAGGATGGTTGTATTTCGACACCTTGCGGGTCGCAGCCTTCATCATGGTTGCAAAGGTCTCTGCAAATGTGTGACGAGCGCCGGCGATCTCGGTTGATTCAACTGAAAGGAAGTCTTTCAACAGCATGATGCATCGGTTTTCGGACATGCCTCTCATAACGTTGCTGACAGGGAGTGGCAGAGCCATTGCGGCATCAGCACCTGACATAGAGTCCATCGCAGGAGGGCTAAAGCTACCGTCCATTGGAGACTGACGGTGAACTGTTGTATCCAGAACGTAAAGAAGCTGAGCTTGAACAAGAGCAAATGCAGGAGACCTAGCCTTTTCGAGCAGGGGCAGTCCAGAGGGCATGAATTGCTCAGAGAGGATATGGAAATATTTGCAGAAGATGAAGAATACATCTGTGTCTCGGCCTTTCCAGCGAGCCGCCCAGGGACCTGTCCAAGGGATTCTAGACACCAGCATAGGCAATCTGGGAACCTTCTTAAGGCCATCCCACATACCCTTTGGCGATGTCCAGGCGAATACTCCAATAGTTGGAGGGAATAAAGCAGCAATGTCGTCGCTCTCCCCTTTGTTCTTTCTTGGAAGGCCAAGCTCATCAGCTACTCGTCGAATGAGTTCAGGGGAAAGTCCCCAGAGTCTGATCAGGATATCTGCAACGCCAGGTGCGAAGAAAAATGCATAGGCACAAGCCTTTCCAGCAAAGTTAACCAGGCTGACTGGGACGTGACGGAGCGAAAGCTTTTCAACTACAAAACCCATTTGCTTGACCAAGTTGGAAACAAACATAGTCCTAACATTGTGTTCGGCTGACTCTTCTAAGAAAGCCGCTTGGCTCGATGTGACAGACGAGGCGGAAGAGGTGGTCAGAGATCGCGCTCGAACGCGCTCAGCCGGAGATCGGTTGATAAGTGGTAGGAAGTATGATGTAGCTTGTCGCCATTCGTGTCGCGTCATGAGAAGTGTCGCGGCATCGAAAAGAACCGGACGATCAACACCAGGGACAGGCTGGGGCGCCTGACCATCCAGCATTTCCAGGATTGCAATCCACCACTTGTTCAAAATTGTCGCCCTTCGATCGACATCTTCGGGGTAGAGCTTCTTGGTGGACTCATGATTCATCGTGTTTCGCAGGAATGGGAGAAGCTGTGTTTGAACCTGCGACATTCGCTGGGCTGTGCTCTTGGCAAGGAATCCCTTGAAGTCCATGTCAATGGCCTTGAAAGACGACCACAGGACGTCTCTTTGTTGAGGTGGCATCTCGACGGACGCCGATTCATCGGTCACGGTTGTAGCGGAGGTGGTGTCGCAGGTGGAAGATTGCGGCGTACGTTCTTCTGCAGCGATAATCGAAGCTGGTGCTGCAAGACTTGTGGCCGAAGAAGCGCAGCTGTTGTCCGAGTCGGTGCTGGTATTGAGCTTTGACAGGCCAGCTTGTTTCGATTTGAGCTTTGAAAAGTAGCCGCTCGCTCGTGAAAAAGCTTTAGGACCAGCAGACTTGAGTGAATCAGTCGACTTGTTCTTGTCTGCCTGCTCGACGGTCAGACCAGGGCGTTTACGAGTCTTTGTAAGCTTGACTGATGTTGTGCTCTCGGATCGATTACGCCCAGATGACTCCTCGTTGTCCTTGGCCGAGTCTGCATTCTTCATGGGTGACGGGGAGCGAGATGGCCTCCATGACCGTTTGGCAAAGTTTGCGAAAGATCCTGATTTTGTCATCGTTCTCTGTAGGGGTTTCAAGTCTCCAATCGATCCATCGCCAAATTTCTTGTCGCCAGCAGAAGTTGTCGGTCGAGGAGGTTCTTCGTGAAGATCTGTTGTGCTCTTGGAGCTTGATAGCCAACCGCGGGTGTCTATGAGCGAGCTTGTTCTTTTTCGGGCATGTCTGGTGCGTGAGGGCTCCTCTGGAACCTCTTTTGTTTCAACGATTGAAGGGGTTGACACCGGTGCCGTCTTGCCAGCTTGTTCCCCTCCGAGGAAAACAGTTGTATCGAGGTTGAACTCGACATTAAACGTGGGAAGATCGAAACTTGGTATTGATTGGAGGTCGGACACGCTCTGGCGGTGCGGTGATTGAGTTGAGGAGGATTTATCGAGGGATGATAGCGAGAGAAGTTCTAGATCGGGGCTAGAGTGAGACCGCGGGAAGGAAGACGTCGTTTCCACAGCCGAAGCCATGATCATAGTTGAGCCTCCCATCTCATGACAAAACGATAGACAAATCAGGCAGCTCTCAACGAGAGAAGCGTCCCGCAGGCTGGTGCTCCTCTTGTTGGAAACCCGACCGTATTAAAAAAAATCAACAAAGCAGATAATTCTGATCTCAAATCACCATTATTCGATGCTACTCTGTCCGGCAGAGGAATGAGGGTTATAGGAGCAAAGGTATGGGGTTGCAATGCGGAGGAGAATGTTCGAGGTGGTTTGAAAGAAAGAAAGACGAGGCTTTCTCAGGGTTTCCATAGGCAAACTGCGAACTGCGAAGTGAACTGACTGGCTCGTACTGTACCATAGAGTACCTGGGCGTCTTGCTAGCGTGCTGCAGCCTGCAACCTCCACACCACAGGATTGATGGATCGCCACGGACTAGCCGGGGGGAGCGGCAAGACGGAGGAGGTAGGTGGTGATTGACAGGGTGCCCCCCTAAAGAAGCGACTTAGAGAGTCCGAAGTCTCCGTGCGGTTGGCCTTGTACCAGGCTGTACCGTGGAAAATGAGGCTATGCCCAGAGGGGCGACGCGCTGTTGTCAGAACGGGGCCGCGCACGGAATAAGAGATGAAATATTTTGTTGGTTTTTTTCCTTCCTGTCTGTCTCTTTTTCTCTCTCTTCTATTCTGACGGTGCGTATGATTGGGGAACCAGGCTAGAGATTTGAGATGTATAGCTTTCGAAATTGATCTCATAGAGGTCGTGGAATGAGCGGAGGTGCTCCACTGACACAAAACATTTGCTGCAGCTTCAGCTCAGCAAATGAATTATTTGAAGAATTAACGAGTACCTATCCAATTTCGATCAACGTCGGCGAAATGAACAAAACGTCATTGATAAGACAACGGGGTCAGAGCACTTTCTTTCTTTTGTTTCTTGTGTCATTGAATTCCAATCTTTCGGGAAACAACCTAGAACATTGAATCACATCACACAAAACAGACCCGGTGAAACGTCCGACGACAGTGCGCCCGCTATCATGGGTTGTCTAAGGCGCAAGTTTAATAAGCGTATCCAGGACTATTGAAAGAAGACTCGCGATAAAATCAAGGCACACAGCCTGCAGGAGAGCTAGTGCGCTGTCCTCATGTCGAGGAGATGCGATTCGTTAGTCTGCCACACTTTACCTCTATACCAAAGCCAGGGGTGCAAAGCCTGGCGGTATACAGAGCTGAAGAGGCACAGATGGGCAGACGGAACCGAATGCAACCCTCAAATGTCTTGTAGGCATTGACAACTAAGCAATGAGATGCAGTGAGATGCACTATGTAACTCATGTTGACATGCCTCGATCATCATGATCCAAGTTTATTCCGATCTGTGCCATGTTTGCGGTCTCACTGCTATCCATGACCTAGCTATAACATGGCTAATTTATCCCCACGAGGAACCTCCCGATGGCGGTGGAGGAGGCGTAGAACATTGGCTTTATATGGCTTGTGCCTCATTACAAATTGATGACACGCCTCGAAATGATCGTCTGTATCCCGCTTTCACTGGCGAGTGGCTTGCTTCTATGAGAAGCATTGCAAGATCCTGCGTGATCATCCACGAGTCTCTAAAACGGGTGTTTCGAGAACATGTTGTTTCCAAGTTTTTCAGTGACATGCTATCAAGCTTTCCTCACTATAGGGGGACGATTCAAAGTAATATAACCCCCTAACTCATATTGTTACCGCCAGTTAAGCGCGAAATTGGAAATACTGGGCTTGCCAGATGAAATCATCAATTTGTCAGTCAACCGCTGTTGGGCTGAGGTTTTAGTTAGTGGATATGAATGAGCCAGGGCCATGACAACTGACAGTGGAGCTACACCGTTGAGGCTGACTCTTGTGGTCTTACAAGGAGGCAGTGGCTGAGATGGACACAGCAACGGGCTTCATGTCTGGGGTTGAGATCTACAGCTTTCTACTGAAGGATACGTACTGATATCTAAGGTAAGGTATGTAGACAATCTTACATCGATACCATTGTCCGTAATTCCTGTCCAAGACATCAGATCGTTGAACTTGACATGTGCAAAGTTAAACAAAGCTAAAAAAAAAAAGGTCCTCAGAAGTGGAATTTCTGGACATGACCGAGATTGTGGACCGACCGCAACACCACACGGGCAGCTCCAACTGATAAGGGAAGAAACTGTCCATAAGCTTATACAAGGGCGGATCAGAACAGGCTTCTAAATCGTATACGGATAGTCAATGGAGAAATCACTTCATTATTAGCTGGACCTGAATTGAAAACTACAGCCGCCATTAAAGCGGTAACGAATCCAATCGATGCGCCCATCGTCATCCGTACCCGCCGGCCATAAAATAGACCTCTTAGACGATTCTTATATGACCAGTCTAGAAAGCCATTTCCCCAGTCGTTCAGCATTCCCGACTTGTTTAGTCTCCATGTTCAGTAATTTTATCATTGGTTGGCTCATCATCAAGTACATATTCACAAGCTGATAAGATACGGATTTCGGAAGGCTCATACTCCGAGCAAGGGGTCCATTTGTCTGTCCATGGACATTGTACATAGGAGAGCTCATTTCTCACTGGCCCCCACCCAAAGTACCTCAATGTATTCATTGTCAATAAGGTATAACGTGTTGATGACGTTCCTTAATGTTATCCAGGTGTCTTACCTGATCAAGCTTAGAGTCTATATGCTAAATGCTCAATGACCGCGCCAAATACTGATCCGGCACATGGTAATTTCACAGCTGAGAACAAGCGCTGTTGGGGGGTTATTACACCAAAATGTTTCTCTTCGAGTCTTGTCTTACTGTCAGGGGGGCTTGTCTCCCGCTCGGCCATTATCGCTAGCCCAGCATTGAACATGTCAACACAGAGGGTTGAAGGTCAACTTTTCACATTCGATATGCGGTGATAATGATGATTCTACGCTTTGTATATCGGCACGTGCTGAGCCCATTGGTCTACTCTTCCGCTGGGAACATCTGGGTATATCAATGTGGCGGTGACGAGACTTCTCCATGTTATTATCCCCAGTTTATTCCTGTGCTTACTGCGACTCGGCTGCGGCTGTGGCTGCGAGGCACCTGTGTCTGACCACTACTGCAGATTACAGTGTGAAATGGTCGGAATCACAACATTGCAGCAATAACCCTCAATTCGATTTCCCTTACATGCATCATGCTGTTCAACTCCGGAATACGGCTGGCCCTCTTGGTAGCCCCATTCTCTCAGCTGGGCCTGGCTATATCCTTGATGGGCAATTGATCCGAGGAGATGAACAACTACTATCTGCAAGCCAGACGCACAAAAGAAAAACACATGCGCTTGTGGGAATCCCTGGTCGGCTGAATCCGAGGGAAACAGAGTTCCAGCTCAATGGGCCTGTGGGCACCATCCACGCCGTGCGTTGGTCCGTCACAACAAGGACAACCCCTAACGCGGCGTCGTCTTTTCTTCCACCGCATCTTCCTTCTGACACCAAGACCGCAAGCGTGTGGTGATGCGGACTTTTCATCAATTTGATGGCCGCCCAACAAGGCTTGTCTGACTTGGCTCGAGAGTATTACCCAATACGCAACCTACGACAATTGACCCCGCTGCCGTTCTATCCTTGGAATAACAGAAGCGACTTGGCAAATTAAAGGTTCGTAGTCTCAGACTTGGCAGTTTTGCTCTCGCGTTGCATGCTCATTCACAGCCATCTCGGCGGGTCACGATACAGGGCATCAGGTGGCCAAACGATACGACTGACCTTACAAACACCTTTCAAATCTGTACAGTTCTCTCGGAAAGCTTCACTTGTTGACAGTCACATGCGCAATATAGTGGCATGTACCCCTATCTTCATGCACCAGTGTCCGTGGGATTACAAGAGCAGAGGTGTTTGGTAATAGTAGGGGAATAGCAATCTTGGCACGATAAAGTTTCCTTCAGCAAGGCGAGCATTGAAGAACTCATTTGCTGTACACACTAATGCCGTTCGCAGTTCGACTGCGCTTCACTGTTTCACCGGTACTAACCTTGGTTGAGTCCTAGATACTCGTATTAAAGATCTCGTGCTATCACGACGTCGAGTTGAACCACTTGAGTCACGGGTTGCATTCCTCGTGTTCGAACTCTCCAACGAGCATGATGCTGTGATCTAGAGATGATCTAGAATGGATCGTAATGATAATGTGGTGCAGCTTGTTGGTGGCCAGTCATTTGACACTCTTGGGGAATAATTCACCGAAAGTTGTTGAAGGGTTGAAATTTTTCACGAGAATTCGAGGTTGATAAGATGGCTGGTTGATTACGTAATTTATAATGTGGGGCTTTGGCTAACTACGATTGGTTGGTACAGGAGTGTGCCATCTCAGCAGGAACGAGTAGGTAATCTGCAGTTCACATATTGAGTTTCTTGATAATCAAGGTACCAATAAACGCTGGTACGTAGGTTGGCTTGACACATTTATACCTGAAGCGTTCTTGTGTATTAGGTACTTACTTAGGCAGTTTTTATGCCGGCGCGTTGTGCTTGCCAAAAAGATAGAGAAAACCAAGCATTTGCATGAACGAGTCTAGTTCCAAATTCCGTTGGCGTTAGACGAGGCATCCATCAAGACGGCAAAGGTGAAAATTGTACGTTTTAGATAACCATACCGTGGAGTTTCGAAAAATAAATAACAGAACACCTATGCAACTAGGTAATGATGTGAATACAATTGCCTTTATCTATCTTGCTGAGATATCAATAAGGTTTACACACATATGCAACGTCGAAACCGTTAGCAGGCGGACATTTACAGGGTAGCCGAAGCACATGCAATAATGACCATGACGTCACACGCTATCATGCTTAATTAGTAGCTTAAACAGATACACAAGTTTATAGGGATGAAATGGATAATGCATGATAATGGAAGGAATAACGAAGCCCGTCCAGAAAGAGGTTATCAATACATACTTACTAAGTCAGTGGATTATGCATATAATAAAAACCAATACATGATCCAATGAACTACTGCGAAGATCTCTCTGTGGGCTTAAGATTGGATGGCGTTGGGTGTGGGTTGTTTGGGTTTCATGTCCCCCTCCGAGCGGGCAGCTTGTTGAAGCTCATCCATTGCCAAGCGATTCGTATTGGATCGTTCGTAAAACACGGGAATTTGAAGCACATGATAATGATCGATTCTTACCCATTGGGTCATCGGAATTCGCGATGCAGAATACTTGCACAGGGGATCATTACCCCGTCAACCATTGCTTATTGGGAAGGGTTCACACCCTGGCCAGCTAATCTAGGGGACAACCACCAAATCTCAAATGGGGCTTGGTTTTCAGATGGTGTCTTGGTTCTCCCATGGATGATCCAAGGGATCACGCCCACTATAGCCGATAGACCAATAAGAGACATGATTATCATCTTGGCGCCATCCCATCCTATCCAATTCCCTGATCTCAGTTTCGGTATAATTTAGCTTGTGCCTCGAATGGAGCTTTGTTGCTTGGGAAAGCAAGAAAATGGACCGACGTTTATGTCGCGACCAGCTGATGAAGGACCCAAAGCAGCGTTGGCTTAACATCATGAGGTACATCTTCTCTTCTGCTTGGTGGAGAGGTACTGCCACTTTCATAAGGTACCTAGTGTAAAGTCAGGTAGGTACGGTAGGCAGGCAATCGCAACTACCCGTGACCCCTGCACCGATGTGCTCTGGCTGCACCTGCGTCATCATCCAGCTGTGCTGTACCATTGCCGCTGTCTTACATTTCTTTTTATTAGATTGGCCTTTTCTGCCGTCAGTCTAATTTTCGAGTTCTTGTCCCAAACATCGTCAGGTTCTCTTCTGTAGTTTTCATATCAAAGTCTTCTTGGACTCAGCAGATGATAAACAAGTCTTTCGCCTTCAATTCTACCGTTGTCTATTATCGCGTTCAGCGATAAACCGCGTCGTCAAATTTGTCGATCGCATACTGCGACAACTAATCTTGTGCCACAACAAAACCTGGAGGCCTCCATATCTACCTACATACCTAGGCAAGAACCTGAGGGCCAGCGCTCAACTCCAAATTGCGATCATACAACAAAAATGTCGGAGCCAGGAGACAGACCTACGACTACCGAGTCGCAACGAAATCCTTATGCGTCGGCCAGCCGCTGGCGACACCAGGAATCATCTGCTTATGCTGCACATGCTTCACAGCTCACTGGCGATGGCGCACCACGAGACCCTCACCAAACGACCGGTAACGTGGGCGAGCTTGCAGACTTCCTAAACCAGTCCCGCATGGAACCAGAAGACGACAATCGTGATACGGAAAAGTACAGACCCATTACCGCCGCCGCTGGTGATATCAATGGAAGCGTTGCAGGTGACAATGTAGGCCAGAGCCATGCTGGTCAAGGCGCCCGTGGAGAAAACGCCCCTGATGGGAAGACGATCGTCTGTGGTCCTCTTCTGAACTACCGTCGTATGAACGAGGGACGATGGTATGGGAGCGTTCTCATTGTCGTGGAAGGTGGCGGCAAAATTCCCTTGGACCAGCCCTACTTGACCCTGAAGCAAGCTGTTCAGCCCCAAGAGGGTGGCTCCGCAAGTCAGGAACCGACAAATGGGGCTCAAGAGGAGGTACGTGTTGACGGGAAATGTCTTTACTCGGATCCGCGCAACACCTTCTGGGCTTTCGATATTAGTGTCCCAATTCAAGCTACAGAGGCCAGCTACGAATATGTTTTGCCCGAACTACGCTTCTCGACCGAGCACAAGCCCCGAGTAAACAGGTTTTTCGTACCGGCGAAGACCGAGTCCATGCGTATCATGTTCCACTCGTGCAACGGTTTCAGTGTTGGAACCGACGAGGAGGCTTGGAGCGGACCGGCGCTGTGGAACGACGTGGCACGAAAGCACCGCGAGATTCCTTTTCATGTCATGGTTGGCGGTGGTGACCAGATCTACAACGATGGCATTAGAGTTGATGGTCCTCTCCGCCCGTGGACTGATATAAGCAATCCCAAGAAACGTAGAGACTACCCGTTCCCAGAGACAATGCGAGCAGAATGCGACGACTACTACCTCAAAAACTATATTCGCTGGTACAACACTGATCCCTTTGCTGAGGTCAACGGGCAGATTCCCCAGATCAATATCTGGGATGACCACGACGTGAGTTTCGGAAACGGCTCTGGCTCTATGATTACCCTACTAATTGGCTATAGATTATTGACGGATTCGGCTCATATGTCGATAACTTCATGCAGTGTGATGTATTCCGCGGTATTGGTGGCACTGCTCATAAATATTACATGCTCTTCCAGCATCATATGCCACCTCCTCTATCGACTTATACTTCTGGTAGGATCGCTCTCTTCATGCTGGAGTCACTCAATATTGACCTTTTATAGACCATGCCGCCATCGAGAAAGCGAGCAAAGGACCCGATCCTAATCAACTGATGGACACCTATGTGGCACCTATGTTTGAGTCCCCTGAGTATATCGTCGGCGACCACCCCGGCCCATACGTTGCTGAGCGCTCACTCAACATCTATACACGCCTCGGCGCCCGTATTGCTCTGCTGGGCATTGACGCTCGAGTAGAGGTTCGTTCAATGTGGATCTATTTCTGTGAGCCTCGGTGCTAATGAACTGTACAGCGCACTCGCCATCAAATCAATTATCCTGAGACATACAAAAAGGTCTTCCAAAGGCTTCGTTCGGAGCTTGAAGCAGCATCAGCGGCAGGAGAGTCAATTAAACACTTGATTCTCCTTCTCGGAATTCCGATCGCCTATCCCGTGAGTAAATAGATCCAGTAGGTCGGAATGCAAACAAGCTAAATAATGTGATGTAGCGCTTGACTTGGCTCGAAAACATCTTCCGCAGTCCTGTTATGGGTCCCATCAAGATCCTCAACAAACGGTTCGGACTCGGTGGAAGTCTGTTCAACCAGTTCGACGGTAGCATCGATCTTCTGGATGATCTGGATGACCACTACACGGCCAGGACACACAAGAAGGAAAGACGAGAACTGATGGTTGAACTTCAAAAAATATCTGCCGAGTTCAACATACGTGTGACAATCCTTGGAGGTGATGTTCACCTAGCTGCACTGGGTCGTTTCTACTCCAACCCAAGCCTGAAGATTCCGGTTGAGGAGGACCATCGTTACATGGTCAACGTTATCTCGTCAGCCATTGTCAACAAGCCACCACCCACGGCTGTAGCAAATCTCCTGGCCAGGAGGAACAAGATCCACCATTTGAATGCTAAGACGGATGAGACCCTGTTGGATCTGTTCAACAAAGACCCGGGCGACTCAAACAAGACGGCTAACCACAACCACTGCACAATGCCAAGCCGGAACTTTGCAACCATTACCGAAAACTCGCCCAACAATCCTGAGGCCCCCAATGGCAGCATCGACGAGAACGGAACAGAGGCATCAGAGCAGAACTTCCTGGGTAATGATGGCCATAAGGTACTTCACAGGGGAGAGGTTCAGGCTGGAACAACACACAAGGCAGCATCAAGACAATCCCATGGCAGGTCCAACGACGGAACACTTGACGTATGCATTAACGTGGAGATCAACCAGCATGACAAGGAGGGACGAACTGAGATGTACGGCTTGACGGTACCATTGCTCAACTACCGACAGCGAGACGAGCCCATGACGCCTAGAGAGTCGGTCACATCAGGCAGCCAGCATTAGGAGGACTTGAAGGCTGATCAATGGGGGGAGAGTCGTCAAACAAAACGAAAGACCGTTAGAGTTCGGGCCGGTGTTACGGGCTTGCGAAGAGCAATTACGGGGTGGGTCCAACGATTATGGGGCCGGGCCGGAGGAGCCGGCTTGCGAAGGCGAAATGGAAGAGGACTAAAGTGAGGGAGTACCTGGGGAGGGGGTGAGAGATGGCCCAACCCATGACTGTCCGTCGACCAGTAAGAGAGGAGCTATTCCCATGGGGTAGCTTTCATTTGTTTATACCCGTTCAAGGCAATTGCCTGGCATAAAAATGCACATGAAGTTAAGTTATTGGGCGAACAGTAGGCTGTACGGATCTGGGGAAGTGAGATGTCTTAGTAGAGCATCATTGAAGTATCGAGTTAGCGGGGTTGACTAGAGTCATGTTTTCCTCTTTACCTAATCCAATGTATTTCAGCATTATATCATGTCTATCCGTCTTGGACCGTGTTTTTCTGCCACCAAAAGCACGTCTTGTGAAGCAGATAAGGAAAATTTCTTCCCCAGGCTTCCCAAGTCAAAAGAAGCAAAGTCGTTGATTGTCAGAACCACTATCTGTGCCAATTCGAGATAGCACATGACCATCAAAGTCCCCCACGTTCGGAAAAGTGCGGCCATAGTTTATCAGGTACGCCAGTGGACTAGTCTAGAGCTCTCATCCTGGCTGGAACTGGGGAGAGGGGGCGTAAATGTTGGCATGATGAAGGGATATACAAATGGAAAAGTATAGGAGTATGTATAGTCCGGATGCTCTCTACAACACAGATCCCATCATTGCCTTTGAAATGCTACCTCATCTGCTTTAATATCTTGGAAATCAGTAAAAATTTCGATATGTGCTTCTGGAATACAGTAAAGAAAAGAGACTACCGCTTTTAGTGGTACGGTGCGGCTCTTCGCGGGCAAACAAAGATAACATGCCAGGCCCCATCTGCCGAGATCGGCCCCAGCATCAGAGAGCCATTGACCTATCAGCGTCTATTCCCGGGCTTACCGTAGCTGGGGAAGACAGGCGACGTCATGTGCCATGTCCCCACGCATTCACTTTTTAGGCCGTGATAAGCCGCGACCATAGCAAAGATTAGCTGTTGTAGGCGTGTGTAGCTTGGTGAGGAGACCAGCTTAGCTCGCGTGGCAACGGCAGTGCAGTATTTTTGTCTGAGACGAGGAGGAATTGCTACGCGAGATCTGGGTCTTGAGTCGTGATAACTGTTCCAAGATCGGAATTTCTGTTAGTCAGGATCGTTGTCGTTGGTTGTCGTGCCAGGAATTTATCTTCTATTTCTTCTCCCCCATCTTCTGCGTCTTCCCCTCGCCTTCTTTTCTTTCTCTTCATCTTCCATCTTCGATCGTCGTCGAACAAGAGTCTTTTGTTACTGTGTTTTGCCTTTGTGATACCCCTCCCTCCATTTCGACGACTCCCGATAACGAAGAACATTCACATCACATCACATCACATCACATTATAATGTCTTCTATGATGTTCCTCAACAGGGCTGGTGCCCGAGGTATCCGCAGCGCTGCTCAAGCTCAGCAAATGCGAACTGCTGCGACTTTGGCTACCTTCAAGACCCCCAAGGTCTTTAACGAGCCCAACCACCACTACGTCAAGGGTAGTGAGCAGCGCGAGGGTCTGACTGCTGCTATCGAGAAGCTCCAGAAGAAGCTGCCCATCGAGGTTCCCGTTGTGGTTGGTGGCAAGCAGGTAAGTTTCAATAAGTCAAGGCCATTGCAAGAACCATGTCTTACATGAATTCTCATAGATCAAGGCTTCCACCCTCTCCAAGCAGCAGAACCCTGCCGACCATGCCACCACTGTCGCCTCTTACCACACTGCTACCACCGCTGATGTTTCGGCCGCAATCGACGCTGCTCTTGCTGCCAAGCCTGCCTGGGAGGCCCTCCCCTTCGCTGACCGAGCTGCCGTCTTCCTCAAGGCCGCCGACCTCATCTCCACCAAGTACCGCTACGATATCATGGCCGCCACTATGCTCGGCCAGGGCAAGAACGCTTGGCAGGCCGAGATCGACGCCGCTGCTGAGCTGGCTGATTTCCTCCGCTTCAACGTTCATTACGCTGAGCAGCTCTACAACACCCAGCCTGAGCACAACTCTCCCGGCGTCTGGAACCGTCTCGAATACCGTGCTCTCGAAGGTTTCGTGTACGCTGTCAGTCCCTTCAACTTCACTGCCATTGCCGGTAATCTCCCTGGTGCCCCTGCTCTTCTCGGGAACGTCGTTGTCTGGAAGCCCAGTGACTTTGCCATTGCATCCAACTGGCTCGTCTATCAGATCCTGATTGAGGCTGGTCTCCCCAAGGATGTTATCCAGTTCGTTCCTGGTAACCCAGTTGATATCACCAAGGTCGTTCTAGAGCACAAGGAGTTTGCTGCTCTCCACTACACTGGAAGCACCGCTGTCTTCCGTCAGCTGTATGGCACCATCGGTCAGGGTATCGCTGAGGGCCGATACCGAGGCTATCCTCGTGTCGTTGGTGAGACTGGCGGCAAGAATTTCCACCTGATTGACCCTACAGCCGAGATTGACAACGCTGTCAAGCAGACTGTCCGTGGTGCCTTTGAGTTCCAGGGCCAGAAGTGCAGTGCCACTTCTCGACTTTACGTCCCTAAGTCCATGTGGCCCGAGTTCAAGGAGAAGCTTGTCGCTGAGGTTGAGGCCATCAAGATTGGCAACCCCACTGAACACTCTAACTTCATGGGTCCCGTCATTCACGAGGCTTCATTTAAGAAGCTCTCCGGTGCCATTGACGAGGCCAAGTCCGACAAGGACCTCGAGCTCGTTGTCGGTGGAAAGTACGACTCTTCCAAGGGCTACTTCATCCACCCTACTATCTACGCCACTACCAACCCCAACCACAAGTTCTTCTCTACTGAGTTCTTCGGTCCTATCCTCACCACCTACATCTATGACGATGCTGCCCCCAACGCCATGGCTGATGTCTGCAAGCTCATTGAGACCACCTCCGACTATGGCCTAACTGGTGCCGTGTTCGCTGCTGACCGTGAGGCTTCCCGCTTCGCCGAGGAGCACCTCCGTAACGCTGCCGGTAACTTCTATGTCAACTGCAAGAGCACTGGCGCTGTTGTCGGCCAGCAGCCCTTTGGTGGTTCTCGTGCTTCCGGTACCAACGATAAGGCCGGCAGCCAGAACCTCCTGACCCGCTTCGTCAATGTTCGGGCGATCAAGGAGGAGTTCACTCCTACCACCAAGGTCACCTACCCCAGCAACGAGGTCTAAGTGCTGACTACCAGTATACCGTCTGCATACAAAAGCTGGAGTGGAGTTCGGGCAATGATGATACCACATGGATGACTTACGAAGGTGAACTTCTATAGGGCTGCCCATGACAGAAGGAAAAGAGCACACATCTAACAGCACAACTAGCTGTCACAGGCCACTGAGAGTTGGCTATCGATCAAGTATCTTGCCGAAGAGCCTAGGAAGCAAAACCAAGGATCTTGAATCGCTGCAGCGTGGTCAAGCCTTGCTCGTGGGTCCGTGGCTTGCCAGGGGTATGTTCTTGGCCAAGAGCCGCCCCAGGGTCTCTCTCCACGTTGGTTCACCCAGGAAGGTGATGGGTGGATTTCATCCGTAGTAGGATTGGGGAAAATGATGGGGTGTGCCGTATGATAGAAAAGGCCGTCGACGTCGAAAGTACGCGCACGTGCTCAATTCAATCCAAGGACGAATAACAAAGCCGAATTATCTAGTTGTGACCTTTATTGTTCCACAGTTGAATCGAATGTCGAAAAGAACCCTTGTCTTGTCCCAATTGATCCCGGAGTGTTTTGAGTCTGTGAGCTCCCAGGTTCAAGATAGGACACGTGCCACTCTGCACTGGTTGTATATCTTTGCCTATTTGAAAACCGAAGGATGCATGATGCTTCTTGAATTTGTTCGCTGCTCGGCGCTTTTTCAAAGGCTTGCGGAGCCGGATGTGCAGTACCCTATGTACTGTAGTATGTATAAGGGTGGAGGTGGAGACGAAAGGTTGGAGAGTTTGGAGATCTCATCAAGCTCCAGCTTTCGTTGTAGGCTCACGTTCTGATCCCTAACTATCTGAGCGATCTGGGCCCAAGCTCGAAGGATATTGGTCGGTGCGGACTCCCAGTATCCTATTTCCCGATCCTATTTCCCTTTCATTTGATAGTGAAGGATGAGAGGCGCTCGTGAATAGACAATTGAGCTCACTCACCTAAAAACCGTGACTTATACCCATCACAAGCATCATGATACCTCGACCTTCATTTCATGTCACAAAGGTGCCAATGCCGCACGCTACCAACCCTCGTGCCCTCCATTAAAGATCCCAAGTAACTTTAGTTCTTTCTCCATCGAGAATGGACGCCAACCTAAGCCTCGTTCCTCTTCTTCTGAGACTGGACCCCTGCCCACCAAAAAGTCTACCCCGACCACGTTGATCAATTCCCCACGCTGATTCGCCCAACACCAAATAGAGCACGCGACCATTTCCTCGATGATGCTTGGTCCATGAAATCGCATCCCTTCAACCTGGTTGCTCTAGGATAAAGTTGGACAAAGCCTGAGATATAGTCTGCTGCTCATTGCGCTGGATTGGAGGGAAGAAGCGGGTTCGAACGTGAAACTCGCTGGCTAGGCGGCGTTACGGTGCGCTGAGTTGCGTGTTCGTGTCTGCATGTGCATGTTCCGTTTGGTTCATCGATTGTCGTTGGAGCATGTCTGGTACTGTATCCGTAGGTTGATCTCGGTGACCAATTTAATGTCTTTTGCCCCCATGCCCGTATCTTCATCTTGACTCTCAAACGAGACTGGAACTTGACTGTCTTTGGGACTCCCATATACCCTTTTCCTCAAAAATTTCAGGATAGCCACAGTGGTTGTATCTCTCCCTTTATTTATCCTTCCCTTGAGTGCTCTCTTGATTTAAACTTTGACCGTCGTGTTCGATTGGCCATCATTCGCGAAGAGCAACTAAGTATCATCACTGCCTTTTGAGGACGAGTTCAGACTCCACGATTCCAGGATGCCTCGACCGGGCCTTCCTCTCACACCGGGTTCTTCATCTGATATCAAGGGCAAGGACGGAACTCAACAGCTTTCCTCATTTCAGCTGTCTTTTGAATTGCCGCCTCCAGCAATTCATGATGCTTCCCGCATATCGCCGACCATGTCATCTCAGGTCTCACCAACAGATACAAAATCGCACCGACTCACCACAACGTCCCCAGGAGCAACATACCCAATGCAGCCTGCCGAGACAGTGAAGGCACGCCGCCGTTCTTCTGCTGCGAAAGACCAAAAGGACAATTCGTTTGCCCTGCCGCCTCCACCAACGAGATCACGCAAAATCATCCAGATGAAGCCCCGGCAGGATGGTAATGGTGACAACGGTGGCAGCAAAGATAAAGCGAAGACGACCAGCAAGAACTCTGCATCAGCAAAAACGGCCACAGCAGCCATTTCTAAGTCAACAACGTCAGGATCAGGAGATGCGGCCGCGGACGACAAGGCGAAGAAGAAGCAACCGAGTGCTACAAGCGCAGCAGGTCGAAAAATTGCCAGAAAGACCGCACACAGTTTGATCGAGCGTCGAAGGCGGAGTAAGATGAATGAGGAGTTTGCCGTGCTTAAAGGAATGATCCCGGCTTGTACAGGAGATATGCATAAGTTGTCGATCCTCCAGGTATGTGTCTGAATTGTCCTCGAAAATAGGGATACAGCTGACTAAAGGTTCTGTAATGCAGGCCTCGATCGAATATATTCGATACCTGGAGGATTGCGTCTCCAAGCTGAAAGCACAACAGGAGGAAGATAATGGTCAGACCGAGTCCGGGCGGCAAACACCCACGGGACGCGACCGTTTGCCGTCTATTCGTGAATTTCACCCGACTTTTCAAGAAGACCCAGTCGGCGATGAGGATGTCGAGATGGAGGACTCCGATGTTACGTCGCCTGCCATGACTGCAATGTCAGATCGTAACCCTCGCCACCCATCAGTGTCTCCTGCTCTCCCACCTCAGGATTCTCGCAACAGGGCGCAATCATATTCGTCTGTTTCAACCGATCATCGACGTTATAGTTACAGCGTTTCTGCTGGCACATCTCCAGCATTCGGCCCACAGATATATGGGGCGCCACATTATGCCCGCAGCGATGCCTCAGCACCTGGTTCAGCGTTGACAAGCCCGGCTCTCAATCCCCAGAGCGAACTTGATCAAGAGGCCATGGCTGCATTGCTGATGCTCAACAACGATCGTCGTGACTCAAAAGGCCGAGGGCTTTCAGTGCGCGATCTCCTAAGCACATAAGAGTCATGGTACACAGCCGACTAATGGGCATGTTCAAGCTGGGTTGAGACTGTATCTGCCACAAAAACCTTGCCTTGCCTTGGCATCGACGCAAAGCATCTGGAAGGACTTCGAGAGATTTAATATTGCCCTTGAAGGTCAAAGAGGGCAGACCATATTTGCTTCAACTGCGTTTTTATAGGAACCATAGATCTGGTCAAAAGTCGAAGGAAAATAAAGAGCTGTATCTATTGGGTTTGTTTTGGACGTCGGATGATGAGAAAGCGGAACACGAGATCATGGTGGGAAACCTGGACCGGTTCACTCTTTGCAAGGAGTTGGAAAGAATGATGTGGGGGTCGTTTTTATGTTCATGCCCTCTTGCCGGACCGTTTTGGACGATTCGCATTATTCAAGAATCACTTCTCAATACAGGAAACTCTGCAACAAAGAAGTATTATGATAATTATATATTCCATATCACTCAGGGATGTGGATAATATGAACTATGTAATTAATTCTATGAAATGTGTATCTTGACACTGATATTAGTCTGTCTCTTACTAAAGTTTGAGTCTTTGGCTTCCAGCCATATCGTCCCGAGCATCTTTAACTAGAAAGCTTCCTGATGTTAGCAATTGGAGAAGAGTGATCAGGCCTGCAAAACTTACTTGTACCATAAAATTGTCGGTCCAATCGTCATGAGGTGCCACAAGCTGTGAGCGTCAATGCAACCCAGCCAAGGTGGGAAATCAAACAGTTCCATGCTCATGGCAAATATAATCCAAGCAACCACGAAACCGGGCCAAACAGCCCACATGCGCCTTGACTCCCTATATCTCTTGAAACTAAACCAGGTCCACAGGACATTCTGCACGATGCCTGCTGCCACGTTTGCAGCCATGTTGTACGTATAATCCCAGCGGATAAACTTGAGGTACGAGACATGGCCAAGAAAGAGAGAGGCGCAGACGAGCGACCAAACTCGTAGGGTGGTTCTTCTTCGCGGGGTGCGTTTATCCAGTCTGAAAACCCTTACCACCGTGTAGTACAGACCGTACAGGACATTGGCGCCAGCAGCGAAGTAATCAAGCTCCTCAGTGAACCGGAAATCACGAGTATGAAAGATAGAGCTGAAAACCCAAGAGGAGATACCGACATACGCTAGCCAATCGTAGAATATTCGCAGGGAGTAAGATTTCGGTATCCTAGACTGGACCTTCTTCAAGCCATCCCAATGCGCCCAGAGATTGCCGAGAGAAAAGAGGACACTAAAGGGCTCCTGCATGCCGAGGAAGCGATAGAAGGGCCATTTCCCGTAGAATTGTTCGACCGTGAGGCCCGTGGCCATGCGCTGACCTGTTACAATATGCTGGCAGGCATAATCGCATTCACTGGCGCAAGTCCAGAATAGGAGTCGATGTAGAACAGCTGTTGTCGGGAGTTCACATTAGCTGTGTCTTTAGGCGCGCGGATCGGGTGAATATACGGATTGGAGTTTGCGGTTTATCAGGGGAGCAGTTTTCAGCATTGCAGACCTGTGGCCATGGTTAATCTTTGGGGTGGTTTTTGTGCTGCATTGGCTCACCTTGAGACAGTCCTTAAATTCTGGCAACTTGTCGCCAGTTGAGGCACTGACAACTACCGTGAAAGCGAGGACGAGGACGGTCAAGGAAAAAATCCGCGCCCATGGCCGCCCCCTTTGAGTTGCCATTGCGAGCGCATCGACCTTTGAATGGCGAGAGAATGAGGTTGGAAATAATGTGAACCTGCATGAGAGAGGGGGAGATACTCCATGTACCTTGAGCTGGTTTGACGATGTGGCTCACTTGCAACTCGACGTAACGTTGATGTTTCAGATGCGTGATTGGCTAGAGATCCTAATTATGACCGCTTTGGTGGGTCTAGTTTCTTTGTGGAGAAGGACCTGCTTGCTTGTTCGCTGGGGTAGCTAGACTTCGAAATCCAAACTGTGATATTTGACAAAGTAAATGTCTCTGAAGACTCTTTAAAACCTTCAAAATGGCTACGCCTTAGCTGGGATGTATGGCTGTTATAGTCTGCTCAAATATGATATACTTGGACTGGATCTGCTTTTCTCTTTTAAGTCATGCATCTTGCTAAATTCTGCAACTAACTGCACACTGTACAGATCCAACGCCGTTACAGAGTACTTGTTGAATTACATTTGACATGACAACTTAAATATAAATTCAATAATTAACTCAGATGTAATCTATGCTTTATCCGTTTCAACGGTAATGCCCATATCGCTTTTACCAATTTTCAGAAGATTGGGCATCAGTCAAATCCTTTCCAGTAGTCATCCTGCATGAAATTGCAACCCTACACTCGGCCGCTAGTTAAGCTAAGGCGAGATTGGTTGCTCGGCAACCGACAGCTCCCTGATTGGACCATATTTTCTCGTCGAACAACACGCCTTGCTTTCCATATCTCTCTTCCCTGACGCAGACGCGATAGTCTCAAGTTTTGGAAACCGTCTTGCAATGCAAGCAATGGCAATAATAACCGACTCGTAGCAAATACTTTATCTTGCCGCCAAATCAGTCATCACCAATTCCTCACCGCTTCGATCATTACACGCCTGAACGCGCTTTACCTTGAAAACATTATCGATATGGCGACAGCTTCGCCGACGCCCATGGGCAATGGTCTTGTCCGACGAACATCCCAGCGGCAAGCTTTAAGGAGATTGCCATCGCGACCCATTATGAACCACAGCGACAACTTCCATGGTTCAACGAATGCTGCTCTCCCTAAGGGCTACCATCCCAAACCCCAGCAATTCCACGACGACAGCTCCGAGGATGAGATCCCAGTACCTATGAAGCTGAGCGCTCTCACCAAGGCGCTTCTAAACGACGGCGCCCCTACATCAACAGAGCAAGCTCCTTCACCTCCCCGGACGCGGCGACGTACCAGTGCCCTGAACGCGTCCACATCATCGGCGACTGAGACACGCCGGCACAGAAGATCCGGAAGCGTCCAGGCCCACGATACAAGGTCTTCAAGACAAGCTAGCCCGACACCAGCTACAAGCAGAGAAATAAGTCCGGTACGAAAGAGGGTTGTAAGATTAAGCAACACACCTCAGAGTCTCAGCCAAATGCAGCCAACAAAGCGACGCTCAACTTCAGTCTCCCGATCAAATCAACGATCTCGACCTCACAGCCGCCCTGGAAGCCGCGACATGTCTTCTGACGAGAGACAGGATTCCAAGCAGGACTCTAAGGATTCCAAGCATGATTCTCAATTGGACGTGAACACACCTGCACAAGGTGGACGCGTCGTCCGAATTAATGCTGGTTCTCCAAGCAACAGGAGCAGAGTTGGCTCCACTGGCCCTTCTTCAGGGAGGTCGATGGAGCGATCCATGCTAGATAGATCTGCTATTGAGGACAACGACCAACCTGAAGAGCCAGCCACAGTCGCGCGAAATCCTCCTCCCTTCCACCAAGGCAGTGTCTCTCGATACCCTTCAACAAGTACAAGGACACGACCTGAGGATAATATTAACCTACAGAGTTCAATGCGCGTGAAGCGTGTTAGCAAGGTTGCAGGTAGCTTTTTGAGCGGACCAGCCCGACGCGGTCGCCGAAGGCAGAGCGAAGAGGAGGGGGAGGCCAACGCCGATGGAGAATTGATATTGTCTAGTCAGGAAGCTGAGAGTCAACCCGGGGAGGATCAACATGCCGCTTCATATTATGGAGACGGTATTCGAGATTTCAACTCAGGAAGCCCAGTAAGCGGACAAGCCGCTGCGAGGGCAGTCCATCGCCGTAATGCTTCCAACATGGACCTACGCCTAGGCTCTGCAAGAGCATCCAGGGAAACATCACCTCGTGAGCCTACACCAGAGGTTCAGGTTCCCGAGTCCGAACCGAAGCCTGAACAGGAGGAGGAGATTCATTACAGACTCCCCGCACCTCGTCCAGAACTCCCCTCAGGTCGGGATCAAGAGAACGATGTCCAAGCAAGCCTCAAGAGGACGAAGCCATCAATGGAGGTTCTTCTGGACAAGATGCCAAAAAGACCGATGAGCGCTGACCCTGCTCCCCTAAGAACAGTCTCACCCGACCGAAAGCCTCTTGCTTCTATGGCTAGAAATACTCCCCTTCGCCAGGCTCCACCGCCACCTCCCAAGATGTCTGTCCTCGAGGCTGCCACTTCTACTGCGGGTGCTGCTACGGCTACACAGGCAAAGCAAAGGAGGAATATCCTGCGGGTGAATGGTGTAGCCTATACTCGACTTGACTGTCTTGGCCGAGGTGGCAGTGGAAAGGTGTACCGTGTTGCTGCTGAGAATGGCAAGATGTTTGCTCTGAAGCGGGTCTCTCTTGAGAATGCAGATGACTCAACCATCAAGGGCTATCTTGGTGAGATTGATCTTTTGAAGAAGCTTGGAGAGGTGGAGCGAGTTATCAAGCTGTTTGACTGTGAGATGAATACAGAGAAGCAAGTTCTCACTTTGGTAAGTTCACATCAGCCAGTAGCGCGGATAATTTGCTTACTTGGCACAGCTTATGGAGATTGGAGAACTCGACTTCAACACTTTTTTGAGAAAACGGTATAACCCCGAGGCTGCCAAGTTCGATCCAGTCTTTGTACGATTTTACTGGAAAGAGATGCTCGAGTGTTTGCAAGCAGTTCACCAGTGTGATATTGTCCACTCTGACCTCAAGCCTGCCAATTTTGTGCTTGTGAAGGGTCAGCTCAAGCTCATTGACTTTGGCATTGCGAACGCTATTCAAACCGACGAGACTGTCAACGTCCACCGTGAGACTCAGGTTGGAACACCCAATTACATGTCACCTGAGTCTCTCATGGACTCAAATAACCCCCGGGGTGGCCGCGTTCCAGGTCGGCCTAAGCTTATGAAATTGGGCAAGCCCAGCGATATATGGTCTCTGGGTTGCATTTTGTATCAGATGGTTTATGGCCTCCCTCCATTTGGCCACATCGCCAACCAGATGTCAAGGTGTCAAGCCATCATTAACTGGGATCACGACATCGAGTTTCCTTCACGCGGCATGGGAGGCATGTCCGTTCCCCCTTCACTCATCCGCACTATGAAGCGCTGTCTTAACCGCGATCACCATATGCGACCAACCTGCGAGGAGCTATTGCACGAGTCCGACCCCTTCTTATACCCCGCAGAGCTCACCGACAAGGCCCTCCCCATTGACGAGGAGCTGCTTGCCAGAATCATCCAGAGCGTGGTGACGAGATGCCGGGAGCGCATGCCAACAGAGAGCGAAAGCTTAAGCGTCTGGCCACAGGCTTATTGGGCCAGTGTTAAGAAAGCGATGGCCGGGAGAATGTGACAGAAGAATTATCATGTATAATGCTGGAGTTGTCGGGGCGCTATTGCTCGCTGGATCAATGAGTTTATGACCAATTTGAACGGATTAGAAAGAAAGCATTCATAGCTGGGTGTTGAGGAGTATCATTCTTGTCGTTCGCTGCATACCTGCATACCTACTTTTGTACTTCAGACATAAGGGATTTTTTTATAATATGGCAAGGCTTTCGGAAGTCAGGGGCGTCTATGGCTTTTAACTGCGCGTTTCAGCGAGTTAACTGAATAAAAGCATTTTCAGCGATATTAACAAACTTGAAACGCTCCATTGGCTTTGTAAAGTTTGCTGTATTATTGTACAGCCAGCTTGATGCTGGTAATGGTACATTGTTTCGAGGCATTTCCTATTTGTACATGGACATCAACAGTTTTGTTGAAACAGATCCTCGAAACATCTTCCTCTCAACCCTGTGCCATCTCGTAAATCATTCGATATCCTCCAAGTTGTTGATGTTCAGCTCCGAAATCCGTAGAATAGTATATCGGTGCTTGCTTTTTGCCTGTCTCTTTCTCCTCTGCCTCCTCTTCTTCTTGATTTTGATTCGTAGCGGTTCAGATTCTGTTCCAACAACAGTAGCCCTGCACTCAAAAACCCGCTCATCAATGTGGGGAGCGCCTTTCATGGTGTAATCTCTGCTACCAAGAACACTCGCACGGTTGAGTCGTAGTACATCTCCAGGTTGAACGCCGGGCATACGGAAAGGTAGACGAACTTGATCGCCCTCGCGCACAAGGTAGGGAAATCCATGGACATGAACAGTGATGTAGTGGTCTGGCTGGGCGGCAAGGAATGGCAAAAGGTTCTTGACTGAGTCTTCCATAGGCTTTGGAGGCGGTGTAGGATGGCTGACTTTGAAAGCGAGGGGTCGAGGTTCATTTGCCGTGGGATTGGTGGCATTCTTTGGGTGACGCTCAGGGAATGGCTCGACGATGGGAGCTGTGGAGGTGAAGGCGCGGGCTTGGATTGCCAATATAGACGAGGGTGTCGAGAGTCGAGCGCTGGGAGCTCTAAGCTCCAGCATGGAGCGGAAAAGTGCCCTGCTCATTATGGACCGCAGTGCCTTTCGGGCTTGGGCACTATCGCTGGTCAATTGAGGGGAATGGGCTGTCGGCCTTGAAGTCGTTGTAGTGCATCTCGAAAAAGTTCAGGCGTTGGCTCATGGGTGCGTTCGGAAAAGCGTACTACCGAGCGCCGACAGAACGGTCTCAGTGCCAGCGCCGCCTCCCGATAAACCGCCACTTTTTTTTTATCGTCAGGGAAATTTCAGCATCAACTCCCCGCTAGCCATAATAAAGTCCCTGCCTGGGCGATACAGACAACATGGTATGCATTAAAGAGCGAACGATTGCCAGAATGAACAACTAATCTCCTCAAAGCCTCAGAACGAGTATATGGAAAGATGGCGAAAGCTACACGGTCGCCGTCTTGATCATGAGGAACGAGTTCGCAAGCGTACCGCCCGTGAGGGCCACAAGGCCTCTCAGGATGCCCAGAACCTGCGTGGTCTCCGAGCCAAGCTGTACCAGCAGAAGCGACATAAGGAGAAGATTCAGATGAAGAAGGCCATCAAGGCGCACGAGGAGCGCAACGTCAAGACCGCGGACGAGAAGGAGCCCACAACACCTATGCCCTCTTACCTGTTGGACCGCACAAACCCCTCGACTGCCAAGGCTCTCAGCAGCGCCATCAAGAACAAGCGAGCTGAGAAGGCGGCCAAGTTTGCCGTTCCCCTGCCCAAGGTCCGAGGTATCAGCGAGGAGGAGATGTTCAAGGTTGTCAAGACCGGCAAGAAGATCCAAAAGAAGGCCTGGAAGCGCATGGTCACCAAGCCTACCTTTGTTGGACCCGACTTCACTCGACGCAACCCCAAGCACGAGCGCTTCATTCGACCTATGGGTCTCCGTTATAAGAAGGCCAATGTCACACACCCCGAGCTTGGTGTCACTGTCCAGCTCCCCATCATTAGCGTCAAGAAGAACCCCCAGAACCCTCTTTACACCCAGCTGGGTGTTTTGACCAAGGGTACCGTTATCGAGGTCAACGTCAGCGAACTTGGTCTCGTCACCGCCGGTGGAAAGGTCGTCTGGGGTCGCTATGCGCAGGTTACTAACAACCCGGAGAATGAGGGCTGCATCAACAGTGTCTTGCTGGTGTAATGTGCTCAACGGCGTTGCCGCACAACGTTAAGAGGGTTCGTTTGTCTAAGTTCGAATGCATGTATTGGCGCCAGGGCGTTTATTGGATTACCGCACGAAAAAGAATGGCCATGATGGTAGATGGTTGGTAAACGGGTTGATTGTCGACTGAAGATTCCCAGTTGTGATGAAGAAGACTCACTCGAGTTATAGGCCACGCTCTGCTGAGGCAGATCTTGATCAGGCCGTAGATAGATGAATACAAGATCTAGAAGGTACTTAAGTAGCAGCGTCTATTGCTACAAGTACTAATTTCGATCCTTTCACATACATATGAGCTACTTCTATTTGCGGGGGCGAGAATTGTGCTGTAACTAATTGGACAGCTGAGGGTATACTCTTCTTATAACGGGTGTGACATTCAAACTTTCAATTAGTATGGGTTACCAGTGCAGCTTTTAATAACAATACTTAACGACGCCAGGTTGATTGCAGCTCTGCACCTCTTTTCAGCACTCCCACCGGCTTCAGCCAAGACATCTTAAATTTCATCAGTCAAATGTTATGCCTCGGGGTTTTTTTCTTCTTTGACTGTTTTCAGCCATTATTATTACCTTAGCTTAAAGAGTTGGACAACCTGACTCTCGTCTACACTTGTACCTTTTTCAAGCTAACCGAAAAGGCAGATGGCGTTGAAAAAAGGGTCCCTTTGCCGCCTTTTAAAAAATCGGGCGGTGACGGCGATAAATTATTTTCTGCCCGAACTAGCAAAATCGCATTGGTCTGTGGTTCCCCGTCTCGCCCGCCAAATCTGTATTGCTCCGTTTTGCGACTCAATCTTTTTTCCTCTCTGCCTTTTCTTCTTCTCTCCATCAACCAAGAAAACAGGATTCAACAGTTTTAACCCTCCGTTACACTCAATAATTCTTCAAAATGAGCGGCGATAAGATGGATGTCGAGATTGCTGAGCAAAAGATGAATTCTATGGAGCATAGCGAGCAGCATTACTTCAAGAGGTCAGTTCGCTCAGCTCTACAAGAGAATCATTGTATACTAACTGCACCGACATAGCTACGATCACCATGGTACGAACAACCACTGAAGATACATAACCATTTGAAAGAATAACACTGACATATTATTGCTCTACGATAGGTATCCACGAGGAGATGTTGGTATGTAGCTCCCCTCCCCCACAGTCCTTGCGCTGCTGTACGGGCACTGGCTGACCAGGTTTTCTATAACTGCAGAAAGATGAGGTCCGCACACGATCGTACATGAACGCTATCATGCAAAACAAGCACATTTTTAAGGACAAGGTGGTTCTTGATGTTGGCTGTGGTACGGCCATTCTCTCCATGTACGTGCGAAACGAGATCCTCCAAAAGCCCCTTGTTATGCCCCGCGCTTGGGGAACGACAGCACATCCCACCTTTGCAACATGCGATGTTCTCTATAACCCGACGAAACATTAAATGAACTCGAATTGACGGAAATTATTCACAGGTTCGCCGCTAAGGCTGGTGCCAAACATGTTATTGGTGTGGATATGTCCACCATCATCTTCAAGGCCCGTGAGATCGTCAAGGTTAACGGTCTTTCCGACAAGATCACCCTTCTTCAGGGCAAGATGGAGGAGGTCGAGCTGCCTTTCCCCAAGGTTGATATCATCATCTCAGAGTGGATGGGCTACTTCCTTCTATATGAGTCCATGCTCGACACCGTTCTTTACGCCCGAGACACTTATCTCCAGAAGGATGGCTTGATCTTCCCTGACAAGGCCACTATCTTCTTCGCTGGTATTGAGGATGGCGATTACAAGGAGGACAAGATTGAGTGTAAGTGACTACCGTGCTTTGACTCTCGCTTCATAAGTTTATTTGCTAACACCGTCTTAGTCTGGAACGATGTTTATGGCTTCGACTACACCCCACTCAAGGCCACTGCTCTCTCCGAGCCCCTCGTTGATACCGTCGAGGTCAAGGCTGCTGTCACCGAACCCACCGCCGTCCTCACGCTCGATCTTTACAAGTGCACCACAGACGATTTGGCTTTCCAGGTCCCCTTCAAACTCTCTGTTACCCGCGATGACTTCGTCCACGCCCTGGTCTCGTGGTTCGACATCGACTTCACCGCCTGCCACAAGCCCATCCGCTTCTCCACTGGCCCACATACCAAGTACACCCACTGGAAGCAGACCGTCTTCTACTTCGAGGATGTTCTCACCGTCCAGCAGGGCGAGCAGATTGCTCTCAACCTTGATGTCCGACCCAACTCCAAGAACAGACGTGATCTTGACATCAAGATCTCCTACGAGTTGGAAACTGAGGATGCTAACCGTGCCTCCAAGGGTGCGCTTGAGTACCGCATGTGCTAAAAGGCTTCCATATAAGACGGTGCCGATTTCTTGCTAATGATGACACGAGAAGTAAAAAAAAGACATCTAAGGGTTAAAAAGGAGACCCAGGGAGCAAGGAGATAGACACTTGCGGAAACTTGGGATCTGTGTATACGGGGGACGGCGTCTTGCATCTTACACGGGGTAAACATTGCTGCTAGATACAAACATAGGAGAGAGAAAACAACATAATCGCGAGGGATGGCGTAGTGAGTTGACGACCCGTTATGAGTGATACCACAAAAACAGCACTCCGGAGTCACCTAGTCAAAGATCTTTTGGTTTAATATCTAGTCTTTCGTCCTGACCCTGTGTGATCTCATCGACTATGTGAAACTGCAATAGCAAGACCATCTATTGACCGATAAAGTAATGAGATTTCATTCATCGTTAAATTGGACTGAGCATCCCGCTCCTTGTCCTTTGGCTAATCCTGACCTGGGCTTGATAACCCATTTTTGGGAAACCTTTCTTGTTTCTTTTCCTTCCTTCTTTGTAGACACTCACTTCCCCACACATACTATGTTGGGTACGTTTCTCCTTTTATCCCCGAGTTATTTTATGCGATTCCATTTTCACCTAACCAGGGTATACTTAAGAACCAAACTGCTTCACGATTTGAGCGACCTTGTTAGCGAGTTCATCGGCCTCGGAGCGAGTAGCAGCCTCAGCATAGACACGGCACGCGTTCTCAGTACCACTGGCTCTAGCAAAGGATCGGGCACTAGTGTACTTCTTAACACACTGGTCGATCTCATCCTGAGCACCCACAGGGTGGCTGAGGCGGCGCTCAGCATCCGTGGTCTGGAACAGGTCCTTGTTGCCAACTTCAACGCGAACAAGACGGTTAGGGAGGTCATTGTAGGTCATGGCCCAGTCTTTGAGAGTCCAGCCCTTGTGGGCGAGAATGACTTCAACCATGAGCATATCGGAAATAGCATCGCCAACGGTCTGGTTGATGAGATCGCTGACGGCAGCGAGGGTGTCGAGAGCATCCTTCTGGGCAGGAGACTGGGGCTCGGTCTCACGGAAAGCACGGATGGCCTCCTGAGAGAAGACAACGGTACCGTGACCATTAGCCTCGAAGTAAACACCAACGTCGAACTGACAAGCAGCGTGGTGCAAATGCTTCACACCAGTAGGAGTGAAGACGACGGGAAGCTGAAGGTGCTTCTCAATATAGTTCGTGCTGGCACCGTTGGCATAGGCGGTCTGAACAACGCCAATGCGGAGGTCATCAGCAAGGCCGGCAGATCGAACGAGGTCACCAATGAAAGAGGCATTGAGAGAAGAAATACGATCGCCATCGAGCATGAAGAAGCCTGTCTCAGGATCGACCCAGTAGTAAATCAGACGATCGGCATCACCATCGAGAGAGCAGCATCGGGCGCCGGGGACGGGCTTCGGGCTGGGAGGGGCTCGCTGCTTCGTCTTGACGAAGTCCGCTCCAGACTAAGAGAATAAATGTCAGCTATTGCGACTGGCAGCCGAAGATCTGAAGTGTACTTACATCAAGGTTCAGAACCTCGGGCCGGAGGACATCATCGTTAACAACCTTGATGTCGATGGTACCTTGAGGCAAGACCTTGAGGAACTCAGAGAGCTTGGGACCTCCAACACCGTTGGCGCAATCCACGATAAGCTGTCCCTGGGGCTTGCGGCCTCGAAGAGCGCGAGTAAAAGCCTCGGACATTTTCTCGTAGTAACCCTGCTCGCTAACCTTGCCATAGGCCTTAGGGGTGCCCTCGGTGTTGACGCATCGGGTCAGGTAGTGAAGCTGGGGGGTGGTGAGGATCTTGTAGTCGGTGTACTCTGTGTTGGTAGCCTCGAAAGCATCGGCGAGGGCAGCAACGAGGGAGTGGCCTGAAGGACGAGTGTCACGGCCATAGATGACGCGGCCAGGAGAGGAGAGATCAATCTTAAGCTGAGAAGCCAGAGCCTTGTAGTTGTCGAGAAGCTCCTGATCAGAAGGAGAATTAACGAGCTTGGTAGCATAAGTCTCCCACTCCTGTTCAAGCATCTCGCCCATGGGGTCAACGATCTTGACACCATTGTCGACAGCTGGGTTGTGGCTAGCAGTGATCATGACACCAATGGCCTGGCCATTGAGCTTACGGCTTCGAAGACCAGACAGGAGACCGACACGGAACGAAACACCATCAAGAAGATCGGCCTTCATACGGAACCCCGCAGTGCCATATTTGTAGACATGGTTAGGCACAATAGGGTGCTTTGCCGAAGCGGCGAGAAACCTGTCGTCAGACATTCTACGATTTCTTTTCGAGAAAAATTAATGGTGCAGTTTATGAGATGAAAGAATGAAAGACCAGAGAAGACAAGACGCAGGCGGGAGGAAACGAGAAAGATGGAGCTCGAGAGTCCCTTTTGAAACAAATCGAGGCCTCCCCAGTGACGACCTGGCGGGGGACCTTCCAGAGGGCACCTCAGCATACGAGGGGTACCTAAATGAGGTAACAGTGCTTACCTACTGCAAGGGTCTACAGTGCATTGTCTACCTGTTTATGCAAACCAGCCACTGCACTTTCATCCTACAAGCTGAGCTGAGCTTAGCTTAGCTTAAAGGCAACGGGTTATGAGATGGGGCTATGGAGAGGTCTTCTCGGCGGTCAAAAATACTTTTTTATACCGCTTCAATCGAATGGTTTCTATGAGGTGCTAAAAACAGACACAAAACTCTCAGATATGCCCCACCCAATGCCCAGAGCTATGTAAGGTGCTGTACGCAGGTGGGGGTTGTACCTGGTTTAATTGGGTGCATCGCTCAGCACCTTACCCGCCACAATTTTGTTGGTGCAGGGCCTCACGTCAGCCTACAGGCTACCTTAGGAGTTCACCTCGTGCATGTATGTTTCTCTCACCTCAAGATCTCTCACCGCCCAATGACCCCGTAGGAGCGAAAGAGGCACGTGATCTCGTGTCAAGTCTCCACACCCACTCCAGGCAACGCGAGGCTCTCGACGCGTCATTTTCACGACATACAAAGACGAGGACAACATTGACGAGCTCGGATTTGGGCGGACTGCCGCTCGTCTTGTATTGCATTTTGATTGCCAAATTCTGGGATATCTAAAGAATTGTCCCTTTTGAGGCCTTCAGTTGTGCAGCTGAAGGGTGACGGCAACATGGATGATGCCGATTCGGCCAACCCGCAGCTGCTGGCTTGGGTCAAAGAATGGCTCGATCTGGCGCGCGAACGCAATTCGAAAGGTGTTACAACTTACAGAACTGCTTATAATTCGTTAAAAGCATGTCCAATCACCTTTGAACACCCTGCACAGCTGCAGCAGCTCAAAGGTTTCGGCCCCAAACTCTGCGAACGCCTTGAGCAGCAATTAAAGAAACACTGCGAACAAAATGGCCTGCCTATGCCCCCACACCCCAGGTCTCGTAAGGTGATACCAGTTGCTGGAGTCGACAATGGCGAGAGCTCTTCAAAGCCTGCCAAAAAGGCACGGAAGCCTAAAGCATATGTTCCTGCTTTACGCTCTGGAGCCTTTGCCTTAGTAGTTGGCCTTTCTACATTGGATGAAGACTCTTCTGTTGGAATGACAAAGGCGGAACTCATCGAAGTTGCACAACTGCATTGCGACTCATCTTTCTCGGCTCCTAGCGACCCTACCAAATTTTACACTGCCTGGAACTCGATGAAAACTTTGCTGCAGAAGGAATTGGTGTACGAAAGAGGACGACCTCTACGGAGATACGCCTTAACTGATGAAGGATGGGAAGTTGCAAAACGTATAAAAGACACGGAGCACTGGCAGGCCGAGAATGGAAGAGCTAAAGACCCGACTTCAGCACAGCCTGTTAATCCAGATTGTCAACCAGAATCCAATCATAGGCCTAGGTCGCCTTCGATTGAAATTTTCGAACCTGCGAAAGCGCCTTCAGAATACCAAAACGTTGTGTCTGATGGCCCAACAGTGTCGGACGACAATTCATTGCCAAATTTTACACCAATCCGACTACCTCCGGGATCCTTTACTGTTAACTTAGTGCTAGACGTTCGCGAGGTCAGAGCGAAGACTGATCGCGATTACATGCAAGAGGAGCTAGCAAAACTGGGCGCAAAACCCATCATGCGCAGTATGGAACTTGGAGATGCCCAGTGGATCGCAAAATGCCATGATCCAAATCTGCTCGTATCACAAGGTGCCGAGGGCGATGAGGTCATTTTGGACTGGATTGTTGAAAGGAAACGCCTTGATGACCTGATTGGGAGTATCAAGGATGGCAGATTCCACGAGCAAAAGTTTCGCCTGCAGCGATCAGGTGTGAGGAAAGTTATTTACATCATCGAAGAGATCTCCATGGACCCGGAAGTAACATCTAGATATACCGAAGCCGTCCGGTCAGCCATTGCCTCCACACAAGTAGTCAATGGCTACTTTGTGAAGAGGACGGCAAAAATGGACGACACAGTCAGGTATCTTGCTCGCATGACAGCGATGCTGAAGCGGACATACGAGAGCAAACCACTCAACGTCATTCCTACCAAAATTCTTACATCTCAGAATTATCTTCCTCTGCTAAAACACCTGAGAGAATCTATATCTCCAGACTGGTATATCACTTATCCCGCCTTTTCGTCACTTGCATCCAAGTCAGAGTCTATAACTCTGCGAGACGTATTTTTGAAAATGCTTATGACCACCAAGGGCGTCACGGGAGAAAGAGCGCTCGAGATTCAGAAGCGTTGGAAAACTCCGTATGATTTTGTCAAGGGTTTTGAGGCCTGCGGAAGTGGCGAACAGGGGCTGAAACGCAAACGCGAGCTGGTCTTTAGTCAGACAAGTCATCTTGTCGGACGAAAGAAGTTTACCAAGTCTTTGAGCACCAAAATTGCAGAAGTCTGGGGTGATGCATGATAGTTTTGTATACGTGCGAGGAGACGAACGTGTACGGATATTGGGAAAGGAGGGATATTCCGATTATACTGAAATGCAGACGGTGTCAACAGGATGGAATGGTCGGTATTTCAAGGCATTTGTATTAAAGCGTTGGTGGTATCAAGCTGGTAGGATCCATGAGCATAGTGATACCCAGGATTATGAGAAATACGAACCTAAACCTTTAATGATGAAATCTATTAACCTCATGGCTTTCCGCCGAATCCCTGGGCCACGATTCTCTCAACGATCTTCTCAATAAAGGGAAACGAGGCAGCAGCTCCAGGTTCCGAGCCAACAACACCGCCCAAAGACTTCTCTGCATACTTGGCCATCATATCAACCTCAACATTGACAGTGTCACCCTTCTTCTTCTGCGCCACGACAACCCTCTCTTGGGTGTACGCAATCAGCATAACCTCCCACCATGCTTCATCATCGTTGACCTTGGTGACAGTCAAGCTTGTGCCATCGATGGCGATAAAACCCTTGTACACAATGTACCGCAGCATATCCTTGCGGGCTGGTTGGAACCGGAAGGTCAAGGCATTGCCATCCTTCTCAACAGAGAGGATCTCGGCAGTAGTGTCGACATGACCCTGAACAAAGTGGCCGCCCATGCGGGTATCAGCCCGAACAGCACGCTCAAGGTTGACGTTACTGCCCTCCTTGAGATCGCCTAAGTTGGTGATGCGTAGAGTTTCGGGGGCAACGCCAATGGTGAAAGCCTCGGGGGTGAAGGATGTGACTGTAAGGCAGACGCCGTTGACAGAAATGGAGTCGCCGTCATGGCAGTCTGAGAGGAGCTTTGAGCCAGAAGGAATGGAAATGGTCAGAGAGGTGCCTCCTGTTGAGTCATTGGTGTTGAGGTTGGAGACAACTAGAAGCATGTGAGTGAGTGAGTATCTAATATTGAAGTGAACATAACGGACCTCCCACTTCTTCAACAATTCCAGTAAACATGATGGGAATATATGATTTGATGCCTGGGTCAGTGATGTTGAATAGCTAGGATTATATATCGAAGTTAACGGAAAGTCTACAGGTAACAAGCAATGACAAATGCTTAATGAGTCGGATGGGTACTGATGCCATTCCACTCTGCCCCGCGGCCCGCGAATGCCCCGCACTGGCTCTGAAAGAAATACCGGGACAGCTTTGGGTTCTGATGCTTTATTGCCGCACAAGCATATCGATTTCGTAAAACTGTATTCAGAGTGGTAAAGTAGTTCCTTAGAAGCCCATTTGCCTAACCATCCGGCTCAATAAACCTGCCAATCCGAATACCCATGACGGTTCGTGTCAACCTCCCATGTTACCAGGCGGGGTGGCATTCTGTCAATCTCTGCCCCTCCGTCTTCAAAGAAGTGCCTGGCTTTGAAAAAAGAAAATGATAGCAATGTAAATGATGAGACGTCAGCAGAGCACCAGGCTGGCACATGAAAATGGAAATTGCATTTAGTTTATCACCATTTGTCAACTCTTGCCTGGAGAGGGAGAGACAATAATCGAAAACCAAGATTCTTGGCTGGCTTCCCTCATGGGTCGTTATCGATAAGACCCGCCTAAATTTTTCAGTTTCCCACTCAACACCAAGGCACAAGCTTCTGACAGAACAAGACTGTCCATTAACTACACAATATCTCGTTTAAAACTCTTGCAGCAGTCGCTATCTGACCGGATCTCACACCCCGATATCTCACCGTGGCTCACACATAGCCTTATAGAATACTACTGCATCATTACTTCTTCTAGAAGCGTCGACATATCTCATATCAATCACACACCCCGCCTCATAGCATCATGGCGCCCTCGAGACCTGACGCTAAAAAGACGAACCCGGACATCGCAAGACTCCTTGTCGATGCGCAAACTCAACTCGAGGTCGGAAAATTAGAAGAGGCTGCCACGCTTGCCCAGCAGGCTCTTGATGCTACCGGTCAGGGCGGCGACTTTGAGCTCAGTGCTGCCAATCTTCTAGGTACAATTTTTGTCGAGTCAGGCGACATTGACGAGGCGCGAGCCGCGTTTGAGCGCGCAGTCTTTCTTGATGAAGATGGTACCGCAGATGAGAAGATTGGTGGAGGCCCTGAGAAGTTCCTGCTGCTTGCACAGCTTAGCGAGGAGGGTGGTCTCGATAGTGTGCAATGGTATGAGCGAGGTGCTACCGCTCTTCGAAAGCAGATCGCAGTCCTGAGCGAGCTCCGATCGCCAACCCCTGAGCAAAGGACCACCCTTCAAGAGAAGCAACACAAGCTCGGAGGAGTCCTGTGCGCTGTGGCTGAAGTGTACATGACCGATCTGTCATGGGAACCTGATGCCGAGTCACGTTGTGAGACTCTTATCACTGAGGCTATGCTCCTCGCCCCTGCTGCGCCAGAGACATGGCAAACAGTCGCCAATGTTAGAATCTCACAGAGCCGCGCCAACGAAGCCCAGACAGCTCTGCGCAGAAGTCTCGAGCTGTGGCAGAAACTCCCTCCTCAGCACCCTGATGTTCCCGAATTCCCCACCAGAATTGCGCTTGCTCGTTTGTTGATGGAGACTGAATTGGAAGATGAGGCATTGAGTGTGCTGGAGCGACTTGTTACAGACGACGACACAAGTGTTGAGGCATGGTACTTAGGTGGTTGGTGCCTATATATCACAGGCGAAAAGCTCAAGACTACTGCCTCAAAGCCATGGAACGACGAAGCCAAGGTCAGCGAGGAATGGAAGGGATCATGGAAGTCATCGCGGCAATGGCTTATGCAGTGCTTGAAACTGTATCAACAGCAGGATTACGAAGATGAGCGCCTGGGTGAGCATGCCAAGGAATTGCTATCAGAGATCAACAAGGAGCTTGGCGAGCCAGCTGATGGTGAGGAAGATGACTGGGAGGATGCCAGCGATGGCGCAGAGGAAGACGCTGAAATGCAAGGTTGATGACTTTATGCAAGGACAGAGAAATTGGGCATGTGAGCATTACGTATGGCGTTTAGGAACAAAAAATGGGCATATCTAGAAGAAATCTTGTTGCCTCTAGTCATATTTAAAACTGGATGGTCCAGACCCAAGTCTATATCATCATGGCAGTACTAGGCCTCTCAAGGCCTTTCGTAGCCAACCAAGACCAGATAAATCCGTGGCAACATCCATCGTCTCATGCCGTAGTAAGCTGTTCGCCTTTTTGTATCAGTACCCAAGGCCAAACTCCAAGTAATGCATGCTTGTTATATGCCGCCTTATGCGGCCTCAACTTTAAGTTTCTCGATACCCTCGACAGGCATGTCGTCCTCCTCCTCTTCACCCTTACCAGCAAGACCCCTCTCCCAGAGCTGTCTACCCGTCATGCGAGCAGGTTCCTTGGTCTTCGCTTTCTTCAGCTCAGCAAGACGCTCGTCTTCCTCCTGCTGCCTCTTCTCCTCTATCTCCTTCAAGAAGCCCTCACGCCACTTCAAAAATGTCTCGGGCGTAACAGCTGTGCCGTGAAATTTCTTATTCTCCTCTGCCTCAGCAGCCAGCGCAGCTTCCTCATGTGCCTTTGTGATGACGTCCTTGCGCTCTTGGACAAGCTGCTCGGCATTATCCTTCAGTGTTGATACGATTGCAAAGACCATGGCCATTCCGAGGTTTTCTTGAATGGTGTCGTCGAGACTGGCAAGGAGCTGGTCGCGGTCTTCTGCTATGTTGAAGTGTTCGTGGGGTGTGGCATTTGGAGGAGCGAGGATGTCGAGATGAGGTGGCTTTTCGGGATAATCTTCTGGATATCTCACTTGGAGAAGTATGGTAGGAGGATCTTGATCTTCTTCGCCTGGAATGTCTAACGCGACTGATACTCTAAACTCGGTTTCAGAGATATCTACAGCAATGGTTAGGCAAAGAAGACAACATGTTTTTTCAGCAGCAGATTTGTACCTGTGATTTCATCAGGGAAAATAGATTCGAGCACTTCGCGCTCTTCGATCTGATCTTCTCGCCCCATTTTGACGGGCTGTCTTCGGGAGCCTTTATAACTGTAAAATGTTACTTTTGATAGAGCCGAATGACGAGAGTCCCAAGAGTCCTCATGGGAGTGGGGAGGTTTACAGGCCGCGGGGTGTAAGGCGGAACAGGTTTAGTGTCTCGTTGACCGCCCGGCATTTCTAAATGCTTTACCGTCCGTGTTAGTCACGGGCGGCTCACACTCTGACTTCTAATTTACTGAACGATTAGGTATATATCTCATCTTCAATCGATGGCTTCTCAAGACATGCTCCGAATTTATATCATTGAAATCTCACGGACCTCGTGGACGTACTTGTGGACTTTTCAGTATATTACTCTGTCTTGTTCATCTCCTTGCTTCATCACGCTTCAATCAATCCTATTGTTGCTCAGCTTCCCCCACATTCATATGCGCCAGGTGAAACTTGATGCAATACCCACTAACCAATGACCTCAAAGCTCCCGTTTCCTTGCATATTGATCTTAGAGATACCGACCGGCCCGATCAATATTCGTCCCAGTCACAGAGCGGGACTATGGGCTCGTTACCCGTTAATCCCTTTGCCGCCAGTCTTACAGCTCGGCCATCAAGGTAACTCTGATAGGGTGTCTTGGGGATTCGTTTCTGGTTGTCCTCCCATAGTTGATATTCGACAGCTTGCCAAACTTGGAGTTGGTCCATAAAGTTCCCTCGTGGCTTCACCTTTCGCCTTGCCCTGACTTCAGCGATAATGACGTCCAAACTCAGTTGTCGTTGACGCATTAGATATGCTATTGCAACGGAAGCTGATCGGGACATCCCAAGGCGACAATGGATCAATACATTCGACTCTCGCGCCGAATCTTCGCTTTCGATGGTTGAAGCTGTGTCAAGGTCGAATTCTTCTGAGATAAAAGAAGATGGCGACCGCAGTGAACCGTGACGATCTAGTTGTAGGTCGATAAAGTCGCAGATGTCGTCTAATAAGCAGAGGATGTCCATCGTTGAATTATCAAGGCAAGGCACAAATAAATGGCGCTCTTGGGGGACAATTTGCCTGTTTTTGGGACTCTCCCATTTCGAATATGGGCCGTCCAAGAGGGAGACTATTGCTGTGATGTTGTGATGGCGAAGAACATTGCGATTCATGGAACTTGCAACATTCCCAACAAACAGATTAGGGGCAACCTGAGAAATTGATGGGGAGTCCATATTATCTGTGATTGATGAGAGTAGGCTCTTTTTAGTTTCAATTGACTCTGGAAAGTGAAAGTTGATCGTACTCAGATCACCAACGCCGGAGCCGGGAACGTGCTGCATTGCACTTATGCAGACCCCTCACATGCAGAGGCTACTTCAGTGGCAACTGACAGGACTTCAATGCCTGTTATATTGTGCGATAAGTTCATTGTGGCACCGAATATCCTTAGATTCCTAGGTCTATGAACGTGTTTCAGTCAACGGACGTATAATATGAGGCTGGACTCGGTAGTATATCAACTGCAGTCGGGATATGCAATTTTCAACCCAGGGGAGCGAAATAATATTATCATGTTAATTGGACAAGGTTTTCTGCATCAAGATTCCTTCAAATACTATTGTATTTGCTTTTGATCTGTGGTCCCGTACTATTAGTTGGTGCTAAACTCGCCGTCAGACACTTCATCTAGCGCTCAAGAGACATCATCGCATCCAATCTTTCTAGTTACCAATTATTACAGTCTCCAGCACCCAGGATCTCTTATTTGTCTAGAAGTACTCTCTTGTAATCCATTTCTAGACTGCAACTCGAGACCATATGCCCAGCTCGAAGAGATCACAGGTAAGAAACTCGTTAAGACAAATACATAAACACCCAGCATGAATATCAACTGGGACTTATCTAACATTTAATACATCACAACAAAACCGAGGTGTCTTTGTTTCAAGCTCGTTCTTCTTACTACTATTGTAAGATGATGGCAAGGGGTGCACGTGACTCTTAGACCCTGGATCAGAAAAATGGGACCGCTCTTATCACTTAGCCAAACGCGGGAGTTCAACCTTATCGCTAGAAAAAAAAGTTGCTGAACTGAATTGCGACTCTGCATCTACCCATCAAGTTCACGACAATGGCTACCAAAACCGCAGCTGTTGGCAACAAGCGAAAGTCCGCTCCTGGCGGCAAGGCCAAAACTGATTCCAAAGTTAAGAAGGCTCGACTTGATGAGACCAAGGTCCGAAAACAACCCGTTGAAGAGCCCGAGGACGATGATATGGAGGACGTTTCAGACGAGGAGGACGGCGGTGCCGAACTGAGTGAACAGGCTCCTCAGAAGTCTTCGAATGGTGCTCAAAACGGAAAGAACTTTGAGCGAGGTATGTTATTCTGTAGATACTGCACGCGCGCCTGGCCAATGCTAACTGTTCTCCTAGGCCAAACTTCACGCGAATCCCATGCTAAACAAAAGCAGCTCGCTCAAGAGCGCAAGGCCGCTAAACCTCTTGCTGACGAAGTTCAACGCACAAAGAAGCTGTGGGAACGGCTGCGACGAAAGTCTCACGTTCCCAAGGAGGAGCGACAGACATTGGTCGACGAACTATTCACCATCATCACGGGTCGCATTAAGGACTTCGTCCTCAAGCACGATGCTGTGCGAGCTGTTCAAACCGCCATCAAATACGCCTCACCCGAGCAGAAGAAGCAGATTGCCCGTGAGCTGAAGGGCACATATGCTCAGCTTGCTGAGAGTCGATATGCCAAGTTCTTGATCGGAAAGCTTCTTGTCCAGAACGATGAGGAGATCCGCGATATCATTATCCCCGAATTTTACGGCCGTGTCCGAAAGATGATCAACCACGCCGAGGCATCATGGATTCTCGACGATATTTACCGAGGCGTTGCGACAAAGGAGCAAAAGGCCATTCTTCTCCGCGAGTGGTACGGTCCCGAGTTCTCTCTTAAGGAGCTCACCAAGGACACGCAGCCCACTGCCGACCTCAAGACTATCCTGGAAGCTGAGCCCAGCAAGCGCAGCCCCATTATGAAGAGTCTGGTTGACATGATCGGCTCTCTTGTCAACAAGAAGATGACCGGCTTCACTATGCTCCATGATGCCATGTTCCAGTACTTCTCCAACACCCAGGTCGGTACGGAAGAGTTCACCGAGTTCTTCGAGATGGTCAAGGGCGACGAGAGCGGAGATTTGTTGAAGAACATGGCTTTCACTCGTAATGGCGCCAAGCTCACATGCCTGCTTCTTGCCCATGGCTCCTCAAAGGACCGAAAGCAGATTCTCAAGACTTATAAGGACACCTACCTCCTTATGTCCGGCGACATTTGGGCCCACCTTATCCTCCTTACCGCCTACGACGTCGTCGATGACACCAAACTGACTGCCAAGACCATCTTTCCCGAACTCATCGGCGAAGGCGAGAACATCGCCCAGAATGTTGTCGCAACAGCCAACAACCCCTTTGCCAGGTCAACGATTCTCTACCTTTTCGAGGGATTAGCCAAGAGTCTTTTCCCTTCTAGCCAATCATTCGATGTCGAGCTTCTCAAGGAGGTTCACGAGATCCGGAAGACAACAAGTAAGAAAGATGAGGACATTCGACGCAACGAACTCATTACTGCTGTTTCTCCCCAGCTCATCACCGCCATCGCAGAGGCACCCACTGAGCTGACCGCGACCGCTTTTGGCTGCCAGTTCATTACCGACGTTCTTCTCTCGGGAGTTGGTGAAAAGCAAGCCGCTCTTGAGGCCATTGCTCAATCAGCCAGCGGTGACCCCAGCCAGGAGCCAGCCGAAGACGACCTCCAACCCCAGATCCACATTTCAAGGACACCTCACGGCGCTCGCATGCTCAAGTCGTTAATCCAAGGGGGCAAATATGACAAAGCAGCTGGCAAGATCATCCCTGTAGACCCTCCTCTGGATTTCTCCAACACTCTCTATCCCGTCATCAAGGAGCACATCATGGACTGGGCCACCGGCCCCGGCTCATTTGTTGTTGTGGGTCTCCTTGAGGCCCGTGACTTCAGTGAGGTTGATGCGCTCAAGAAAACACTCAAGAAGAACAAGAAGATTCTTGAGAAGGCTGCGGCAGAGGAGACAGCTGAGCAGAAGGCGGCACGTGAGGCTCAGGAAACTGCGCCTAAGGGACCCAAGAAGGGTAAGAAGAAGGGCGACAAGCCTGTTGGTAATGCTGGTAGCAAGCTTTTGTTGGAGAAGTTGTAAAGCACAGTTTGAAGATATTGGACAATGGATAGAGATGAGGTGCTTTATTTATCATATATCAGGCGTATAAAACTAGGGTGTTTTTGACAATGATATCACGGACTATGATATGCTGCTTATCCATTTTCCGACTGCCCATTGCGGCCAAGTGATCAGCACTGATTTTCATCGAATATTGCGAGCACGATGAAACGATGCACGAAGTACTGTTTTCATTTCACCATTACGAAGGAAATGCGCCAGGCAATCATTGGCTGCCTTACGTTGGTGCAGTGCAACGATGTACACAACTAACGGTTACAGTATTGCGCCGCAAGGGTCACACATGGCAGTGACGGTTTTATCTGCCTGTATCTCGATGAGGCTTCCACAATGCGGGCTCTTTGGGACGTAGGGCTTGTAAGGAATGGACTGTGGTGTAGGTGCGTAGAGAAGTGGGAGGACACCATGGAATGGAAATTGTCATATACATACTTGCATCTGGATGCTAACCCGCCTTCTACGTATATCACTCGAGTGTGCTTTACAGAAGAGTGCCTGGCCGTTGAATATAGTGGCCTTTCAAAGGTGTTGCGTAACTCTGTGTTGCCATGGCAGTTAGAAGTGTTACAGTGATCCAACGTTTCATACTACCTTGCCTAGGTGTGAAGATCAATTAATGTCTTTAGATTTCTGTGAGGCATCCAGAGTTCAGGAGGAGACTGGGGCAACTGGGCTGCCAATCTTTTCACTAGCAGATGGGTTATAGGCACAGAGCAATACCACCGAACCATGATGAAACGAGTATGTTTATGTTAGCTTGACTTGAGTATATTCAAACCTATCACACTCCTCGGCTCCCACGAGGTGTGTTCGTGATCTGATGATTCGCAAACTGTTGCACGGGGGAGGTACTTATTTGCTACAAAACAATCGTCACTCAGCTATAGGAGGTACCTTAGCCATTTGTTACGCTGTGAGTATACCCAAGTACTTCTTTGTAATATGGCTTTTGATCGTGATTTTTAAGTGGCCGTGATGGAGGAAGTTTGGCCGACAGCTGTTGGCAGCTGGCAACTGACAAACTTCCTTTGCCTCCGCCTCCTTTCCTTCTCATTGTATCAGGCGGAACCCGCCAAAACGCGCGCAACGTCACAAATGCAATCGATTCATTTCCCCTCGATTCTCTGCTTTCTTCTCTTCTTCCTTGATTTTCGTTCGTTTGTGTGCTTTTCTATCAAGTCGGCGGTAATATCATCCACCTTCTTAGGAGCAGAGTAACAGAATCTTGCGTAGGTACTTACCTTCTTCTCCCCAGATTCACGGAGACTGCGATACTATATCAAACGAAACTGCTTGGGGTGGCTGCAAACGCAAACCAATATCATACTCAACAGGGAGCGAAACCCAGGCAGACAAATATTCTTTTCTTCCTCTCAACTGCCCGTTTGCTTCTCTTGCTATACTGTGTTTGCCGATATGGCCACAAGCCTACAATCTCGCCATGGAAAAGAATGCCGCGCTGACAAGGCATACCACGAATGTAGTTACTTCGACTTTGAGTTTAAAGGCTGCTGCTCTCACAATCCATGCATCAGGCCTCGTGGCTGTCGCGACGACGATTCTTCAGACCACGGTTCGTGGCTAACTCGCGACATGTCAGACACCGAGAGCAGTGCTTCAGAGACCACTGTTATTGAGAGTGTCATAGATTTGAGGTCTGCTGTTGGGAGCATTTTCACTGCGAGCTTTCCTTCAGATGACTCTGACACCGAAAGCACTCTCGTGACTCGAAGACGGCCCTCTTCCCACACCAGCATGGACGACGATACTGAGAACGACGCTTCGCCTCGTAGACATTCACACTCGAAGACTATGACAGACTCGGGTACTACTCGCACAATCCCTAACTCGATTCGAATTACGGTGACCAAGAATACGGTTATATTCACCAGCAAGCTGCCTTCCAGCAGCACATCCATTGAATCAATCACCGAGACAGCAGTCGATACAATCCCAACCGCCTCCTTCCAGAGTACGCCGGCACAGAGCCCCACTGAGACAGAAGCCTCGAGCCTTTCAACAGATGATAGTGACTCTGGAGGTCCTTCCATTGGTCTCATTGTAGGAGGCGTGGTTGGGGGTGTTGCGGCTCTAGCTCTTATAGTTCTCGTTGTGATTGTTCTTCGTCGTCGCAAGGATACCGACGAGCAACTTGATAGTGCTGATATGCCCTACAACAACTTTGATGAGAAGGAGGAAAAGAGTTACCTCAGCCG